CCCTGATTTATGTGCGGCCGTAATGTACGCCGTCGGCGCCGCCGAGCCGTCGGGGTGTGCTCCGCCGCCTCTGCCGGCCCGGCTGTCCACTAAACCGCTGATGGGGGCCGTATACAGCAGTGGTGGTGTGGCAGCATCGACACCGACCGCCTATCATCGGCCGCGGGCCGGCTCCACTGAGTCAGCATCAGCTCCCCTGCCACCGCCCAGCTCACCCACCCCCGTCCCAGCCCGGCGGACTGGCTATTTCTGGTGAGGTGTGCTGCCGGCACCTCCGAACCACCCTGACCCCGTGCGGACGATCTAAACTGAGCTTTACCGCTCTGCCGGCGCGCCGGCCGCCGTGAACTCGCTGGGAAAGAGTTCAACAACTTGCTCGGCCGCGCCGCGCCGCAGTTGGATATTGTGTAGACGCTGCGGTCCGGATCGCTGCACCGTCGCCGCGCTGCTGCATCTTCCCCCCCCCCCCCGCCCATCGCCCACCGCCCACCGTCTGATCAACCCTACCGCCCATCTGCCCCCCATCGGTCACTACCCCTACCCGGCCCACTACCCCCATGGCCCACTGCCGCCCACTGGGTCCGGGAGGTGTCTGCTGAATCATCTCTGACAAACTATCTGTGCCAACTGAAAGGTCATGATGGTTACTGTCTACGTAGGCTGGGGTTATATTGAAATATTTATGTGTGGATTGCTTCCGATAAGTAATTGGTGTGACGTATGGACTGCGCTCTGATCTGTTCAGTGTCGTGCTCTTCGAGTTCAGTGTGCTCTTCACATCAGAGGTGCCAAAGCCGATCGGGACCGCTTGGACGGACTTTCGAACGTATACCTACAGGGAACCTCGGTTCGCTGTGTGTCGCTACAGTCTACGTCCCGTCGGCCCGCTATGACCCACTATGGTATATGAAGGCCAGCCGAGGCCGACTCGGTGGGGCGTGACTCCGCCACCCCCAGTTCCCCGCCTTCCTCGTCGCCCGGCACCCTACTGGCCACCCTCAGCCGGCAGCGGGGGTATTTCGGGCCCCGTGCCCGCCGCTCGGCGCACTCGTGTGCTGTTTGCTTGTGTTGGGCGGCGACCGCGGTCGATTTCTGGGTATGACCTTCGCCTCCCCTATACTGCGGACCGCTGAAGGTTGCTGCTGACCCGAGCTGGTCGAGCGTCTCACTTGCCCCTCTTGCGCTCTTCCTCGACGCTCTGAGCTTTGACACTTATCCGTGGCATCACTGCAATGTCAGCGCCGTGACCTTTCGCGGGCTCGTTAGCTCGGGTAAAGGTAAATTATAAACACGGCGCGTGCTGTTGCCTCTCACCGGTCGACGTGTTGACGCGTCTGCGAAAACAGCGCGCCCGCTACGAAAACAGCCGTGTCATTTATCACGCCGGTGTGGTTGGTGCTCGTTTCTCGCCCGTGTCGGTTGCTGCAGTGCTGGCTGCCACGCTAGTCATGTGACTGGGCGGGGCGGGGTAGGTAACAGGAGAGGTCCCGGGCAGCGGTTTGACCTAAAGCGATACTCCAGTCAGCTGGGCCAGTGAACAGGCTCGTTAGGACTTGTTAAGTGTTCAGTCAGTGAAGTTGTGTTGCGGCGTCATAGGCTGGCTTAGGTTTATTAGTACGAAAATGTCAACAGCCTCGCTAGTGAATTAGCAACACAAGTGGCATGCGGGGATCCAGAGGATGACTGTACAATCAAATGCCACCCTTCAGGACTTTTCAGGCGCCTTATTGATGATTCACGCTCCTTGCTCGCACCGTTCTGCTTATGTGACATTCCGGAGGCATTTGGAGCTTACGTAAACTGAAACTGTTCCGTTCAGTCGCAGCTCTAACCGTAAATCTGGGTCCTCTCCATATCAGTTAGCCACCGAATAACAAACTGTGGCCTAGCTTTTTCCCGGGCTGAGGCGTTCGCTTCAAATGCCAGCAGCGAAATGGAAAACAGGCCGGTTGGCCTGAAATACATCTTGCGGATCGGGCTCGGAAAACAACAGATCCCGTTTCAGCCGGCGCGCCAGTATGTATGTCTGTTTTGCAATGGCCCGCCGGCGTGTGGTCGGGAGCGCCGCTGCCCGGCCCTCGCCGCTCGCCGAGGCCGCCCAATAGTCCCGAGTAGTGGTGTCAATCGGTGTAGTAATGCAAAAAGTCCAGTACACTCAGATGCCTCTATTCACACCCGTACCCGCTCGTGTCCCGGAGCGCACTGCCCGGCTTCACCACATTAGCCTAGATCATACCTCTGTACACGTCATATCACGTCATATCACGTCATTCTGAACCCTAGACAAAGGCTGATCAATTTCTCCCTCCGCCGACTCACCGTCGCCATAAGACCCTGGCTCGCAATACGACGCGCACCATCATCGCTCGAACCACGCAATGACTAAGACACAGACTACACCTCACCCTGATCCTCAAGATCATCACTTCCGCTGCTGCTGTTTAACGCATCAATCGGCACCACGTGGCCGAAGAAGTCAGGCGGCCGCCGATTACGCTGACCTCGGCGCACCACCCTTTCGCCGCTGTCGCTCTCAGACCGGCCGCATTCACCACCCGCATCATCAGCCTCCTCCACCGGGCGCCCCGGCGCGCCATCGCCCTCATAACCGAATGTCATGACGATCGGGGACCCGGCACGGTCCTCCTCCGCTTCCTGTAGGCCCCCGCTGCCCCGGTCGGGGGTCCGAGGGCCTGCTGCTGGTCCCCCGGTGTCACCGCAGTGGCGGAGGTCTCTGATGTGCCAAGGCACGCCGCCCACTTCAACCACCTGCGGCGACACCACGCCAGACACCGTTCCTCGAACCGACCGCTCGGTGCAGCGGGTGCCCGGCCGCCTCACCCACACGGCGTCCCCCACCTGGAAGTCGCCCTCCCGCCGGGCTGGCGGCCGTCCTATCACGGCCTCCTCGGACGCTCCGGCGGTAGCTCTTTGTCTCACGGCGTCCCTCACAGGGTAGCGGTAGATGCCGTTGGCGGGCGCCTCAGCCGCCGTCCCGCCGTCACGGGGCGTGATATTGTACAGGTGCACGGCCTCTCCGATGCCACACTTCTTCCGCGCCGCGATCACTTTGACACTGCGGTGGTTCCGCTCCACGATGGAGTTCCCGCTGGGGCGATGCACTGCGCGGAAACGCAGCAGCACTCCCCAGCGGGCAGCGAAAGCGGCGAACTGACGACTGCGGAAAGCGGTGTCGTTGTCCGCCAGAAGCTCAGCCGGTGCGCCTCGCTCCGCGAACACTTGTTCGAGTTCACTCGTGACTGTCGCCGCGTCCGACCGCCGCAGCAGCCTCCACACACAAAACCGTGACGGGCCACAGTCTATCACCGACAAGTAGGACTGACCACCGTAGTGCGTGACATCGATGGCCAGCCGGTCCCACGTCCCCTCCACAGCCAGCGACCCGTGCCTCCAGGTCACCGGCGCCGGGTCAACCGCGCGGCAGACGTCACAGGCCGTCACCACTTCCCTGACCACTTTCCGGGAAATCGACGATGACACATCCCGACGCGCGAAATACAGCGTTCGTCGGACACCCGGGTGACCCGCCCTGACATGTACGTCAGTGACGGCCTGTCGGAAGTCCACGGTAACGGCGCCGCCGCCGTCTCCCACTTCCGATCCAACCACTGCCGCTGCTGCCACTGGCTGTCCATCGCTCGGCCGCTGGTCCGCTGGCTGCGAGTCCTGACGCAACCACAGGGACGGCACTCGGGTCAGCGTGTCCGAACGGTTCTGAGACGAGCGGACTAGAGACACGGTGAGAGAAATGCCCAGCTCTGCGACCAGCTGCCTGATGACGTCGACCCGCCGGCGGATAAGCATCTCTCCATGTGCCTTGGTTCGCAGTCTCGCGCGCCCGCTCAGAGCGTCGCTGACCCACCGGTGAACAGTGGCGGAGTCCGTCTTCAGCTCGATGGTCTTCATGTCCCACGCCAGGGCCAGGTTGATGCCCCGCACGGCGGCGTCGAGCTCCGCCATGTTGATGTGGGTGGCCTCGTCCCGGCGGAGCCAGCACGCGTCCTCGATGACGTCACCTCCCTCGCTCTCCAGCACGACGCCGGCGGCTATCGAGCTGGCGTCCGTCCACAGTACGGCGCGGTGCCCAGTCACGCACCACTGCCCACGGGCCGGGTCCTCGCTCGCCAGTCGCTCAGCCACGTGCTTCAGCTGTTCCCGCAGGGCCGCGTCGTGTGTGACGTCATCCCACCCGCGTGTGAGAGAGTTGACACGACGCTTCAGCCACGCTGTCGCTGGTCTCAGCCAACCGCAGACCGGCAGGTGCGCCACGATACGACCACACCATGAAAACACGGAGCGCCGCGTCATTGCCGCGGGCGGTGAGCCGACTGGGTTGTCACGCCTCCAGGCCAGCCCACCCCCGACTGGCTCCACACGCAGTCCCAGCAGCCGCGCTCCGTCCGCAGCCCGCTCCGGCGGCTTACACTGGAGCTCATAGCTCGCGAAGTGGGCGATCACGCGCTCCGCGCTCACCACGTCCTCATTGACGCACAGATCGTCGACGTACGGTATGACGGCGCCCTGCATCACTGGGTCCTGTTGCAGCACCGTCCGCACCACCGCCTTCATGATGAGAGGCGCGACGTTGAGCCCGAATCCGACACGGGTAAGAGCGTACCTTTGGCCATCAATCACGACTGTCTGAAACGGCCACAGCCGACGATCGGTCCTGAGCTGCAAGTACGCCCTCTTCAGGTCGACGACGGCGACGTTGGCCCCGTGCCGCCGCCATTTCCTCAGCGTGTCGGCACATACGTCAGCGTCGGCCGTGTGTGCCTCCACATGGCTGTTGAGCTCGCGGCAGTCTAAGACTGGTCGTACTTTAGTCTTGTTCTGCTGTTCAACAGCCATGAGAGGGATCAGCCCGCGCGGCGGCCCGTCCACCGTCTCGTCGTACGGCTCCAGCCAGCCGTTGTCGATCCATGTACGGAGTTCAGCATCAAACTCCTGCCGTGCCTCGGCCGGCACGCTGTACTGGGGGACACCGTTCCTCAGGCACCCTGGCTCCGCCCCGTTCCGCCACTTCCACGCCACCGTCCAGTGTTGACTTTTCGCGTCATAAGTGACCGTGAAGTCTCGCTCTTCCACGGTCAACGCCGGGGGCGTCACGGCGCTGCATCGCGGCGGCACCCCTCCCGGGCCCGGCACGGCCACGTCGGGCCTCTCGCTGGCACCGAACACCACATCGTCCGCCGCCCGCACTGTCACCCCGCCCAGCGCCGCGATGCCGGTCATCCCCACCAGCATATCCACGCCCAGTGGTTTGTCCGGCACTACCACGGCGCTGAGCGTCACCGCGGGCCCGCCGCTCTTCAGCTGAACCGCCACCTCCGTTACTCCGCTGCTTGGCAGCCGGGACCCGTTGACGGCCATTACAGTCACGCCGCACCGTCTCCAGCTCGCGCAGCACGACTCGTGGATGATGGTGCAGCTGCAGCCCGAGTCGATAACAGCCACTCTGCGCTGCCCATTCACCAGCAGCTGCACCGTCGGTAGCGCGCCTCTTACTCTTGGGCTGCCCGAGAGGAGGTTGGCGCAGACACCGCCTCTCCTGACGCGTTTCCCGGCATCCGTTCCGGGCAGCGTGCCGCGGCGTGTCCTGGCTGCTCGCACCGGAAACAGATGATGTCCGCTCTCCTCTCCGCCCGGCAGTCACGAGCGAAGTGACCGGCTCGACCGCAGCGGTAACACCGTGATGACGCCGGCGTGTGGCGGGAACGGGCCGGCGCAGCGGCGGCAGCGGCTGCAGCGACGGCATTCTCTGCCATCAGCGCCCGAGCCCGCTCCACCAGCTCGGCCAGCGTCAGGCTCTCCATGCGGCAGCCGGCCCTCAAGGTATGCCTCGCCGCATCCGGGAGACCGGCCACGAAGCCGCACATCAGCGCCGTGTCGCCGAGCCCGCCGAACAGGGAGGCCAGCCGCCGCAGGTCTGCCAGGTAGACGTCGACGCTCTCGCCGACACGAAGTCTTCTCGCCGTGAACTCCTCGTACGCCTGGAACTTATCCACAGCGAACGCCCGCAGCAGGGCAGCTTTGACGGCAGAGTACTGCAGCTTCTCCTCGGGCTTCAGCTGCTGGTAGACGCTGAAGGCTCCGCCGGTCAACCGCAGGGGGACGACGGTTTGAATGTCGGACACTCCGCGCAGCTGACAGACGAGCTCCGTCTTATCCAGCCACTCTTCCACAGAGGCGTTACCGCCATCGAACTCGGGGATTAGCCGCATGTCCAGCGCCGAACTTGCCACAGCGCTTTCCTGTGACATGGTTGCCGAAATAGCTTGTAGTAATGCAAAAAGTCCAGTACACTCAGATGCCTCTATTCACACCCGTACCCGCTCGTGTCCCGGAGCGCACTGCCCGGCTTCACCACATTAGCCTAGATCATACCTCTGTACACGTCATATCACGTCATATCACGTCATTCTGAACCCTAGACAAAGGCTGATCAATTTCTCCCTCCGCCGACTCACCGTCGCCATAAGACCCTGGCTCGCAATACGACGCGCACCATCATCGCTCGAACCACGCAATGACTAAGACACAGACTACAATCGGTTACCAAAATTTCGGTATACCGATACCGAACCAATACTGATTCGGTATTCGGTATTATATACCAAAAGCATTTGGTATTTTGTCGGTATCATGAAAATCAACTACTGTCATAAAATATTTGAAAGCATTTTTGATAAACCTTCTGAACTCAAATTTGATTTTGCTGAATGACACTGGGTGAAGAAAAATGGCAATCATGACACATTTCTCCCAAATGCATGATCAAAATGCATGTGATGTCCCAACGAATGGGCAAACACATCAACTGTAATATCAAATACAGCAGTCTACCAATGTTAAATGGCAACTTATCAGTGTTAGCAAATTCCAATACCATGAGGATAATTATCCTACAAAGAAAGCCAATGTGCAAGACATAAACATGAATTAATGTTTAACTCACTGTATGCTGGAAAACATCCTTAAACTACCTTTCTCAAAATTTCCAAAGCATTTATTAGCAACAAATTTGACTTTGTTTTGAGGAGTCTGTGATTGATCTTGACCTTGTCTTCCTCTCCATTTTACTGCAATGCAATTACATTATCCAAAACCCTGTTTAATACAGCACTAGCTTCACCATTATCATCTAATATTTAAGGCAGCATTTGTCACTTCATCATCACCCGCATCACCCCACAAATCTTCAACTTCACTCAACTTCAAAAAGCCTTGTAGTGAGCGATGCTGTCATGATCCTGTGGATAATTTATTTTCTTCAATTAGTGTTCTCTTTTCTGCTCTCTCAACAGATACAGATCGCTAGCAATTTAATCATAAGCACTCATAAAATATAATTGGCTTTTGGCTTGACTCGCACACAGCAGTTTCAAAACTGAACACATCTAAAAACATTTCAATGTCGCAGCTGCGCCAGGTTGAGGAACCGATATAGCTCAAAAACTAATTGAAAATAATTGAACAACTATGTTTTTCTGGTACTTCATTTTTCAGCAAAAGTGGCCTACAACTTTCTTGAATTAATTTAAAGATGTCAAAATTTATACAAGGAATTTTGATTTCAGTGGACTTAAGCAAAAAAGAAAAGAAAAACTTTAATTTATACAGTTTAATCATTAATGCAAATGGCCGCCACCTGTAAGGCCGCCATTATGGAAGAGATGACACGTGACGTGTGTCAATGCTTCCGTAAAATTATGGACATTTTACTTAGATTTCATCGCGATATCATTACAGTGGTGTCTGCTATCCATCAGTGCGCCTCGTAAGTAATTATTTATCAAGTCTTGTTGTGTTACACATTTGTTTATGAAGAAAAATTGGCTGCGTCAGTATCGTCACCAATCACCATGCTACTTGGGTTTAACTGTAGGTATCATTGTCATGGGCTTTGTTTACATTAATGTTGTAGCCAGCCCAAGGTGTAGCCCATCATTGTCAATTGGGTCACCACTTTTGGATCTTGATAACACACTCGAAATGAATGACTTGAATTGAAAGAAGGTTTGATGGTTCAGGCATGGACAAGATTCAGGGTTCAAGTTATTTTCCTAACACCTCATGCAGTTGACTTGAATCCACATTCCAGTAAAATAACTGACCTGAATATTTGTTAATAGTTACAAAATAAGTTATAAATGTTTTTTTTTTGCAATGCAAATAATTAAGAGATTGCCTGATTTGTTTTTGTTACCTTATTTCAAAGTATTAGGTACCTTTCAAGGCTTATCATCTGTCTTGAGAAAGTTTGAAGCATTTGTTTGATAATTCCCTGATTTCGGTATCTAGTCGGTATTTCCCCCTGTTTCTGAAAATCGGTTCGGTTTTGGTATACTGTCAGTGGTTTTGGTCGGTATCGGTTTGGTATTGGTTTCCAAAATTTCTGAAATTGACATCACTAGTCCCGAGTGGCCAACACTATTCAGCTCGTTGACTGAAGGTCAAGACATTGATGCGGGCCGCCGGCTGTGCCTGTCGTTTCATCTTGTAAGCCGGCGGTCACCACGATAGTGAGATAGCACGATAGTTGTGGACTGATACCAGGCTATGTCACGATGGTACGGCGTCACCACAGGAAGTTAGATTGTATCTAACGGACGTGCTCGGAAGTGCGCACCACTGTACCAGCATTTCAATTTTGCTAGTGATTATTTTAGTTGTAGCGACTAATCCTTTTTACTGCTCGGCGTGTCATTGCTACTTAAGTGTCCTATCAGACAACTCAGGTTTGTTAAAAAAAAGAGAAACACAATTGTAACGAATCCTATGTGTTTTAGCTACTGAGCAGTGAGCACAAGCCTTAACTGCTTCATTTTATTCGTGATTCTCCCGATCATGCCTTGCAGTAGCCCGCTCTAAGTGCTTCTAGGTACTTATCTGCATAAGCTCTGCTCCTGTTCCCCCCCCCCCCCCCCCCCCCAGGTTAGCCGTGCTACCTCTGCGATTTCTGAGCGTCCCCACACTCCGTCGTTTCGCACGTCGCAGCGCTGCGTTATATCACACTCAGTCAAAGCCGTGGCGCTACAACTCCGTCAAAACGTCCCCCTATCTGGTGCCTCGTCGTGAGGTCCGGCTTATGAAAATACCGTCTCAGAAATCCTCCGAGGATAATGTGGAAGAAAAGCTGCCGACTGCTCCGGCTGAATTCCCACCTTCTCCGGCGGTGTCACCGGGAGAAGTGGCTATGCATGGAGTGCAGCCGTCAGGAGCCAATCACATTTCACCCGGCATGCTGCATCACAAACGACAGACGTAGCGACGACAGATGTGGATAAATTATGTATTCCTGCATAATGGCTTGCATTAGTTCAATAATTCACTTACCGGCAGAGCCGACTCTGGAATATGGTAGCCATGCAGCGTCCTAATAAATGTAGATTAATATTTGCGCCGTCATGGAACTTGGATCCTCTGTCTTCCTTTTGCGCATAACTTTCACCGTTAGCCTGTGTTACAGAGCGCTATATTTGCTCTCAGCTGAGACTACTTAAGTTATCAAATCCAGAATAGCCACTCTAGCTGCATAACATTTCTATTTCGGTGTCGCACCTGGTTTTCATGCAGAGCGGATATTGCCGACAGCGTCGCCCGCAGTTAGATCAAATTTAGCTGTATTCTATTCTTATCTGGTGGACATCCTGGATATCCCTTTTACGCTCATACGGCATGTTCAAATGTCCAAGGTGACACCATCGTTCCAGCCAGCAGTGTATGAGCCGGATATTGCCGGCTCTGAAACGACACGGATCCTCTCCGGCTGGATAAAGCGTAGAGAATTGTGACGAACGAACGTCTCCTTGTCGCATGTTTTTGCCATACTGCAGGTTTGTGATCTGTGCTGCAAGTTATTGATTGATTAGACGGATGGTGACCTGCCCAGGCCGATGCAGTATTACACACGCACAGTGGGCCAGGCGCTTCAAAAAAGCGGAATTAAATCAATGAGCACAGCTGCGGTGCCAAAAATGATTCGTTACAGGGTAAAATATCATGCTAAAGCCGAATCCGATATCCATTTTCAAATTTGATTGGTTACGCTAGGTCACTGACCTATGACGTCATTATTTAATTTCTGCGCTGCACATATGCCTGGGACAGGCGGGCACTATGCCGCATTGGCCGCGCGTTTGCAGTCTTTTCGTGGTTTCAAGCGTTCAGACATGTGATATGATGTTGGTCCCATGCATTAGGGTGGGTGTAAAGGTCACCTGAAGGTCAGGTCAGGTCATTGACCTTCGATGACCTCGGTTCACTTTTTCGAGTTTTACATGTTTCTGGGCTAGTTTTTGGAGCTGAATTCGAATTTAGGAACCATTTGAACATTTACGAAGTAGTTTTGGTGCCTTCGTAACATGTTACGAAGCTGTCAGAGGCGGGTTGACACCTACTACGAATACCCGGCAGGACCCATACTGGTTGACCTGACCTGAGCTGACCCGACCTAGCCTAAATGCATGAAGACATCATCTGTGATCAAAACTAACATGATATTCGTGATCAGCATCCCGAAAAAACCCTTAGCAGCCACACTATACGACGTTCTAACAGGTCCCGACTTTCGGCCATTGACCTGACCTCAGAGGTCACCATTTGACCTTTGACCTTAAAACCGGGTACCGTTGGCTTCGTCTCGTGACGACCTACACGATGTTTTTTTTTTTTCCGCGAGGCTCTAGCTCAATTAGGGGCCAAACGCGAGGAGGGTCGCATCCCCCTGTACCGTCGAGGGATGCAAAACGGCCTATGCCGGCGAGGGTTAAACCCTTATTTGTCCATTTCGCGCAGAAATGCGCAAAATATTTGCATTGGGCAGCAAGCTATACACCTTGAGGAAAGTCAGGCAGCAAATATCTTCGTGTTGTTCGGTGACGTTTTCTTTATATCCTTATATAAATTCATTGCGTTGTTGCACTACCACGGTTCCGAACAGGCACTGTAAACCCCACCGCTACTAGTAAGCATGAAATAGTTCCCGGGAACTTGAGTACGAGAAACATGCGCAGAAATACTTGCTGTTTTTTTAAAGCTATTTTGTACGGAATAACTTTAATAATTTTACGCTGAGAGCTTTTGAATCGGGGGAACGGAATATGGTACACAGCAGTCATTTCCAACTCCAGTCGGTAAGTCCTACTTTGCGACGTTATAGCATTATCTGCCTTGACATTGGGGAAAGGAAACTTGCTTATTCGGAAACTTTGGACATTTTTACAATACTCTATCCCATAATTACAGGAATTTCACCGAAGTTGATTTTCGACTTAATTTCGCTTTTTTGATGCGCCTGGCCCACTGTGACACGGTGATTGGCCGGGCTGTAACGGTATTTTTGGCACCGCCATTGGTGCCTCTTAGAATTCCGTCTCGGATGTGTCTCTATATTGGGATGGTATTTATGGCCAGAGTTGGGCAATCTGTGGCACATTTTCTCTCAAAGAACCTGATACCCAAACCGTTATACCTGACTCATGCCTAGAATAACTCTGCTGACGTCATAGTTAATAAGCTCATGCGAGCGGTGGCAGGTAGGTATTTCCTCTCAATTAACCGCTGTTGGCCAGCATTCCACCATATCTTTATTGGAATTTCATAAAAGGCTATACCTAAGCAACTGCTTGTTTGTGTTGGTGGGCTGGATCGTAGCTTTCAAGCTTTGATAATTGGCAAAGAAGAATTACCTACACCCCAATGTTTTCCATGGCTTGGCGCCACCATTGCAATGTTCGGCATTCCCATTCAGTGTTGTGTGCCTCCGTCGCCCTCCCCTTCCCCTCTCACCCCGGAGGAACGTCATGACCGACCGTGACCGGTGGCCGCCCGGGACGCCCCCCCCCCCCCCCGGCTCCATCGATCGACCTCCTCCCCCTGGCCAGACGGTGGCCGCGTTATTGGACGAGCCATGCAATAAGGATGAGTGGCCCGTGAGATGTCCGTCCGTCCGGGGCGCGAGGGGCACGCCCCCCCCCCTGGCACAGCTGACGGCCTCTCAGGGCCCGCGGGGACACCCGAGGGTCAGCCGGGAGCACTGACCTCTGACCCCGCTGAGGTCGGGGTCGGCGCGCGGCCTCTGTAGCCCGCGGCGATGCAGTACAGCGTGTGATTGTTGTCCGCGTCGCTGTATCGTCGTCGTGACAGCGGGCTGTCGGGCGCGAAGAGCGACTGATAAATGGCCGACGAGTGGCCGGCGGGTCTGGACCGACACTGCTATCATATGTCGCGGTACGTCGGACCGCCTATCGGGGTGGTCGGCGACGCGGGCCGGTGCCGGGCTCCTAACGAGGCTCCGCGGGCCGTGACATCAGCTCGCTGATGGCCACGTCATCGGCCGGATCAGGCCACTGACGTGGCGGCTGCGGCTGCTGTCGTGACCTCACTAAGGTCAGCTCTGGACGGGGAGAGCAGAGGGAGAAGTGCTAGTCGCTCTTTTTCAGGCACGTCCCGGGCCGCTAGAACTATGTAGATCTCTTTCATCTGGAAAGAAATCCATGGACAAGACAAGCAGATGAGTCGTCATTCACTTTTATGTAGACCTCGCCCCGTCTTCCAAGTCAACCCACCATCCCCAGATCACCCCCCGGCCCCCTGTCCATCACTCATACACCCCCAAGTCGCCGTCCTGCGCTCCTCCCCGTCCCCAGCCCCGAACCCGGACGGACGCGGGTCTGACCGGTCACTGGTCAGGGCAGGGCACCGGTGCGTGCCACCCGCCCATCGGTCCTGTGGCACTGTCGGCGGTGTCACGCTCGCCTGTCGGCCGCAACGCCGCCTGACCTTTAGCGGAAGCTCCGGTCAGCCAGCGTGTGCGGCGGTACAGTGAGGTAAAGCCGCTCCAGCGCTGTCCCATCGCTAGACCGTCCCACAGCTCCGCTCTCCCACCACACAGCTTTGCAGAATGGGAGCCGAGCTGCACATCAGTGCGACTCGCAGTCGCCGGCTGAAGGGAGCTCGTTCGAGACGGTATATTTGGCGGCACACTGACGAATGGCTTTGGTTGTCTGTGACGCCCGGGTCCCGCTGGCACACGGAAAATGAAATTCCGGCTAAAAATGGCCACGCGTCACTGACAGCTCGGGTATGAAATGGCTGGCGGTACTGCGTGGTGCTGCGGTGTGCTGTGGAAGTTGAGAGTCGGAAACCGAGGGCTAAACCCGACGCTGGGTTTGATCTTGTGCTGAACTTCCAGGATTACCTGTAGAGCACCTGGATTGGTGATGAATTGGTGATTATGATGCTCCGCAGCAGCGCACGGTCAGCCACTAATGACTGCATAATATTGATTCTTCTATTTTAAAAGTTCTGCGCAGTGGCCGCCATCCGTGATATTTGACATAACTGGCTGCAAGCATATCTTCAATAACGGCTGGTGATATGTCGTCGATGTCCTACGACCTGTACCAAATGGCCGCACCAAATGTCGGATTGGGTGTGGTCCCGGTGGATGAATTAATTCGTCCGGCTCTATAATACAGATGCGTCGTCCCCCTGGGTGGCGTGTGGCCCGAACGGTGACATCGCAGTTCGTAGCGATCGGAATTTAATACGGCGACGAGGAACTCGTCCGTGAAATTCAGCCGATGGCCAGCCATGATTTTATGGCGTTCGACTCAATCATGTGGATGGCTGGGGAAAGATTGGACGCTTATGGGATCGCGGAATTGGTGTGAGATCGTATACAGATCTAAAATAGATGATGAATTTTTGCGTTTCCGCTTGTTTTCGTTCATTGTTTCATGGCTAATGTGATGTGAAAATCGGCACGGTGTTCCTTATCATTTTTCTTTGCGTTTTGCTTTTTCATTTTACGGCAGCAGTTCCTTCTATTGCTTCCTCACAATCCCTCGCTTGCTTTTCCCTTCCCCACTTCGTCTGAAGTGTCCAGCTACCCGGACATATTCCTATATGTATGTCTCTATATGTACATATGTATCTAAATCTATCCATCCAGTTTGACACAGGCGTCCGCCGCGCTGATCAGCGCCCTTTGCCTTCTTAATCTTCCACACATTGAGCGCAGTCCTTGATTGAAGGTGCTTTGCAGTTGCTATGATCGTTCAGAGTCTTCCATACATAAACCTGCAGGGAAGAGTGACATTTCCCGGCAGACTTGACTGAGCGACTCGCGCCTATTTTCACACATCCCGTATCGAAATGAGGTCCCTCCCGGTGGACCCAAGTTCAGAGGGCTAATCGAGCCTCCCTGAATACTGGATGAGAGGCTTCTCCCGAGTCCTCGCTAGGAACAGACCCGTGACCCGGATAGCTTCCCAGTTTAGCAGGCTCCAAACACGCCGACCTCAGTGACAGGGCTCCCGCCTGGTCCATGAAAATTAGCAACACTCTGGGTCGACACTTCACTCAATTGGGCGTACTTTTATTTCTGCCTGGACTATGGCTAATTTTGGGTCGTAGCTCGCTACCAGAAAGTGAGGATTTCAGGTACGCCAACGAACGCCTCTGAGTGAAATTTAATCCGCATGTTTGTTTGATACTGAACCAGTGCCGTGCGGCGATGGGGACTGTCGGATAAAATCTAATAAATCGGGTTACCGGACATGAAAGAGGACGAAAGTGACTCAAAATATCCCAGTGGGCGAATTATCCCAGTCAGCCCAGAAATATGCACTGATTCTGTGTGAGGCGGTCGCGAAAATACACCATTGCGCTGGTGGAGCTTGCCGCTGGCATTGACCGTCCCGGCGCCGATGACGTCAGGGCTCGGCGTGACGCTATCCCACGGTACCTATACCGGCGCCGCGCCGGTGTCAGGTCAGTCCTTTGACCCGGCTGGATGTCACCGGTCGGAGGACCGTGGGCTGCCGGGAGGGCAGTTACCGGGCCGGCCGGCTCCGAGCTGCGGCGGCTGTCACTGACATATGTGATCGCTCCACGAGCTGGCAGCCGGAGCTGTGCTCAGCCCGGTGATGAGACCGTTTTGAGCGGCCATCGGTGCAGCGGCCGGCTGGAGCGATGGAGCCGGCTGGCGGCGCTAGAGGTGCGGCCGGGACCGATCAGCGGCCGCCAGTGTTGGACGGACGGTTACCGCTCCCGCTGCAGACAGTGCCGAGGGCTGGACTGAGACCCGGGCAGCTGGGCTGGTGGCGGCTGACCTGAGTCCGGCAAAGTCCACGTCAGGCTACGGCAGTGGGCGGGGCGGGCTGGGTCATCCCGGGTCACCGTAAACGAGACTCATCCTGACCGTAATCGTGGCGAAGAGAATGAGCGAGAGAATGCCGCGAATGTCGCGGGGACATTGGCACGGAGCGGACTTACCGACACGACCTCTCAGGAAGAGAACTCAAACACACCTGCCCAAATCGACAGAGCTCTGAGGTGATCGGGGACATTGGCACGGAGCGGACTTACGTTGGCCTGCCAGGGATATAACTCAAGACACACCTGCTCAAATCGACAGAGCTGGCCTCTGAGGTGATTGTGGACAAATGATGCTGAACAGACTATCTTGCTGTCTATTTTGCACGGCTAATGAAATATCGCGGGTCAAGTGCTGGAGCTCAGACTGCCCTCTATGCCTACTAGACGGACAACTGAATGGCTGCATGGTGATTTGTAGGCTGCAGCTCGGACCGACAGACAGACAGACAGACAGACAGACAGACAGACATGTCAGCCCGGACCGACAGATGAGCTGACTGGCGCCGTCGACAGGACTCGACCCGGCTCCATTTTTGGTCGGAAGCTTGTTCTGCATGGAAAATGAATTAGTTGCCCGCTAGGAGACCCATTTCATTATGTATTGTGACGATAAATGTTCTGACGCAGTGACTCATTGAAGCGGCTCTGAAAGTTCTGTGGCTTGCCCAATGCCGCTATATTGACATCATCATGTTAACACAGCCGTAAATAGTGCCTTGTTTGGTCCGATATATGGTGTGCAGCGGGCGTCAGCTTACGGTGCTAATATTTTTGGTACAGTTGGTACAGTTCGGTAAACTGACTATAATAGCACACTGCACACCAGCTCAATGCACTCTATTATAGAAATATTGCTCGTGTGCCGCGTGACACCCAAGGTCGTAGGACGTAACGATGACATCATACCGACGGCAACGGCCGGACAACACTAAAAATGCACTACAATGCGTGATCAAAATGTTCGGTGCTGTTCGGTGCAAAAAAGCTGACAGTAACGGTGTCTGGTATTCTGACGATTTTTCTTCCTTCGCCCTCAGGTGGTTCGCCTGAAGCAAGTCGAGCACACTCTGAATGAGAAGCGAATTCTCCAGGCGATCAGCTTCCCCTTCCTTGTTAGTCTGCAGTACCATTTTAAGGTGAGTCGGTGGACGCGGGTCATTGGTTCTTCAAAACATCTCTTGTCAAATCCACTGCGAATCTAACTTGTCTAATATTATTTGGCTCTTCATCGCAAGTTGTATTAGCACCTGTCGTTGCAACGTTTAGTCTGACTTTGTTTCTCACTGGTAAATGTTTTGTCAGTGTTCTGCTTGTGTTATAGTTTTCAGTCCAGAGTTCCCCAATTGTTTTCAGTCCCCGAGTTCCCCGATTTGCAAGGAACATGCCAATCAGCTGCGCTTATTTCAGTTATTGACTTTCAGTGTGCATTGTGCATTTATATCGCTGTGACTGTTTAGGGCGTAATGGATTTAGCAGAGCGGCCGTTCAGGAGCGGTTCCGACATGCCGCTCGGCGGCGGCTCGACGTTAGGTAGGCGGTACGTGGGCTGATTGTGCAGCTGCTGGCCCATTGTGGAGCGGGCAGTGGGTGGGCCCTGTCGAGACACCTGTGGATTCGCTGAGCATAGCGGTAGCTGAATGAGACACACGAATAAGAGTAACGAAATGTCTATTCTGGGTGCTGAAACGATTCGTGAATCACATGTAAAACAGTGTTGCTAGTGGAAAGGAGGATCAGAACAAACTGTAGACAGAGACGTTTCATTAATCAGTGTAATTCGATAACAGACCTTGGCGTTTGTGTTTACCGTGGCTTCAGTACAATGTGAATTCCTGTTTCGTAACGGGTGTTTTAGCGGCAATCTCTGCTGCTCGCGGCCAACACTTGTGTTTGCGTTGGCTGTGTGTTCACTACGCCGAAAGTTACCGTATTTGTTGACGGAGTCTACATGCTTCCCATCATAAGGATGCGATATTATTGGCGGCGTTGTGGCAGCTATCTTGGGATGACTTGATGTTTGGCCAAGCTTTGAATCAGCTTCACTGAAATGACGTAAAAAGTCACTCTAAAAACCGTACCGCCTCGCCGTGTCGGGGAGCGGATCACCGTCATTGCTGCTGTGTATGGCACTCGGCATGCAATCTAGGCATTTTTCAGCCGGTTCGTGTGGGCGCTTACACTACTAAATCGCGGCTAAATTTAGTTTACCCATTAAAGCCGGGCTGTTCCGGCGCGACTCGTTCGCTGCTGCCCGGCTGCCCGAGCTGAGCGACTCTTCATGACAGCCCGTCGCCGTGTGGGTGACACACTGAGCTGAGTTGGTCCGGTGTTCCCAGACAGTCTGAGGCGGTGACCTCTCGGCCCGAATTAAATCCACCTCTGGATACTCCAGGGTACCATCTGGGCCGCTCTCCAACCCATTCGCCCGCCGACTCAATTCACACACAGGGTCCCCGTAGACCGTGGCTGGGCGTGTGCCGGTGTGTGGCTCTGTTCTGCCTCCAGTTCTCGTCTGTGCAGTCTGGCCGCGTTATGCGCCGCGTGATGCGGAGGGTATGGGCCTCCCCCTCCCCCTGCGGGGATCCGGTGTCACCGCCGGCCCGCGCCAGCCCTCATTACGGTCTAATTAGCCCGGGGATGGGGAGCCGGCTGTCTGAGGCTCCCGGACGATCCCTGGCACAGCCTAGTCTGAGCTGCAGCAGCTGTCACAGACCCAGGAGCTGCCGCAGCTACCTACACACCGGGGCTTTGTGCATACCCACACCGGCGCGCCCCGCGCCCGTGAAACCCCCGATAAGGATGTGATTAGACGGGCACCTATTCGGCGGCCGGGGAGGTTATCGAAGCTGAAGAAAAAGGTCTGACCTAGATCTGGGCAGGATCAAAACGGGCTGAGCTCTAATGGCCAAGGTGTGTCGCGGCTGGAGCGGTAATTGGCAAAGCCGCCCGGACTGGAATGCAATCAGGCACGGCTGCATTGTGTGCGGGATTATGACTGATTATGTAACCTTTAATTCACGGCCTATCAGTTTCAGATAAGTGCCTTCATTGTGATGCATTTAGTTGCAGCGCAGCGTGCCAGCTGGTTTTGTCCTGTGAAGGAAGATATTTGACCATTATAATGTTTACATTCCGGAAATACGTTTTAATTGCTGCGTGTATGCTATTGCGAGACAGCCGGCCCGTGTCATTTTGACTCGTGCGGCGGCCAATGTCGCCCCTTCAGCGTCCTCAGTAGGTATAGCAGTGGACGTGGTTGCTGTTCTGTGTTCCGTGCATCCCCAGCCATATGACGTGTCACCGTTACAGGACAACAAAAACCTGTACATCATTCTGCCGTACGTGTCTGGCGGAGAAATGTTCTTCCACCTTCGCCGGCTGAGGGCCGCCACCAACGCGGCTTCCAGTAAGGGCCGGCGCTCGGCGGCGGGGTGTCCGGGCGTGTCCGTGTGTCCCGGTTCCGCGGGGTGTGTTGTCCGGGTCCGTATTAGAGCGCCGTGTCGCCGCCTTTTGCAGGAGCCGCTGCTGTTCCAGCTCCGCCGCTCAGAGGGACCCTGCTGTTGATATTGTGTCGTCGCTCTGGGCCGTTTGTGTTCAGCTGGCCTGCCGGCTGGCGCTAATGCCGACCCCGTTCTGTTGCAGGATAATTCAAATTTACATGGTTTTAGAGTACGTACCCGGTGGAGAGATGTTCTCTCATCTTAGAAAAAGCGGCAGGTTTAGGTAAGATCATTGCTGGCGTGCATGACTCTCACCGCTCTTTCTCACAGCATGCCAAGCACTAGCATTGCATGCAGGCACTAACCCGGCACATTCCGCTCTATACACCGGCACTTGGGGCATGCCCGGGCCAGACACGCTGCTCTGATCGCGATCAGGTCGTGCCTTGTCACGGTCGGCGGCCGGCCGTGGCCGTGCGCTTAGCGCGGCACATGCGGGGGCACGTTTTCCTCGGCATACATTTCCCCAACCGGTCGTAACTTCCGCGGGCTTGACGTCAGCCCTCGGACCGCTGCGCCCGTCTGAGAGCGGGCAGGCAGTCTGCCAAGTCAGAGAGGGCCTCGAGTGGCCCGCCCCCGCTGCTCAGCCTCAGCCGCTTCTGCCGGCGCCTCTGCCGTCCAAACGTGCCCAGTGAGCCCCCAGCCGATGTATATGGCGCGGAGCCGCATTGCAGGCGGCGGCGGCGGCGGCGGCGGCCAGTTGGGATGAGTGGCCGGGGGAGGAGGGAAGGGGACATGACCGATCACTTGGTTCCGTTTGATCATGAGCCCGGCGCCGCTCCGCGAAATCTCCGGCCAACAGTCGTCCCATTCAGCTCCAATCAGCGTCTATCAGTCCTATCTGTCTATTTATACATCTGTCCGTCCGTCTGTCTGGCTGGCTGGATGTGTCCGTCTAAATTATTGCATCAATGTCTCTTTAAGTTTTTATAATTGTTATATATTTTGCTTTGGTGTGTCGTTATATTCTTTTTGTTTGTATGTGTGCTGATAGCTGTCTGATTGTATATCTGTCTCTGTATGTCCGCCTTCCCATGCCCACCTCCATACAGTCCCTAACTTGTGCCATTGCGGTCCGGCTGCGGCCACAAACACAGACTTCAGTCCGTCTGACAAGTGACGCCTGCGGCGCGGCGATAAGGCACCGTGATCCGCGGCCGTGCGGCTGCCCTCTGGGGCCGCTTTATAAGTCCGGCAGTAATCGGGGATCGTTGGAGACTGGCTCCGCTGAAACCGGACGTGATTGTCAGTCCCGTGGAGCCGCCGGTCCGGTGCCGACACGGCTGTCCTTGTCAGATGGTGTCCCACAGACTAGGGTCGCAGGGGCCGTGCCTTTCGTGTCGGCGTCGGTAACACGGCCGCCACATCGTTTCTTTTTATGTCCGGATACAGGCTGGGCGGCGAGCCTCATTAAATCGTCGGCTCTGCAGTTAGGCTCATCAGGCTTTGTCGGCAGCCGCGCTGTGGTTCGTGACAAGAATTTCTACTTTTAGATGAGGATTTTTCGTTTCCTCTTTCATAAATCAGGCTGACAGAAAAAACATGCCCTGAACAAACACGGAACGGAACGTAATTAATAATCAACGTGGTTCGAAACTTCTCCGAATAAAACTTATCCAGCGTGCGTAGGCGCGGACCTCGCCATCTTAGGGAGTAGGTATTCGGTTTAGGAAGTATCCGATATCCACATATGCATTTGGGGGCTGCCTTATTACTCGTACTTGGAGATTTGATATCGTTACGTTATCCCTGTCACTAGTTTAGACTCATTTATTACTATTTCCATCTAACCTCATAAAGTTTCTGTTTCTGTTTTTTTTTTTTTTTACTACCTCAATCGCTCCTCCTGTTTGGTCCTTTTTCTCCTTCCCCAGTCCGTGCCCCCTCTCCATACCTGTCTCCCTCCCCCTCCCCAGTCCCCCTGCCCCGGCATGCGTCGCCGCCGTCGCCGGCTCGGTGCCGATGTATTGATCAGAGGCGCGTGCCTCTGGTATCCGCGGTGCGGCGCGCCGGCACACAGATGGGGCCGCTCACGGCTGGCGTGACACCGCGGCGGCACGAGGAATCATAGATCACCGGACTGGTGGACGGAGCTCGGAGAGGCACTGTGGGTGGCTCACAGCGGCTCAGGGCGGCTCGCACCGGACACAGGTGGTGTGGACTGGTCCGAGCGGCTCAGCCGTGGCGGCAGGACCATGCCAGAGGCCGGGGAAGGTAGCAGTGGCATGGGCGGTATCGGACAGTGCCAGAGGCCGTGGAAGGCATAGCCGGAGCTGGCGAAACGGGTCTAACGCGACTGCACTCCTGGGTGGTGGCTGTATGGCCTGGGGGATTGAATAGGATCAGGATAACACCGATGGTAGGAGAAAATTCGCCGTTCTTGGCATTTCGAAGGGATCTGACCTTACATGCCCGCATGGTGATGCATCGTCTATGTGCCTCTAATGCACTTTGTAAAAGGTCGTGACACACATGCTTTACTGACATCCGCTTTGCGACCACAGCTTTATATAACATCTATTTCAGTCCTTTCAGCTTTTGCTTTTGTGTCTTGCAGATACGCACGCTGGCAATTAACTTACGTAAACTGACTGCCGTCTGTTCTGGGCCCCCTAATCCTGCATGTGGCTGTGGTTGGTCGGCTAATGGCTGAATGGCTGGCGATGGTTGTGCGCGCTGTTCGCGGTAGCACATAACCGGTGTAGCGGCGCACGTCGGCACGCTACCTACAGCCGCGCCGGGTCCGCGCGCGGCGGCTGTAGCGTGACCGGATCACCCGGCTCCGTGTGCACCGGTCGCCTGTCGTGCACACGGTTCTGTGTTGATTGCGTCAGGTCCGTATTGTCGTCATAAATCTACACGGTTAATGAATTGGGCAGTACTCTGTCGATGTCCGGGTTGGTTAGGTCGACGTTGAGTTGTGTGTGATGTGTTGTGACTCGTTTTGACTCGTGTCTGACCGATGACTCCGGGTGACTCCGACAGCGAGTCGCACTCCCGGTTCTACGCGGCCCAGATCGTGCTGTCGTTCGAGTACCTGCACTACCTGGACCTCATCTATCGGGACCTGAAGCCCGAGAACCTGCTCATAGACAGCCAGGGATACATCAAGGTAAGAAACGTGTCTCTAAACCGTCATTTAACACACAAACGTCCTTCCGTTTTTTTTTTTTTTTGTCAATTTGAAATGTCAATTTGAAAGATGCTTCTCTCAGCTTAGGTGTAATCATTTCTTTGGCACACCAGTCAAAACTGTTAACACTGGAGCACGTTTTGTCTCTAAAGGTGTAGCAATGATGCTAATAGTGCACAATTCTTGTTGGTTGATCGTCATTTGTTTGATTGCGTAGGTGTGCGTCGTAATTGCGCCGCAGAAAGTGTTTATTTTAATTTTTTATTGTAGCGGTTGAACATTTCCTGGTTCGTTAAAATGAATGCGTACACTTTGACTTGGCTTGAAGAGATAGCGGTTTTATTTTCTGAGAATTTACCGTGCAGAGGTGCGAAGTTCGGTAAACAGCGTAGCGATGTTGTGAGCTCCGCTCCGAACCTCGAGTAGCCAGAATCCCCGTCCAAGTTTGTTTCAGCGTAAAGCCGGACAAGTTGCACGCCAGATAGAGTTTAACCGTACTCAAATCGTGATCTGGGCCAGGCTTTACGCAATGGCCGCTGAGCCTGTCTGGATTCCTGGTCATCTTAATCGCTGATAGCCTGATCCCAATTATGCTCACCCGGTCAGACTGGCGTATACCGTATCTGTGAGGTGGTGCGCGACCTAGTTCGGCCGGCGCCGTCTGGGCGCGATCTGATGTCTACTGATCATCTGTGGCCGCTCATCACACCTCGCTTAGCGCAGTGAGCTAAGCGTACTGAACGGGCCCGGGTGAGTGAGCTGAGAGCGCCGAGCCAAGCGGACTGGGCTGAGCGGACTGAGGCTGAGCTGAACGGACCGAATTGAGTGTACTGAAATGAGAACGTTGAGCTGAGAGCGCTGAGCTGAGGATGCTGAGTTGAACGGATTAGGGCAAGTGTGAAGACCTCTGAGCTGAGTGTCCTGAGCTGAGAATCCTGAGCTCCGCTGAGCTGTGGGCGCTGACTGCTGACCGTATCAACTAACTGCCGTTGATATTGACTGCCGAACTCAGCTGACATCTGAGCGGCCCTGACGGCTTGTCGTCTGTCTCTGGCGGATACCGCATCAGCTCCCATGCACGCTGAGCTCAGCTGTCCTTCAAACACCGCCGGTCGTCTGAAACCCCAGCCTTGTGGCCGCTGAGCGCTGAGCTTGCCTGGTACGCCAGTCTCGGCGAACCCGCTGACCGCTGAGCCGGGCTCGGACCGCCGTGGGCCCGGGCCGGTCCTGTGACCTTCATACCGTCTGAGACAGGCCGCTGAGACGGACAGCGTCTCCCCGGACCCAGCGGGACCGGTCAGGCTGATGGACTGATGGACGGTGGGATCGCTCTACCGACAGCTTGGGACGGGGGACGGGGTAGCGGGCGGGGGTGATGGCTGATTGCACTGTGAAGGTATGATGACGGCCGTTGGGTGTTTATACAGCTGTCGACAGCCTATTGTGCAAAAGAAAGTGTGACAGACCACCTGTGATCGCTACATCTGCGCTGTGTGCTGAGTGATTCAGTAACCTATTGCGACGAGCTCCACGAAGCGATTCTCGGTATTAATACAGACAGAGGTCGGTGATAGCGGGTGGCTTGGCCAGTGACGACACCCGTTGACGCTCTACCTCGCCTGACAACGGACCGCTGCGGCCCACCCTACTGTCGATGAGTTCGCCGACCCCGGTGGCGACCGGCGCCGTCGCGCTGCGTCGACCGATGAGTCCCCCGTCACCGCCTGTTGACGCCCTGTGACTAATGGCGCCGGTCGGGGCCGGCTGGTCGGCAGCCACCATCGATCGATGGACGGTGGGCGGGCCGGGAGGCGGCGGACGTGACCTCGGCGGGCCTGAGGTGCCGCCGGGGCGGGCTCGGAGTCTTCCGCCGTGACTGGCGCTAGTGCGGCCTGCAAGTGTCGTCGACCGTCATACATTCCACTGATCACCGTCCTCAGTCCAACGTTCGCCTTCCGCCGTCCATTCTGCACTGCCCAGTGCCCACCGCTGACCTTCCATATTTGACGGCCATGGCTGATTCACGGGAGAATGTGACTGTGTTGCGGCTGGTGGTGTAGACTCAAAGTGAAGACGTTGCTATTTATTTGTCTCTTAACTGACGGGAGAAATGACTTCAACTGACGAAGGAGTGACATCTCTACAAGAATGTCAACACTACCTGTCAGTTCCTCTGCAAAAGCATCGACTGTGAACGGCCTGGAAGTAATTAATCATACTTATTAAATACCTAATCATACATCTTTTATCCCAACATCATATGTTCCGCTCTGCGGGCACTTCCTCACAATTAGCTGTTTTGGTACGACGTGGCAACCACCGATCATCAGATGTTTCTCTGCTTTTTTCGCCGCCTGTCCTGCACTGCAGCAGATAACCGAGCACGCCAGGGCTTTTTGGTGTCCGTTTTTTTGGACGTGCCTCGTCTCCAGCCCGTCGCCCAACAATGATATCCGATCGTCGCGGCGCCGCCGTCGTATCGCGTTTATTATCGAAGCTGTAACGTGCGCGGCGCCGCCGTATATGTGAGCTGCTGGCGAGCTGCCATCGGCCGTCAAAGCTCCAATAGTGGCTGTCGCGCCGCGTCCAATGCAGGCCGTCCGCCGCTGGTGGCGGGCTGTCTGATACAGTTGGAGTGGGTGGTGACGGGCAGACTGCGGAGCTCTTGGCCTGTTCTCGCTGGTGTGAAACGTGTGTGTCCCAGCTTCATACCTCCGCGGAGTTAGTCATCAGCCGGCTCCTCCGAGAGCTCCAGCCTTGACCGGCCGGCGCGGCGCGGAGCGCTGAGGGCCGCCCCCGGCTGTCAATATATGAGCCTCATCTGCCGGCGCACCTATCTAATCGGACGGTCATTATTGGTCCGGGGCCGGCCGGTGGCGGCGCCTGCCAGCACGCGGGCCGGTCGGTGACGTCAGCCGGGCTCAGCGGCTGACCGGGGACTTGCAGCTGGCTGAGGGCCATCGGGACGGCATGAGTAGGGGCTGCTTCACGTGGCTTCGGCACGCGTCAGGGCAGCAGAGGGCAGGACATCAGACATAAGAGGGCGGAGTTTGGGAAGGGTGTGAAAAGCTCGATCTTCCCTCAGATAGTCTATGTCATCCATGGAGTGGCCACAGATGCCTGCCTGTGCCCGCCGACTGGATTTGAGTGCACAGGATGGATCCGGATGTGCCCGGCGACCGCGGACGCTACAATGGCAGTCCCTCTCCCGTCAACGCCACCTGATTAACCAACGGCCTCTCTTGACACGATCAACACACTCGCCACTCGAGGGCCGGCCCAGGCGGCAACGACCCGAAAAAGCGCCCCGATTGATCCCAGCCACGAAAAACTGGCTTTCACCTGTGAGTGGCTCTACAGCATGGTGCAAAAGAATTTCTGGCGGAGCCGCAAAAACTCCGGTTGTCCGTTCAAGTTGGAGTTAAGGGCGGGCCACGTTAGGGGCCAATAGCATTCCGTGACGTTACGACTGATGATAAGAAGTAGCGTGGCGTGGACTTGGCTCTAAGGCGCGGGACGGCAGCCCGGACCGGCGCCGCTAGGACGGGCGGGTGTGACGGAACGTGCGGCACCCTGGGTCTCTCGGGGCGGATCCAGTGGCTTCCCGCCTCGTGCGTGCCAAACGGCGCCCCGGACCGGCGAGCGGCGCTTTCACTCTCCGTGGAGACGCGTGATCCGTCCACCTGATACACCATACGCGTGGTATCAAGACGGCGGGACTGGAGGGCGGGCCTGACGGCCGCGCGGCTACCGCCCCACAACTAGCTCTCCACGCCTTCAAAGGACTGATAGAGCGAGGGTGAAAAGAGTGTTGTCCGCAGCCAATCGTGGGTTGTTGTGAGATGACGAGGCGGAATTTGGCCGCGGAATCCTCTTCCTATGGGCGGAGTCGAGTGGATGACATCATCAGCATGGCTTCTCTGTCAATTGGCCGCCGTTTTGGGGCGGTGGCACACGTTACCCGCCCGGCCAGCCAGCCAGCGGTGCTGCTTTGATAGTCGTCTGTCTTTTGTCGCTGAGGATAAGGCCGCGTTTTTCCTCTCTGGCTCAGAGCACAGACTCACGCTTTGTTTACGCCGGTGACATTTGAAGACCTCCGGTTGGGGGCCGTTTAAATCGGTTTCATAGCGAGCCGCGGTGCATTTGACCTCACGGTAAAACCCGGCTGAGCATGAGTGGAATCTTCATGACGTCTTCTCAGCACAGGATTTTTGCCAACGTGCCCTTCGAGCTCTCAGAGTCGGTCAGGAAGTGCGCAGTATTTCTCCAAGTGCGCGCTGGTGTTTGGCCAAACGGCGCCGCCCCCGGTTCTATGGTGCGGCTGCCTGTCCTGTATGCACGCCCTGTTCCCGCAGACATCTGGTGCGGGGAATTAAGCCCGTCATCCGCCCACGACCTGAATTACGGCGTGCTCCAAAGGTCAGTGGCGCTCTGTTTTCGTGGAACATGTGCGAGGCGGCATCGGCGTGTTCGCTGCGCTCAGCAGTACCGCTCGGTGCCCAGACATAACATCCCGTCGGCCGCCAGGACTGTGTCGCCCTGCAGAGGGACGGTCCTCATCCGGGGAAGGGAGGGATGAGATGCGACCGTTGCTAGAGCGACTAGTCGCCTGTCCACTCGTCCCCGCGGCCGGCGCTCTCGAGAAGAGCTCTTCTGGGACGCGCGGCCGCTCACGGGTTCTGATTATGAAACGACCCGTGACCGTGAAAGGTCAGAGGTCGGGTGCCGGGGGCTGCCGAGCTCGGTAAGGTCGCCGGCGCGGGTTTAATGGCATCGAGAGTGTACTTGAAGCGCTGCAGCCAGAGAGAACGTGTGATGTCCCCGGGTTTGAAATGTCCCGGATGTATTGCAGCTGACGGCTCCCGATGTTAGAGCCCAGAGGATGCTTTGTTGATTATTTTCAGTTGGATTATTTCAGCTCGTGAATGTTTGTGACATTAGCAGGGGCTTGTCTCCACAGCACCGCCGCTGGGACGATCGTTATCAGCCGTATTTGGCTCCAGGAGCCCAGCCTCCCGGCCAGCTCTCTTTTCTTTTCTTTTTTATTTTCTATTTATTCCTTTGCTTTTTTCTTTCTAGCCTGGATACTCTCGTCTCTGACCCGACCCTCCCTTGCTCTCTCCATCCTCTCTTCCATTCCCTCTTCTACCCTCCCCCGACCTCTCTCTCGCCCTCTCCCTTGCGTCCATCCGCTCTCGTCCCTCCCTCATTCAGTCTGGGTCGCCGGGCTGGCACGCCACTCGCTACGGTGCAGTGACGGCCCGCGGCCCGGGGCCATTTGTGCGCCGACATGACCTCTGCCATTGGATACCAGAGGTCACCGAGGTCACCGTCGCTGCTGGCATCGCGCTGCGGGCGTTGGGGGGGGGGGGGCTCTGCGGCTGGAACGAGCAGGGAAGGAGAGAGTGCATGCATTAGTGGCTCTGGAAGGCTGATTAGTGGCGATAAAACTGACTTTGACGAAAATATCTGAACGGTTTCTTGGGGAGACAACCTGGTATGCATGCCGATGCATTCATGACCCGGCTACTACGTCGTGCGCCTGTCCAGCTCGGGACTTCCGTCGGGAAGCCAATCATCAGCCCTCGGCACGTCTGGCTGTAGTATCGGCTCCATTCCGGTCCAGTGACAGCCGCCGTCGGCACCGACTGACCGACACGATAAGGCAGCCGTCATTAGCCGAGACACCTACTGCGCGGCACCGGCCGGCACGCGGCGAACGCGGCGCGCGAGACGATGGAGCAGTGACGAGTCGCGGAGGTGCCGTCAGGTGATCGGACGAAACGAAACTCGAAAGGCATGGAATAAGACAATCAACCATGATGCTCACAGCAGAAGTGTGTCGATAGGTGGACGAAGCGGTCTTTCAGCGAGGGTAGAGTCTTCTAACCACGTTACGGAACCCTATGCTGGCCATCGAAAACGCTGACTATACAGCGCTTCTTCTATCGTGAGGTCTACGTTGCGTCGCTGCGACGTTCCCCTGTTGGGTGACCTCCATCCAATGTTTCGGCCGATCGCATGACATAATATCAGCGGGCGTGCCGCTGGCTCGGCGGCTCGGCGGCCGATGACGCGTCATCGGCGCTATCAGCGGATGCGTGCTGACACGGCACAGCCCCCCCCCTCCCCGGGACCCCACCCCTGTCGATGGGATGTCACTGACCCAGCGTCGTGTCCGTGTCACGCTCTTTGTGTGGCTCGTGACAGCCACGGCCGCGGGCTCGCTGCCACAGGAAGTGATGGTGTGGTTTGTGGTATGGAGGACACTACTGGGATGCGCTAAATAGATACAATAACGGCATTGGTGCTGAAAGAACGGCAGTGACTAGGGTGTGTGGCGAATCCGTTTACGACGTAGAATTTTATTTGATCAAAGTCAAGCAGATCAACGTCAGTGCGATGTCTAAGCAGCTGTCGGTGCGGGTTCGCTGCTCCGGGCCTCCCTGGAGGTTTTGAGAAAGCTCTCAGAAGTGTCAGCATTGGACCTCCATAGTTTTTCGCTCCGCCATCGATCTACATACTGACCAGGATGTGGGCACTCGCGGGGTGGCGGCGAAAGCGCCGGCGGCAATGAGGAGCTCCGTGGGGCTTCTCTCGCCGCGCCCAGTGCCGACGTTGGCTGGTTTCTCTGCTCGTGACGTCACTAACGTCAGCGCCGTACGGGCGTCTGACGTCACGGGGTGTCGCCGACAGGTCGTACATACCCCCTGCCTCCTCCCCGGTGGTCGACCCTTTCCGGCCGTCTGCGCAATGAGGGGGTATTGCTGGACGGTATCAGTGCGGGTGCGATCAGACGCCCCGCGGGTGTCGTAGTGCCGGGCTCGGCAGGTGGTGAATGGCGTACGTTGAGGGACTTTCCGGCAGTGCGTAGTTGCAGTCAGCTCGTAAAACAGACTCGCAGCTTGGGAAACAGATGGCCAGTGACGCAGGTGACTGCGGAGTTTAGTGTATGGTGGGCTGAGGTCGTGGTGCCGGTATGCATGGTCTGTCTTGGTTGTGGTTTGCCGGGGTGATGTAGCGCAGTAACATAGTTGATATGGGGCGAGTCTTTGTTGAAATGGTCGTGAGTTCAGGCAGCAGATCGAGGTCAGCAGTCAGCATGGCACTGAAATCCCGATAGTAATTGATTGCGATGACAATTTCTAGGTCAGTTGGCAGATCCTTCTTGAAATTGTCTTTTAGTCTGTTCTGAAACCCACTTCTGTCGGTTTAGACAGAGAAAATATTGAACGTTTTGTTACAGCCCAATTTATCGTCTCGTTTGTCCCAAACTGTGTGCCGTAATTGGTTAATCAAAGCAGCATGATGCGCCAAACGGCCGTCGTTTGGGCCAGTGTTTGTGGCTCGTGTATACCGTCGGGGCCGATGATGCGATTATTTACAGCGAGCAGCCGGCTGACTGAGCTCTGACTCAGCACTTGGCTCTGTTTATTTGATGGCAAAGGGACTCAGTCACTAAACTGGTACATGAGCTTGTCCCGCGGCCAGTTGAGACGGCGTATCGCTTACAGTGGCTGTGCTGTGTCCTCCCATCTCATGGCCTTAGCTCCGCCGACCCCTGGTTCGAGCTCCTGTGATCGTCCTTCTGACCTGTGACCCCGCCGTCTGTTCTGCCGCAGGTCACTGACTTCGGGTTCGCCAAGCGGGTCAAGGGCAGGACCTGGACGCTGTGCGGCACCCCCGAGTACCTGGCACCAGAGATCATCCTCAGCAAGGTAAGAGCTGCTGTTCAGTCCCGGCCCGCGATCCCCGCTCAGTGGGGTCTCTGTCCGCTGCCCGCCCAGTGGTGCCTGTTCTGACTCCATCCAACTGTTTGGTCGAATCCGGAGTGTTTTTTATGAGTGTGTCCATATGACTGGAGTCCAATTTCCAAATGAAGGGAAAACGTGCCTCATCACAACACTTACCCAGACTTCAAACACTCATAGACTTTACACTTAGGTACAGATTTTATGCCGGACTTCTCAGACTTCTATTTGTCGTTGCCTCCGGCATTTATATCTTTATTTGGCTTAAAATCTGCCTTCTTTGTAATTCCGTCTAATTCATCCTACTTTTCTACTAGAAACATTTCCCAAGCCGATTGGTTTCGTTTTTTGTTTATTGCTACTACATCTCGTCCTACCGTATGCTCCCATTCCAACTCCCTCTATTCTCCTACTCTCACCGTATGTCACCCCCGTCGGTAAACTAAACCTCAGCTCGTCAGCCCTGTCAAAGCTGGCAACTTTTTAATTGCTTCAGTTTTATCTCAGACACGTGATATGGCCCAGTTGGTTAATGGCGTGGTCGTCTGCTATTTCAAGGAACTGCCATGTGGCGGACTGAGTATGATAAACAGTTTTATACCTTGACATATTACGTAAGAGCAGAGTAACACCCACACATTTAAGCCCATAAATGTGCCTCACATGTTTAAAAACATGGGCGACACCAAATTGATAGGTATCATGAAACATTTGACCTAAGAAGCCCGACGAAGCAGATCATGAATGTGCACTTGGCTGGTCAGTCGTACCTACTGTCTGTAACCATGAGCTTTATCCTGATGTGTCAACTTTGTTCGCCCCCTGATTCCACCGCCGATGTGGCCTTTCTGACTCGCGACTTGCGCTCGTTCTTACCCTTGCAACACTTTTTATTGACCAGCCAGGTGCAGCGTTAGCGAGCGCTGCCGGCCGTTAGCTTACACCTGTCGCCTCCCGCCGCGCCGGCTGGACAAGTGTGTCCTGCCCCCCCCCCCCTCCCACGGCCGCCTCTGTTGTGCCTCGGGCGGTGGCTAGCTGGCCAGAGGACCACCCTGCCCTCCCCCCCCCCGGGCCGACTGCCAAGCTATATCGGCAACAGCCTGTTAGCGCAGCCCCCCCCTAGCGCCGCCCCCCCCCCTGTCGGCGGCCGAGAGGTCAGGGGTCGAACGTCGCCGCCGATGGCCGATGGACCGTCGCTGTTGGTCAACTTTGGCAGCCGCCAGACTGACTCTGAGAAAACAGACCCTGAAAGGGTTTTCACCTACCGACGTCACACGTTTCGCCAGAGGCGGTGGAAAGGTCGTATGGCGGGAGCAATGAACTCAGCTCCCATATTTGTTTTTACTCACATCTGAAATACAGCTACACGCGAAGTGAGGCTGTCCGCATCGCCAGAACACCATGATGTAATTCCCTGATGTTTCGATTCTTGTTCCGCTGGTTACAGCGTTAGCCCACGAGCCATTCCAGGAAACCTCGCGGCTGCTTAGCCTCATAAGACCCTAATGGCGCCGCCAATAAGACGGTAATGGCGCCGCCACCCGGGCCGCGCGACACGGGCGACCTTTGCCGCTGCCGCTGGCGTGCTGGCTGCCGGGGTCACCGGGCGGCCAGGAGGCACGCCTGGCCTCGGCTGGACACGCGTCGGCCACCGCGGCTGGCTGGGCGGGCAGGAAGGGAGGACTCGAGTGCTAACGGGCGGGGTGTTGGTTTTCTGCCCCGAATTCGAATCGAGAGGAACGAATCTGAGGATGTGGAGTGTTGTACTTTTTTGCTGTACATATATTTTGCTAGCCTGATGTTTGAAGCGAACCAAAGACATCAATTTTCCCAGGTTTGTGCATATAGATCTAGCCAAGCCTACGTTCAGCTTCTACGAGTATATCTACATGCGTTGTCTCTGACAGTTAACCGCCGTCCGATCTGACACCACCCTCTCCTCCGTCCACAGGGCTACAACAAGGCGGTGGACTGGTGGGCGATGGGCGTCCTCATCTACGAGATGGCCGCCGGCTACCCGCCCTTCTTCGCCGACCAGCCCATCCAGATCTATGAGCGGATCGTGGCCGGAAAGGTACGGACGCCGTAAACTGCGCAGTGTCGTCTCCCCTTGCTGCAGATCAGTAGCTGCATTCCCCTTTCCCTCACGAGCTCTCGGCAACCGCGCGCTCCCCCTTGCCAGCACCTGACATCTGTTTTCCCCTCTTTCTCGCCAGCTCTACGTAGCTGCCCTGTCCTCTCCTTGCCAGCTCCTGGTAGCTCTGTTCCTCTCTCCCTCGCCAGCTCCTAGCAGCTGCGCGCTCCCCCTCTCTCCCTCCCCGATAGTGGCAACTGGCAGCCGCCGCGCCCTGACGCTGCGCAGTCGCCGTGAGAGCTGAGCGCCGACCATTTCCTAATGGACGGCCCGTGTCGCGTGCGTCGCCAAATAACCGCTGCCGGCCAGACTGGTGACGCGACCAATGGGACCGACCACCGCGAGCCCTCCGCGAGCTGACAGAAACTGCGTCAGTCGGCGGGGCAGAGTCGGTCCTGGGTGACTTCAGGCTCGATGGAGCTTGAGACTTACTTTAGTCATACCTTAATTAGTGTCTGGAAACTTGTAAAGTATGCGCGTTCCTTGTCACATTGTCCAGGCGCGCCTACTTGACCTTCTTTTTGCGATTCGTTCGGTGCATGCTTATTCGCTTGTCCACATCGCAGCGCAGTCTCATAAACGTCGGAGCGTGCTCCTCAGCAGCAGCGCGGCCGTGCCATATTGCGTTTTTGTTCGGTTATTTGTTTCTTTTGTTTTCGCCGAGCGCCAGGACGTTGAGTATAGGCTGGCCGCCGTTGTCCGGACGCCAAGCCGTAAGGCTGCAGCTGGTGTTGGGCTGCTGGGGGCTGCTGTTGGGGCGGCGGGGCGAGCGATAGGGAACTCATGTCGGGTAATTCCGCTCAGATATTGGCAATAGGTACGGGTAGGTAATATGTAACAGGGAAAACACCCGGCTGTGTCCAGGGGACAGGTACTTTTTGCTCAGAGTTTACGGACGCGATTAAAACAGCCAGTCCTCTTACGGAGATGGAACTGAAATGGTTGCGATCACGGTTGCCGAGTCTACATCAGAGGACGGCAGAGTCTGCTAGACTCACATGGACAGACACACATCACATGGATCACAGGGTGGGGTGTCCATTGGACATCCCACCCTGACGAGCAGCGCTGTCCAGACCGCGGCTCTGTCCGTTTTCGGTGGCTGGCCGGCGGTGTCGGTGGTTTCGCCGGAGACTCCCGATATGGTCCTGAGCTCCGTCTGCGGTCAGCGAGACGCCGAGCTGCGCCCTGCGGTCAGCAGACGGACGGAGCCAACCCGCCAAACTGCACGTGTCACCTCCGAGAGCCGGAGACTGCGGGCTTAGAGGCCGGGGGCCACCGTGGGGGAGGGGTCTCTGCACTACGCGCCATACGAAATTACACCCTGGCGAGTGTGTTTACTGCGCTACACAGTGCCCAGTGCTCAGTCGTACGTGCCCCTTCACCAGCACTGTTGCTGAAGTTATGTGATGAGTCACAAGAGAAGGGCTATTCGAATACCGTTACGGGCAGTGGTGGGCGGTAGGATATGTCATGCGTCATTGTTTCTGGCACCCGTCAGCGATGGCCTTTTAGCACTGAACTTGGCTGCGATCTATCAGAGTAGCAGGCGGATACCGGCTGTCACGGCATCAGAGAGGGTTTCGACAGGTGTGGGGATTCGTCATTCGCCGTGAAGAGTTGAGTATTTTTGGCTTCGATTTTCAGATCGCATTTCATCTCTCATATATGGCGTTTTTCCAGCCGTATTTGCTAAGAAATCCCGTCGGGCTGTAGCCATTAACCGTTAATTCTGTTTTCTCTCGGCCCTGCCGTCGTTCGTTTATGATCCACTGTCTTCAAACAGAGTCCCTTTCCTGCAGCCTTCCGCCCCATTACACCCCAGCTGAGCCCGCTCGCGCTGCTGGCGACGCGTCGGCGCCGACGCAGTGCGTGACGGCGCCGTCGGCGGCGACGGGGTCAAGGTCGGTCACGACGGGCGCGGTGCGGCTGGCACCGACCGTCACCTGGCGACGAACGCGCAGCCGCGCGCTGGGGCTCGGCCGCTGCGCAGTAGGTGTCCTCTGTCGGGCCGACATCCCGGACTCCGAGAGGACTTGAATTCCCGCCGTCCGTGCCGTATTGGAGGAATCTGCTGGGGGAGATTTGATAGCGCGAACCGGTTGGCTTAGTGGCTTTTTTTGCAGTGTTTGTTGGGTAGAGGAGGCATGCATACTATAGTCTCGTTATCTTGTTTGTTAGGTGGCAAGGTCCGGCTGGCTGAGTGACGGATAGTCAAGTAACGCGGTCCAGCTGGATGCCTCCTTCCGCGCTTTGGGCACTTTGCATAGACGTACCGTTTTGTGATTCCTGTCCAGTGCTCTGTTAGGTAGGCGAGCTGTGCTGCTGCTCTGTTCAATGCTGCAGGCTGGTTAGCACCTGTCCCATGCTATGGACATTGGACATTGCCGCAGCCACCTCTTGTCCTCTGGCGATGCGTCGTCTCGTCTCGTCCCGGCCGGCGGCGTGGGTCGGCAGCCGACGGTCGTCCCCCTCTCCTCCCGCCCCGCCCCGCCCCGCCAGGTATTGATTCAGCCCTGGGCGAGTGACGGCCGCGCCGGGACTGCCTACCCGCCGGGCGCGGCGCGGCGCGGCGCCGCGGCGGTCTGCCGTAGGTAATGTCGCTCTCCCCGCGGCTAGGGAAGCTGTGTTCAACAACAGCTGGGGGACAGAGTGACAATGTGACCTGTTGATACCACGCTGGTGCGAGTGTTGTGTCCGCTGTGACTGACTGTTTTCCCTTTCTGTCGACAGGTGCGCTACCCGTCCCACTTCAGCTCGGAGCTGAAGGACCTGCTGCGCAACCTGCTGCAGGTCGACCTCACCAAGCGCTACGGCAACCTCAAGAACGGTGTCAACGACATTAAGGGACACAAGTGGTTCGCCACCACCGACTGGATCGCCGTCTATCAGAAGAAGGTACGATCGAGCGCGGAACTTAGGTAGTTCTCTGTTTCTTTTCTCGCTGGTCCGTGAATTTTCGGTTTGCGTTGCCTTCTTGTGGCATAAACTGCATGGTTGCATTTTCGGCGTATCTGCCGTTGTTCATGCTTCTCAGAGATGTGGCTGTTTTGGATGTGACTAATTAACTGATTGTATAGATAGCATGCTTTTATCACTATTTCTGCACTTTTTCTTTTAATTTCTGTTCTCTGATCTTGCTCCGGTTTTCTGACTCAGTTCGGTTTGCTCAATGTAGTCGGTCTCCTGTCCCTAGTGCTGCCCTCTACGCCACCTCTAGTGCTGCCACCTATGCTTCCCTGAACGGCTCGCGGACTAGCTGAGTCGCCTCACTGGGCTGAGCGCCGACCCACGGCCGTCCCGAAACACACGGTGGTCTACCGCCCTCTTTTCTCGCCTCTTCGTCGTTCATTCCCTCTTACCACGGTCAAAACAGCTGAAGTCTCCTCCTCCAATGCCACTCGCCTCTCCCCGAATATCTAAACTGCCTCCCAGCCATGCGGCCCTCCACCCACCTCTCACTCACTCTCCACCCTCCCCTAGCTCTCTTCTCCCCATTCCTCTTCATGCTCTTCTCCTCCCCCGCTCGGCCGTGTGCGGCGGCGGCCGCGGGCCGGCGCTCGGCGGCGCTGGTGGCGGTGGCGGTGGCGGTGCGCGCACTGCGCTCGGTGCTAGCGCGCTCGGCTGACGCGCCGGCCGCACGTCTGGCTAGGTGCCGGCGCCTTTCTTGCCGACGCTGCAGTCTGCCGACGATACGTCCAACTTCAACACGTATGAGGAGGATCCGAACGCGGTGGTCGAGTCGGCCGAGGCACTCTACGCCAGGGAGTTCGCCGACTTTTAGCGCCGCCGCAGCATCGAGCAGGGCATGTGAGACGGACGGGCGGACGGGGCGACGGGCGGTTCTGTGGTTGATAGAACTCAGTGAGCAAGACGTCGTGATTAAACTGTGTTACTGATTAAGATTTTAACACTGTTAATGTAACGCCTATCGTGTTTTATAAGTTGTAGTAGCTATCTGTGGTTAGGTTCACGGTGGTGTAAAAATGACAGGTCGGGCTATAAGCGGTGGGCTGCTGCGACGTCCCAGACTCCCAGTGCACCACTAACTCTGTGTTCGTCCGCCAGGTGGAGGCGCCGTTCATCCCCAAGTGCAAGGGTCCGGGCGACACGTCCAACTTCGATGACTACGAGGAGGAGCGGTTACACGTGTCCTCCACGGAGAAATGTGCCAAGGAGTTCGCCGACTTCTAGCGGCGACGTCCGACAGACCGAACCAAGTGCCCTGCGCGGCCGGAGCGCCGCGAAACGCCCGGAGACGGGCCATAGTCAGCGGCCAGCGCGGCGCGCGTGGCCGGCCGCGCCCGGGCCGCCTCCTGCCCGACCCACCCCCGATCATTATGCTATTTTCTGTGTAATTACTGGGTTTTATATTGGACGCGACCCGTCTGCCGAGAGCGAGTGCGAGTGGTGCGCGCGTGGCGGCCGGAGCGCGCTGGACAGGACGGACGTGGGCCGCCGCGCCGGCCAGAGAGTGAGTGGGAGCCAGAGTGGGAGAGAGCGCCCGCCGCCGACGGCGGTCGGACGGACCGCGCGTGTATGCGTGTCTGCCCATGCCGCCATAGAGACTATTTAACAGTAATGTTGTACAAACCCCGCAGCTGACCTAATCTCATCAAATTCTGTCCTATGTGACGGGCCGCGTGACGCGTGACGCGCCCGCCGCCGCCGCCGTTACGCAGCTGTTGGTGTGTGTGCCGCCGTGACGGAGCTGCGCCCCGGGCCGCGGCGACACGCGCTGTGCCGCCGCACTGACGACGGCGTTCGGATGCAGGGGGTGTTCTCTAGCGGACAATATGGGCAGCCTCGGTATCTGTTCGTCAGTGTTCATTGTTGTAGTTACAGCTGCGTTCATATTCTGTGATTTAGTTGGAGATTTTCATTAATACATTAAAGTATATTGAGAATCGCCAACGACGGTTTGCTGTTTTGTTTGCGATGTGGCTTTGGAATGGAGCGTTTGATGACAGTCTGGAAGACTACGAAGAACGACTTCAAGTAAGCGCAAACATCAAATACCATGACCACAGACTCGAGTCCATCGCCCTTGAACCCGCTGTCGCGTAGTATCTGCCATGGTATCGTCTCATCGTTAAAATGAGCTTTACACTCGGCTTCGATTCTTCATTTCGAAGTCTACCGGAAGCCTAGTCCAAGATTCCTTTACTACTCCGACCTAATGGGTGCGTCATGCTACCCCGCCCCATGGCGAGCGTCGATATAATCATTCCAGGAATAAGCCAATGAAAAGTCGATTGTGAACAGGCAAGGGCTTCGAGAGCCGAGATAAGCGCATGGCTTAGATAACATAACGAAGTTGGCAGGCTTTCAGACTACAGTGGGTATTATAGAGAGACGGGGTCCATTCAACTGGGGGAACGATCAACTGGTTGTTGATGAAAGAGCCGAATAATCTACATCGTCTACGACCATTATTTTTTTCATCATGGTTGTCTTATTTGTGATATTTTGATTGATTTTTTGATATTTGTGATATTTTGATTGATATTTTGATTGACTTGTTGATGTAGTCCGGGTCATCGTTGTAGCCACCAGCTAAGGTCGTAAATTCGTAATAGCGGATAATATGTAGTACAACCTGGTTAACCCGCGCCCAGATGGGGTCTGCCGAGCAACGCGGTCTGATGGGGGGGGCCATTTTGGCCCCCCCCCTCAGATCTCGAGAACCACGCAACATAGCGACAAGCGGTAAACGGTGTTGGATAGCCCCAGCGGGGAACTACCTTGTGACCCAATTTCATTGACCTCGGTCAAACCGATGACGTCACAGGTCAGGTCAAAGGTCGAATTTTCACCGTTTACAGGCATTTCAAGAAATGCGTTGTAAAATCGAGTAAAATGCATTTCATTGAAAATCATCGATGGAGAAATGCTCTTCAAACACATATTTTGCTATTTGAGGTCACTGATACCAGGTCAGGTCACAGAGGTCAGGTCACTGGGGGGTCACAATATGAAAGTGTCGTGTGATACATGTTTTATGGTCCATTTTACATGACAAATGCGATTATGTGGGTCAGACAGACTTTAGGGCCAGCTTAGGTCACGTTTTGGTCAAGGTCAGGTCAAGGTCAGGTCAAGGTCAGGTCAAATTAGGTCAAATTTCAAAGTTGATATTTTTGCATAAAATGGGTATCGATTCGATGCAGCTCGTCACGGGGAGTTCAATGGTGGTCTCCGTTTTGCGCTACGAGGTCTAGAACTGCTAAAAATTGAGTTCAAAAATTTGACGTCATCAATTTTTAACAGTTTTTTCCCTATAACTTGGCCAAAAAAAGAGGTATCGATCTAAAATTTGGTATGTATATCGAAGAGCGCAGGGACTATCACATATATTCCGGTTTTTTCGAAATTCGAAAAATTTTTGGAAATTTTTTGAGTTTTTCTAAAAAAATCAATTTTTTTGATTTTTGGGGGTCAAAATCCCAAAATTTCGAAAATCCGAGATAGCAGTTTTGTAGCGCCGTCTTTTCTCTACACAACCACATAAAGAACTTTAAAATTGCTTGTTAACTGTAGAATTGGTGAGCGTTTCAAGATGTCATGTTTTTTGCTCATTTTTGCTCGAACATGACCTCAGTTTGACCTCAATAACTCCTGACCTGAGGTGACCTGTGACTTGAAATTTTGTGTGAAGGTGTCAAATTGATGCCCGGTAAGGTACCCAAAATTTGGCGGCGCTGCGCGCCGCCGTTTTCTCGCTATTTAAGAAAAACCACAGGGGGGGGCCAAAATGGCCCCCCCCATCAGGGCGCGGGTTAAACTGCCATGCAGAGGCAAAAACGATTAGTTATGGCGATTTGATGGCGATAATGCGACAAGCCAATTTTGGTAACACCCATGAACGCTCAGCGACAGAGGCGGATCCAGCTCAGAGGTTTGGGGGGGGGGGGGCAAACCATAAAAATTTATCGATTCTTTCCATGCATCGTCCATAGGCGTAATGTTAAATTCATGCCGTTTGGGGGGGGGGGCAAATGCCCATTTTGCCCCCCCTGGATCCGCCACTGCTCAGCGATGACTAAATTGCGACTTGATGTAGAGAATGCCGCAGAATAAATAGCAGGATGAGACTGACCCGCGTTCGATGTCTCTCGGACGACGAAGATTCTACGTCGTCCGGCCAATCCCGTTCAAGGTCAGTGGGGGCTCGGCTCGCTGCGATTATGGAACGTGATTGGCTGGACGGCGTAGAATCTTCACCGTCCAAGAGAACGCGGGGTGAGTGTCGAAAATAGGCATACACATTACACAATGGGTGCAAATGGGCGTTTATTGGGAACAAAATCAGATCGACGATCGTTATAAAATGAAAAAAACGAATTCGACGCCAACTCCACGGACGTAATGCTGCGGCGAATGCGGCGATTTCTTGCGCATATTTTACAAGCAATAATATTTCTATTAGAACTATCCTTAAGCCTGAGTCCTGACGTCATAAAAAACTTTCAAAACAGATCACATTACTAGCAAAAAAAAATAATAAATTAGTCAGATGCTACTTTCAATTGATTTATGTATTATGCTGTTGGTAAAATTTCCGTATTTGTGTGAAACATGCATGAAAAAATGCGTTTACCTGTGGTGGCAGTCCCAATTTCTATTATTTTTGTTACGTCATCATAGAGTTACTGTTTAAAATTCCCACTTTCAAACATAATCCTTATGGCGTGCATTTTGTTTTGATGACATCAATGTGAAGACTGTGTAATGCGCTTTTGCCCTGAAAATTGAAATAAAATAAATTGGAAGCCTCTTGTTGTAAATAAGAAATCTATTTCCTGCAAAGAGGCCTGCAATTTAAAGGTGAGGCTCATTTTATCATTTATACACAGGCAGGTTCAGAGTGATCGTCAAAGTCACTAATCGGGAAATACACTAGCCACTAGGTACCTACCTACCTAACTCCCCCATAGAGATCTTATATACATAGAGATGACATGCACTTAAAATCGTGGCGATTCAGTGGGTCTTTTTAAGCAACTTATTTTCAGCCAGTAGCGTGCCAATATGGCTGAGGCATTGTTAGTCTGAAGAAATTAATACGTAGCGAGCGAAGCAAGCGTAGTCTTTCGTAGATTAACGGAAATGTCTGCATATGAGCGGCCGGCCGGCCGTGGTTACGCTTTTGCGAGGCTTATATCTCAGCAACCACTTGACCGATTTACATTCGATGATTTTTCTAGGGTAGCTTCATTCCTTCTACCAAGTATTGGACTATTCTCGATGCATGTGGGTGACCGCTTATGCACGTGCCACGTGCAAAACGAAGAGGTGTCAGTTTTGCAATTGTTGCAATATCTTGGTAACTACTTGGCCGATTGCGCTGAAAGTTGGTATGTAGGTGGGCACCCACTAGGCAATGCATATCCATGTGCCACAGTTGGGGTGCTGCTGCACGTGCGCACGTGCAGGGGTCGATTCCAGATCTCGAGAACGGCTGAACCGATTGTGCTGAAATTTGGTACATGGTTAGGGACCAGTTAGTAGGGTGCCGTGCAAAAGTCAGTTGTGGCCCATTTTGCACGTGTGCACGTGCAGGGTGCCGCTTCCAGATCTCGAGAATGGCTAGGCCGATTGCGCTCAAATTTGGCACATCGCTAGGGACCGGTTAGTAGGGTGCAGTGCACAAGTTAGTTGGAGGTGTCCCTTGCAAATTCGCTTGTCCAAGGCCCACCCTCTCGCTTGCTCCGTTGGTCGCCCCAAAAGGCGTTTTACTGGTTAAAAATATTTCTGTTCTTTCCTGGCTGATTTCATTCCTGAGGTAAGCAATGCAATTTGTAGCATGATTTCATTTTGTGTTTTTATTGAATTCCTTAAAAGCTCGCCTAAAAACATTCTCTCCCATTCAGGCTCTCATCAACCCGGCAGGCAGTGGACCTCCCGGTCACCTTCCGCGCGGTGGGGGGGGGGGGCATTTTTTTGCCCCCTCCCGTATCTCCGAAACTACTGGACGGATCCGTAACATTCAAACGATGTTCGATAGCCCTGTCAAATTTGTCGACGGAACTCCAATTTCATTGACCTCGGGGTCACCGATGACGTCACAGATCAGGTCAAAGATAAAATGTTTCGCGTACGTTAAAAATAGGGCGTACGTTGCCTAGTATATATGTTGCTATTAGAGGTCACTGATAATACCATGTCAGGTCACAGGTCAGGTCACCAAGGGTCAGCACATGAACCAACTTTACTATTTTCTAGGGTTGTGCGATGCATGTTTTATGGCCCCCTGACATGGTCCCCCCCAAAAAAAGGTTACAGGTCTAAGGTCATTTGGGTCAGGTTCATGGAATTTTCAGGGTAGGTTCTTTGAGATTTGGTCGTTTGGCGCTTTCGGTCAACCGTCGTGAAAACGGCTGTTCTGAACCTTTCTGAGCACGGTGCAAGCTCAAATATACATATGTTGCATGTTCCCATTCAATGATACATTAACCCTCGCCGGACCTATTGGTTTTCTACATACGCGCCGGCCGGGGGGGGGGGGGGGTTGGTACGATTTCCCTCGCCGTTTCGCCCCTGATGAAGCTAGAGCGTCGCGAAAAAAACAGGCGCGTGCGCCGTTACAAGACGCAGGGACTGGTACCCGATTTTAAGGTCTCATGAGGTCAGGGCAAGTGACCAAGGGCCAGGGTTCAATTTTTCATAACTTCGCAAAAAAAAAAACGATCGGAGAGCCGCGATTTTGGCATCATCGTGTTCGCCTCGCTCAGGCGCGTCGAATGGTATACTTTTTGTTCGGGTGAGGTCAACTTGAGGTGTTGACCTCGGGTCAAGGGCAGGTCAGCTCCCCCAGATCACGAAGCTGGTTGAAAGAGGTCATGTTACATATTACTCGAATCGGCAGGTCTTCCTGAGTTTATTGGTGGCTTTCCCGACTCGCTAACTCAATTTGATGGGGAGTTATTGATGAAAAACTCTAATGACCCAAGTATATAACTGCAATGAAAACCGTAAGCCTCATGCTAATAATTATATTCAAAATTGGGCCAAGAAAATAAGACATGTTGGCCAAACTGACAAACTGACTTTTTCAAACCGTCTAACGGTTTTCATTGCAGTTATATATGTAATCATGAGCCTCAAAAACGCGCTTTCTTTAATCAATAACACAAGTGACCATAAATGACGCCACGCAATGTCAACGATGCAAAAGTGAAGCATCGGACCTTGCAAGACGTGCAAGAAATCACGATTCCATGTGCTGGAGACGGTTTGAGATAGTTCTCGGCGCTAACATAGCAGTTTTCATTTTTCCCCATTGACTTATACCTAATGGTGAGGTCACGTGGCCGACCTGACCTCATGTGATTTTTAGGGAAAATCCGAGATATGTGTAAAAGTTGTGAGACCTCTGGCTGATACTACATCCTGTAAGTTTCATCTCCCTGTGAAAGTTCCTCTGGCACTGACGGCGTTGCGAAGTTGCGACATCTGAGGACTGTGCAGAGGTTCACTTATGACGTCACAGGTCAGTGGCCTGACCTGACCTGAAAATGCGGTTGGTGTCACAAGATGCGGCTTGGATCAAAGGTCAGGTATGCCAAGTTTCAGCTCTCTATCGCCTGCGTGTTCGGAGCTATCGTGAAAAACCCTATAGGGAGGCGACACCCGCCCCCCCCCCCGTCGGACGGCGAGGGTTAATGATACATGCAGTACCTGATACGAGCATAAGGTTAAAACATGCCTAATTTCATTTCAATAATAACGCTCGAAAGCGTCATAGCTAGACAAAAAAGAAAAACTGTACTTAAAAATAAGCGGATGTGAACACAATCTCCTTGACCGAATCCTTACAAAATGCAAGTCACGGGCCATGGCACCCCAGAAAACCTTGCTTAAAAAGACCCACTGAATCGCCACGAAATCAAGTGCTTTAACATAGGCGTGTCATCTCTATGTATATAAGATCTCTATGAACTCCCCAATCAATTGATGTTATTGCAATGGATATTTATTGATGATTCAGGATTTTAGGGTTGAAGGTAAGGAGGCAGAGATGCCATGAAGAGGCAGGCTGCTCTAACTGTTGACCTCTCAAATCAGACTGCAAGATTATTGCCATCTTGCAAGATATTGTTGGAGTTTGTGCGCCGGCAGGCGGCGAATATGACTCAGCCATGCAGAGGTTGTATATATTTATTGCTCTGTCTAGTGCTGGACTTCTGACTGTATTAGGTATATTTAGCTTCGTGTTAAAAGCCATCCTATATGTGATGTTGCATCAAGTTGTTTTGGTCTCTGTAGATTTAACGATCCAGCCCTGATTAGTGACAAAGGTTTAGTCCACGTGGTTCGGGATGGCAGGTGAAGAGGACCCCCATCACTACAATATGATTCTTTCCGGCAACGTGTGCTTGAAAACGTAAATTATATTTTTCTGTTGTGATTTTCTGCAATTAACCCACACCCTGGGGTCACCCAGGCTTGTTACTGAAGTCGGTCAGAAGCGGGACATAACAGATATTGTGCCTGGCTTCATAGCATTTCTGACAAGGCTTCAGCTAGTTTATTTTGAGGTAATTTTGATGCATTCCTCTTGGTAGACTTAGAAAGCATCATTTTGCAAATTTTAAAGCACCATTGGCATATGGCATCTATTGCAACATCATGGGCTGAGCCATAAGCTTGCAACAATCCCTAATGTAAATGCAGCTATTGTGGATGCAGGAGGCAAACTGCAAGTGTGCAGTGTTGTGCGGATAAATCATAGGGTCTTTTCCCCTGGGCCTGGTCAGTCTGGAAAAAAATCTGAGGAGGCTGGATGACTTTCGATGAGAGCTGTTTTAGAGCAGCCTCAAGAACATTCCTGTGAGGAACTCAGCTGTTTGCAAGCTGTAACAGGTGAAAATTTGTGGAATATGGGCCGCCAATATTTTGAGATAAACATTGTTTTCAAATAAAAAATGTGGATACCAATACCTATCAGAGCATACTATTAAAAAATATGCTCACAATTATGTCCATGCCAATCAAAACTCATAAATAAACAATCCATGACTTAATTACTAGGTATTTACTTGTGCCAGTTATACCTATAGTATCTATACTAGAGCTTCATCCCAAAAATAGCTTTCCTTTGGGATGAGGGAAGAGGAAAAAAGTGGTTGTGAGATGTGGAATCAGAATGAGCTTTGAGGAGCTTCAAGGTGTGTCAGGAACAATTTTTTTTGCAATGAGGAGGCTAGAGGAGCTTTGAGGTAAGAGGAGGTTGGAGCAACCACTGGAACAGACCTATAGTGCGGTGCAGAATATGCATAGAGTGGTGCAGATTCATGGTTGTACTTTGCTTAACCTAAACCCTCACCCCTTAGGGCTAACGGCAGACCCTACCACCCGTAGGGGGAGGGGGCGTTTCGGCCCCCCCCCCCTTAACCCGCGCCCCGTAGGGCTACCGGCGGACCCTACCACCCGTAGGGGGGGGGGGTCCGTTTCGGCCCCCCCCTAAGATCTCGGAAAGTTACCGGCCGATTTTCAAAATTCAAACGGTGTTCGATAGCCCCACCCGGGAACTACCTTGTGACCAAATTTCATTGACCTAGGTCAAACCGATGACGTCACAGGTCAGGTCAAAGGTCAGATTTTCACCGTTCACAGGCAATTCAAGAAATGTGCTGTGAAAGCGAGTAAATTGGTAATTTATTGAAAACCATCGATGGTACATTGTTCGTCAAACACATACCTTGCTATCTGAGGTCACTGATACCAGGTCAGGTCACAGCGAGGTCAGGTCACCGGGGGTCACAATATGAATGTGTCGTGTGATACATGTTTTATGGTCCATTTTACATGACAAATGCGATTATGTGGGTTAGGCAGCCTTTGAGGCCAGCCTAGGTCCCGTTTTTGTGAAGGTCAGGTCAAGGTCAGGTCAAATTAGGTCAAATTTCAAAGTTGATATTTTTGCATAAAATGGGTATCGATTCGATGCAGCTCGTCACGGGGAGTCTAATGGTGGTCTTCGTTTTGCTTTACGAGTTCTAGAATTGCCAAAAATTGAGTTTGAAAATTTGACGTCATCATTTTTGAACAGTTTTTTCGCTATAACTTGGCCAAAAAACGAGGTATCGATCTGAAATTTGGTATGTAGATAGAAGACGGTAGGCACTATCACATATATTCCGTTTTTTTCGAAATTCAAAAAACTTTTTGGATTTTTTGGCGAATATATCCAAAAAAAATACTTTTTTGATTTTGGGGGTCAAAACTCAAAAATTTCAAAAATTCGAGATAGCAGTTTTGTAGCCCTGTCAATTCTACACCTTTTATGTCTCGATCATTTTTCTGTATCTTCAAAGCTGTAGTCCTGACAGGTCTTCTCGCGAAGGTCTTTTTTCGGTCGAAAATGACAGAACATGACGTCACTCTGACGTCATTTGTGGCCAACCTATCATAGCCTCTGGAAAAATTTTTGGTCACTTTGTGTAAAATTGATGCCCGGAGGGGTCCTGAAAGTTTGGTGGCGATATCTCCAGCCGTTTAGGAGATATCGACCGAAAAGGACAGGGGGGGGGCGTTTCGGCCCCCCCCCCCTACGGGGCGCGGGTTAAGCCCTCGTAAATCTAACTACCGATTTTCAAAATTCAAACGGCGTTGGATAGCCCTACCACGGAACTACCTTGTGACTAGAAATTGCAATCCCGGGATCGGGATCCTGGGATCCCGGCGGGATTTTAATCTCGATCCCGATCCCGAATTTCGCAAATCACGGGATCCCGAAAAAATCAGTTCTTCACCCCAAAAAAGGAATACAGCCACTGCAAGAGTCGCTCTCAAACCGTGTACAATACTGCGTGACATTAAGCAGAGTACCTATTTATTTGGCACCCCATCCTAGCCGTCCACAATCGACCGTGTTGGTGCCTCCCGGGGATCACCCACAGCGGTTAAGCTGCTTGAATGCGCACGAAAAATGGTCCTCGAACGCCGAACGATTGCAGCATCAGTGCTGTAGCATCTTCATCAGGATCACGGATCGTCCAGTGATCCTGACTTGTCCGTGGCTGGAACAAAAGAGTTCAGCAAGACAGTCGTTGAGCTCGTGTCACGGGAAGATGTAACAGATGTCACACAAGTGCTAGCGGAGCTCACTGATTCTGATTGTGGCTCACTGATTCAGACGTTGGGACGAGTGGAGTGGAGCTCTCCCGGCTAGTACACTAACTCTGCTACCCTCAAAGCGACTTTGGAGTAACGTCTAAGAGAAATTATTGATGAAAGTGAAACCGGAAGGAGGTGAAGTGACCGAGCGACGTCATCAAAACATTGAGAAACAGGAGCTGCCAAACTTGGCGTACACTGGTCACGGTTTTTAGTTTCACAATGAACAAGCTAACAGCAATAACGGTCTTGCCAACTAGTATAGAGGCAGATTGGGCGTGGGAACCCGTCTCAGTGACGGGACAGTAAACGCATGGTCAACGCACAGTTCTGTAAAGGCCAATTGGGATAACATACTAGTCAAATTTAAACATTTTCTTGAAAAATTCGATCGTTTTAAATGCAAGGGACATGGTTTAATGATAGCTTTCGGTTGCTTCTTTGTTCATGTTTAGCTAAAAGACGCAAAATCTGTCAGAAGGAAACCATTTTACGAGCGTTTTCGACAAAACTTTCGGGATCCCGGGATTAGCAAAACGCTCCGGGATTGCAATCTCTACTTGTGACCCAATTTCATTGACCTCGGTCCAACAGATAATGTCACAGGTCAGGTCAAAGGTAGAATTTTTTGCCATTTACAGGCATTTCAAGAAATGTGATGTAAAATCGAGTAAAAGGCATCTTTTTGAAATTCGTCGATTTGGGGAAATTGTCCGTAAAACACATATTGCTATTTGAATTCACTGATGCCAGGTCAGGTCACAGAGATCAGGTCACTGAGGGTCACAATACGAAAGTGTTGTGTGATACATGTGTGATACATGTGATACACATGTGTTTGAATTTGTCACCCTAGCTGGTGCATCTTGTTGACTCTGTTGCCATTCTTTGCAATCTGACCCTCAAACACTGAGGAGGTCCAATATTGCTCTGCCCTTGGGGTCGCTGGAGGCTTGTGCAGTGTGAACTTTGAAGGGGTCTCTTTGCATTGTCATGGTGTCGAACAGGCTTTTTATTTTGTAATCACAATGGAACTTGTTAAGTCTGATCCCAGGAGGCTTTTAATTGAACTTAAAAGGGAGTGAATTATGCTAATTTCTAACATAATAAGCAACCAATCTTAGTCAAATTTCTTTGTTAGCTCAAGCCTTTGCCACACACTTCTTTGTATTCACATTTCTTCATGCATCACATTTCTTTCTTTCTGCAAGTATTTGACCACAGATTGTTGTATCCAGGAATCTGCACTATTATTTGCTCACAATTATATTTGTCCATGCTATTTTTTTTTTGCCCCAAGGCCCAACTATTCATTCATCTCACCACATCAGTGCACTCACAACTCCCTAGTATGTCTGACAGTTTACTATCAGCTCCTCATTGGTCACCCTCTGACTAGCCCTCACCAAATGTTGCTCTATGACCTTAGCAAATCACTCTTTTTATGGCCCCTTACTCACACATCCAACCAAAGTCTGGACTGTATTCATTATGCAGTCTCCAAGGAACATGTGCATGTGATTGTAGTTGATCCTATCTTGAAGTACCTGCCTAATTTGCAAGTAATATCATCTCCACAGGTGAAGGACGCACTGCCATGTGAGAATACTGCCAGTGTGGTGACCTGGTGACTGGTGAGAACTGAGTTGGTGGTGCATCTGGCTGTGAGCTCTGCTGTGATGGCGACCCCGCTGGCTGCTGCAGCTGGACCGGCACTGCTGATGCTGCAGCTCCTGGCAGCCACATCAGGATATGCTGGTAGGTCTTCTGGAAATGTGCATCGCTATTCACTGCTGTCAATCCTACATGTGGTTGTTACCTTGCGAATTGCAACTTCATTGGAAAAGTATGTTTTGCTCACATAAAGTGTGCTCACTAAATTGTTAGATTGAAAAGTATTGCAATGTGAAAAAAAATGTGATCATCATCAACCAGTAATAAATTTTGTGACAAAGAGGAACTGGGATGCATATAGCTAAAATTTCATTTCACAGCTCAACTGTTCTGGAGAGATTTCCCATACCCCAACTCCCCACATCGCAGCAGCATCCCATGTTCACCTTACACACAGTGACAGAGTGCCCCTCCCCTCCGCGCCCCAGACGAGTCGTCCGAGTCTCCGCCGCCTTCGGGGCTGCCGCCGCTGGACACCTCGATCCGCGACGAGCAGGCCATGCAGGTGGACGGCAAGACGATCGTGCGCGACCTGGGCTCCACGCTGAACCTGACGTGTCGTCTGAACTGGACCGGCCAGCAGCAGACGCTGCACGCCGTGCCCAAGATCGCCTGGTACCTGCCTACATCGGATCAGTGAGTGCCATGGGAGAGAGCGACGGCGATAGGAGAGGGTTCGCGGGACGGGAGTGACGAACTGAGCGGTGGATGAGGACCTGGTAGGACGACCTTTACGTGCGAGTGGTGGGGCTTTCGGCAGTGTCTTTAGGGTTTACTTTATGGGGTTGTATCGTGAAATGCAAGGCTGCTCTAGCCCCTGGGAGTGCAGTTGGAGTTACAATTGTCAAAGTTGAGATACATCAAAATGCACTGTTTTCAAAGAAACGATGTAAATCATAAACAGTATCTCGACTCGCCATCAACTAAAATGCTAGGCAATATGTGCGTATGGCATACCCTCCTTATGTCAGTTGATTCGCGACAATCACTAAACGTGTTTCCCGAGTCTAAAGCCCGTGTTCGCTCCACCATCGTATCCTATCTACTTCCCTAACCATCACCCCACCGCTTCCGCGCCCCTGTTCCAGACCGGAGCGGATCCGTAAGGAGCGTCTGGAGGGCGGCCTACGTCTGTCGGTGACCAACCTGCTCAGCCACGACAGCGGCAACTTCTCCTGCGAGACCCAGCTGGCCGACGAGACCATTGTGCTCAAGTCGTTCATACTCTACGTCCGGCCGCGTGAGTGGCAGAATCAGCGGGAGGGGCAAATGTCGTCAGCGGGGGCGTAAAGAGCTCTGGAGCAGCTTTGTCCTGGGCCGGCCGCGTCCGGCCGCGTGAGTGGCAGAATCAGCGCGGGAGGGCAAATACCGTCAGCGGGGGCGTAAAGAGCTCTGGAGCAGCTTTGTCCTGGGTATGGTGTGATGACTTCCATGGCTGGGACCACTTAGTTTGAAGCTGGGGTTTGTCATGTTGTACCTATCTGATCAGAATATAATTTGTCATGCTCCTTGTAATATGTGGCGCTACGTTTTGTAGTGCAGTGCGCAGTGTTGTGTTGCGCTGATGTTATGCCGTTTTTATAGGGGTTCCACCGTCCTCTGCTTTAGTCGGCTGTTGGGAGGGCCAGTTCCATAATGCCAGGGACGTTATATGATGTATTTACCGCTGTGTCGTGTTTCAGCCGGCTGTTCGGACGGCCAGTTCCAGTGTCAGGGGCTCTGCATCAACCGGGTTTTTGTTTGTGACGGGAAGGCAGACTGCCCAGATGGCCTGGATGAAATGCTGGAGACGTGCGGAAGTGAGTAATCATCGACTGATTGACATTTACAACTGAAGAGTCTGAAAATCGACGGCGGTTCATGATTCCTTCTAGAGAAACATATTTTATGGGTATATTTATATTGTTTCAGGTGACATTTCACGATGCATATTCTTCGCATGACATGAATAGCCGATGATCATTTCGAATAACTTTACTTACTTACCTTCAGTTTGTGATCCTTGGCGAAATTCTCTTGCTCTGTTTATGTAGACTGCCTGGTCTTGCATCCATATGCGACCTTCATTAAAACGCGCTTTGACCTTGGTATCATGTATTTGACCTCTTTGAATTACCTTCAGCGGCCCATGTGACCGTTATTCGCACACCTACCTGAGTACTGACCCTCCGTTGACCCCCTCCCCCGCCCGCTGCCCAGAGCACGTGACGTGTGACGACGCGGGCCGCTCGGGCGGCGGTCAGCTGATTAAGTGCGGCGAGCGGTGCCGACCGCGCCACTTCTGCTGCTACCAGGGCAACTGCAGCACGGGCCGCTACATCAACGAGGACGAGCCCTGCTGCAAGCACATCATCGGCTTCAGCACCGGACGTGAGTGGGGTGCGGGACTGACATTGGGCGCAAAATGACCTTTGCAGTCGTCGCGCCCTAAAGCCCCAATAAACAAACATTGGGTGCGGGACTGCGGGGGGCGGCCGGTGGCGAGTTGAACCGTTTGGTGTCACTGTGGGTTACACTCATGGTCCCATGATGTTCTGTGATAAGTTCCGTGTTGTTCCGTGACGCTGTTCCGTGTTCTGTGACAGAGTACCGGCCGCACGACCTGGACAAGACTCGTCCGCGGCACGATGACCAGTCGGGCGCGTACGACCGAACCTACCTGGAGACGGCCATATACACCATTATCGGTGAGTTACTGTGTCCGCAGTCGTATGACCGCACCTACCTGGAGACAGCTATTTACATTACAATATACACCATTATCGGTGAGTTCATGAATCACATCTAGTCGAGCTTTCGAGCTTTCGAGTTTTCAGGCCCTGTAATTGTAGAATTGCTCGACAAGGCCTCATGACATGATACCCCCCCCCCCCAAGATTCTTGAATGAATTGAATGAACACGCATTGTCTACTTAGATGAGGTTAAATAATCTCAGAAAGCAGCATCTCACGGTGTAGTTTCGGTGTTAGCCATGTCTCACCAGCTGACCCACTCCCCCTCCCTCCCCGTTCCCAGGCTGCGCGGTGGCGTTCATTCTGATCGTCTCCATCATGATCGTGGCGTTCTGCCGCGTCCACCTGCGCCAGTCGGCCCGCCTCTCGTCCTACTCGCACATGCGGGCTGCGCGCGCGGCGGCCGCCCACCCGCCGCTGGCCGACTTTGACCACCTGATGATGGCCGGCGGCGGCGCTCACTTTCCGGCCTACTACGGCGGCGGGCCGGGACATATGATGGTCACCTATAATATCAATAATGGCGTACAGGTGAGCGCTGCGGGGAAGGGAGAGGGGTGGGGTGAGAGGTCTGTGGTAGGAGAGTGAACATAGAGGCTGGGAATTTCGATGATATCTGCTATTTACTGTTTTCGTGATAGGATAAAAATGTTCCTAGTTCAAAGTCTCCTCATTAGTCTTTGGTGGACTCGCGGACTAGTTACCTTCACTTATATGGCTGGAGCGTCTGTCCAGCTTATTAACTTTGGACACTGATTGAATTTCTGTGTTCCCACTCTAACCCCGCCTGACGCCGCTCTGTCAGGTGATGCCGCTGATCAGCCCTCCGAGCTACTCGGAGGCGGTGCAGGGGCAGGTGGGTGGCTCTCTGGAGACGCACCGGGCGGCCGCCGCGGCCCCCTCGGCCGGCGCCCCGCAGCCCAACGCGGGCCCGCCGCCGCCGTACGCCTCGCGTGAAACCCTGGCCGAGCCGTCCCCCGCCTACGCCGGCTCCGAGAACAACAACGGAGACATCAACGGTAACAGCGTGTCGGAGGCGGCCGAGGCGCCGGCCCCGCCCCGTCAGCCGAGGCCGGCGGCGCCGGTGGAGGAACATGTGCCCAAGACTCCGTGAGGTGGTAGCGGGAGAGGTGCACCAGGCAGCTGAGTGGGGCAGTGAGCGGACAGAGACCGTGAGAAGTCGCGGGGGAGGGCGATCGAGTGTGCGGGGAGAGCCGCGCCGTGGGGTGGGGCGACGTAGTCAGAACTGTGCCGAAACTGTGGAGCGAGGCGCAAGACGGAATTGAATTACGGAGCAACTGAGTGTGGCGTCGGTTAGTTGCAGAGGTAGTCCGAGGTATTGAGGCCAGGAGAGAAGTGCGTGCTGACCGATCGGTCTTAAAAGTGGAGCTCCGACGCACACACGAACTGTGTCCGTACCACCGCAGAGAGTCGCCGTGGTTACCCAGCTAATAGCGTCGTAGCGACGCCCCAGGACAGTGACTCGGCGGACTCCTCGCTCGAAATCCGTCTTCCGTGCGGGTAGTGCACGTGCCACGTGCCATGCGCGTGCGATATCCGACTCTGATAACCCCAGATAGTCCTTGTAGAATGCCGCTCGATTTAGATATATTTAGAGTCTCCGCACAGGCAATAAGGGCTTGTTTAGTAAGGCAGTTTTGTGCTATTAACTTGTTTCGGCTCAACGCGCCCAGCGCTCGTGCGACTGATTTGCCAACCGAAGCCATATACTCTGTTGTGCCGTGTTAATTGTGCATTCGCCAGCTGTATCTAGTCGTGTTTTGACGTATGTACTATGTATGTTTAGTGTATACAGGGCACAGGCACACATCGCGCTCTTTGATAGCTAGCATAATAGCATTCCGAACTTTGTACATGTTTTGTGGTAATCGTCTGATATTACGCGGCAAATAATAGCCTGCCACATACTCGATAGCTTATGTTACTTTCATTATCATTTGTTGAAGGTATGTGATACACATAATAACTGAACGCAGGCTCGATCGTGTCGTTTGCATAGTGACTTGCCTCTGGGCTGTGGTCTGTGGAGTCTATTCGGGCCTCGCCTGTAGGTTGGAGCCAATCCCTCGTTCGCTGGTAGTAACCGGTCATTTACTACTGACCCCCGTCCGGTTCCTCTTCTGTCGGATAACTGTTGGCTATCTGAACGTATGGACGATGTCGTCGACCGCCTCTTGTGTCGCACATTAACTGGAGAACTATGACGTGCTCGCCCTCGCCAGCTAGTGCACCGCGGCCGCTGTCTGTATTGTACTCGTTTACTGACCTCTCCCTGTATTGGGATGGTAACTGCTCGTGTCCCGTAGCCCGCGACTGCGCCGGCGCGCCGTCAGGAGTCGGCTGATGTCTGATACGGTGTGATGAGCCGCTTTCTGCGGCTGTCTGTGAGAGAGGCCGGCTGCAGAAGCTGTGAGTGGTGGGCTGCAGTACAAATAAAGTCGCGTCCTGTGCTGCCACGGCTCCGTCTGTTGGATGGATCTGCTGGAAGGTGATACGCCGCTCTGAGGGGACCGCCTCTGCGGGCGGGTGTTAGAGGCCAAGGACCGGGGCTGGGAGATGGGAACGTGGTGGTGGTGTTGTTCAGCCGTCTTCGGAATCGGTGGTTGAATTTGATACCCGACCATTGACCGAGCTATGGAAAACTGGCGCGTAAATTAATATGTTCGATTGCATCCAGTTCCAGTTAGGTAAGATCATAAAGTTCTTCATCGGACAGGCAGTCTTATCACGATTCGCAGGCTGAAAATAGGCTTCCCCACCTTCCATTTCAAAAGATGATGATAAAACTTGGAATATATTATCGCGAAACAAAACATCACAGCAGACACCAGGATCCAACTCCACACCCTCCTCCACCGGACAACGAGACGATACATAGAGACGGAGCCCACTCAGAACGCACAGAACGACTGAGGACCACTCACGGCGCCCCAATCCCGGGCGGAGGTAGGACAGACATCACATCGCAAACTGCACGGATCTGGTAACTGATTCATACTGCGATGAATCGTACTGCTCTCCGAGTGCAGCTCCTTCAGACCACTTTAGGAAGCAGTGCACTTTCAGTCGATTCAAAGCTGGAAAATTAAAGATCCCAGCGTAAATATCTTCACGGCCTACAGCTACTGATCACGATAAGTTTGCAAATCACAAGAGGCAATTGTACTGTAAAAGAATAAAACAGACAAAAAACGGACAAATTATAAAATTGAAAAACGGACAACTATTTACCACAAAAAAGCATGAGCCGATAAAATGTGTAAAACACTGTTAAAACAGAGAAATCGTCCGACAGACGTCCCACCAATCGCTTTCGAAAAATTCACCGTCGCCTTTCATCACGGAGCAATTCAACCTTACGATCGAGCCGAGAGGCCACCATCCAAACTAGCAATATCCCAAAGTCCTACACTGCCGCACAGGGCCTTTGCCCACTCGGAGCGCTTCGAAAACACCTTCCGTCGTAACAAAGCATCCCTCAGCTCTCCGGAGCGTCAGCGGACGGGTCCGTGGCCGGTCCCTCACCGGGTGTAACTACGGGTGTAACGTCGGGTGTAACTCCGGGTGTAACGCCGGCGGTAGCAGGGCTGAGCTGTACGATCAGCTGTCGGATACCGGGCATCCAGGAGCCGCACTCTCCGGGATAGTCGACCATCAGCGAGCGCTGCAGCCGGTCGGCCGTTTCCACCGAGCCTTCAGACAGCGCTGAAAGGGGAGGGAGGGGCTCGTTATAAACGCTACCGCCGGTCGGCAGTGTCCACCGAACCATTAGACAGCGCTGCAGGGGGAAGGGGCGGTTAGAACGCTGCAAGAAAGGCAGACAGTGAATACGGTGAATCGTGCGCAGTAGCATAATCAATGGAAGCCGTGATGACATAAGAAAAAAATCATAAAGGTATTCGGCACCGATCGACTCAGCGCAATTAATTCGCACTCGAGGCAAAACTATCATCACTGTCAATTATTTATTCTACGGGAAGTAGACAGCGCTGCCCGGAAAAGTGGCCGAGCCTGCAACCGGACGTGCTTGCTTGCCTTTGACGAGCTGCGAGTCTCCGCTGCACTGGGCGGGCTTACCATTGACCAGCTGCGAAAGTCTCTGCTGGGCGGGCTTACCGTTTACGAGCTGCAATAAAAGTCTCTGTTGTACGGGCTTACCGTTGACGAGATGCAAGAGTCTCCGCTGGACGGCACGAGCTGCGATAGTCTCTGTTGAACGGCCACGCCTGCTTACCGTTGACGAGCTGCGATAATCTCTGTTGGACGGGCGCACTGAGCCGGTCGGCGTCCAGCACACAGCAGATGACGTCCACACGCAGCGTGATGTCATCCTTCAGCTTCGCCTGCAGCACGCACACGAAAAGGTGGTGAAGTCAACAAGTACGTTCTCACCTGTGTCACTAGGAGAGGGGATACCGCAGATGGAATGGTGCCTGACAAGAAGAGAAAGTCTAGATAGAATAATCAGCGAGTATCGGTGAAATACTCCTTCCGTGGGCTTATAGCAAAGTTTGAATGTCGGAGCATTCGATGTTTTCTTTTTTACAACCCACTGAACCATTGCTAATGTCGATCTCAATATAGCCGTCGAGCGTAACAAGACACGATCGTAAAATTTCACCGACGATGGTCCACCCAAACGAGTGAACGTGCCGCGCCAGACCATCCGGCCTAAAACAAACCGAACAAACCAACCAGCTGGCTGGTGGCAGTAACCTACCTCGATTTGATCCAGACCGTCCAGGATGGACAGCAGCTTGGCCTTGATCTCAGCGGCAAACAGAACCGGCGCCTCCTCACCAGACGACTTCGGTGGCGGACCCTGACCAGGAGCCGTCGGTGGCGGGCCCTGTCCGGGCAGCATAGGCGGTGGTCCCTGTCCGGGCAGCATAGGAGGCGGCGCCTGTCCGGGCAGCATAGGAGGCGGCGCCTGCCCAGAGGCCATCGGTGGCGGTCCCTGTCCGGGCCTGAGAGGGGGTGGGCCCTGGCCTGGAGCCATCGGCGGCGGGCCCTGGCCGGACAGCAGCGGAGAGCCCTGACCGGCCGTCCCCGTCACGGGGAAGGCGACTCGCTTGTTGAGCGGCGTGCGCTTTTGCTTGGCCTGCGCTGCCGACGCAGCGTCGTACGCGAACACGGGAGGGTCGTTCCATGCTTTATCATGGTTACCTGTATGAAAAGACAGGGAAGGCATGAGTGGTTTGACATATTAAGAGGGAAGTAAATGTAAAGAGAGTGCAGAAAATGTTGAAAACAAGGGCAAATGAAACGAAAGAAGAGGGGAAGGGGAGGTGTAGGTACAGGAAAAAGAAAAGGTGAGAATAAGAATGAGAGGAAAATAAGCCTATAAGAATAGGAAAGGAAATAGGTGGATATAGAGCTAAAGAGAAATAAGAAAGAGAAGAGTGAAGAGGTGAGAGAGGTGAGAGAGGTGAGAGGTGAGAGGTGAGAGAGAGAGAGAAAGAGAGAGAGAGAGAGAGAGAGAGAGAGAGGGAGAGATGGATGGATAGGCAGAGTTTAAGGGACATTACAAATGTTCTTTCACTCTAAAACTACGCAAAATGAGATAATGTCATGGCCTTGGCCTGCGCTCTGTACTAACCTTCACGAATCCAGGACATGGTGTGATTATCAAATTTCAAGCAAAGCCAGGCAGGATATGAGCAGATATTCTTTGGTCCTGAAAAAAACACTTATTAGGTTGGGCAGCAGGCCGGGTGAGTACCAACATGCATCATTACTACTGTGTGACATAAAAGTCACTGGCAAATCTACCACTCTATAATGATAAATTGCATCATTCTGGATGTTTTTCCACTCTTTCATTGATTTGCAGGTACATCAACATCCTCACAACTTAACTGCTGTGCAATGCAAGCAATCTTGGCAAGCAAGACGTCTTGCAGGTCCTGCAGGCCTGCAAGACGAGGAGCTAAAAAATTTGAAAAGCACCCTATGGCCAGTTAAACATTATTTGACCAACCAATCAGGCTAATTTTGACAAGATCAAGATCAATATTATTGTAATTCCAGTTTTAACTTGTAACACCTACCTAATTATTTTTAATCATTTAGGCATAGGAATATTGTCAAAACACAACCAAATTGGGTATTGTTATAGCCAGCCCCCGTTCACGAGCTTCAGAATTCCTTTACCGTGACGTCATCACGGCGCATGAATTTTCCTTCACCCATAGAAATGCATGCAAAGCATGGTGTGTTTCAGGCAGGCTAAGGAGAAATCTAAGGCCTACATGTGTTCAAAAGACGTACCACTAATCCAATGGATTCGTCTCATTACGATAAATGGGGTTGAAATAGAAAAAATCGGCCTATATTTGACTAAAATGGGCCTATCAAATGGTCCTTGCAACTCATAATGAAGGATTTCCTCTGCGTTAAAAAAATTGTTTCTTGTGATTTTTATCAGCAACAGGGGAAATCCTTCATAATTGCTACCAGATTACTACCATATTCCCTCGCATTTCTGTTGCGCATTGCCTCACAAATCAGAGTTTTGTGAAGTTAATATTAATTTAATTGTCATATTTCGACTGATTTAGGCGATTTTCAATTATTTCAACGCAGCATGGATCAGATAGCTCTCATAGTTTGCTGAAGAATGTGGCTTTTGCTTGGTTATTTTCAAGTTATCTGTGATTTGGTGCGCCGTGATCGTAGCATTATACAAATTACCTATATCAGATTCCAGGACAAATCTTCGTATGGCATTTCTTCGTCGCGCAATTCTTCGTCCGCATTTCTTCGTCCGCAAATCTTCGTCGGCGCATTTATTCGTGTCGCATAACTTCGTCTCGCATTTCTTCGTAAGCGCAAATATTCGTAGCGCATTTTTTCGTATCCGCATTTCTTCGTACGCGCATTTCTTCGTCAAGCATTTTTTCGTCCACGCATTTCTTCGTCTACGCAAATCTTCGTCCGCATTTCTTCGTCCACGCAAATCTTCGTCTGCGCATATCTTCGTCCGCAAATCTTCGTCCCCGCAAATCTTCGTCCGCAAATCTTCGTCCGCATTTTTTCGTCCACGCATTTCTTCGTCTACGCAAATCTTCGTCCGCATTTCTTCGTCCACGCAAATCTTCGTCCCGGCAAATCTTCGTCCGCAAATCTTCGTCCGCAAAACTTCGTCCGCAAATCTTCGTCCGCAAATCTTCGTCCGCATTTTTCGTCCACGCATTTCTTCGTCCACGCAAATCTTCGTCCGCAAATCTTTGTCTGCGCATATTTTCGTCCGCAAACCTTTGTCTCCGCTATCTTCGTCTCCGCAAACATTCGTCCACAAATGTGGTTCAATAAAACCATGAAGAAATATCAGACCATCAAGTGATTGACGAATTTAATGCATAGAATGGATGATCGAAACTTGTCAGGTAGATGAGGTCTGTCAGGTGAAGCTATTGTATTTGGGAGCCGAGAATTGAAACATTCCATATCATTTGTGTCCCGGACATTCTTTTTTCGCGGTCGATGAATGACAATACAATCTCTTGTACCCTCGCCGGCATAGGCGGCGGAACGGGGAGGGCACCGGGGCACCGTTCCCCTCTTTAATTTGGCCTTTTAACAGTAGCCCTATGGGCGTTGCATGGAAAGAATGGGACTAAAAGTCGGCAGTGCCAAGCCCCCCCCCCCTAATTGAATGTGTTCCGCCGCTACTGCTCGCCGGACCTATTTGTTTTCTACATATAGGTACGCCGGCCGAGGGGGGGGGGCGGGTACGACCCCCCCCCCCCCATCGCCGTTTCGCCACTGGTGGAGCTAGCGCGTCGCGGAAAAAAACGAGCGTGTGCGCCGTTACGAGACGCAGAGATTAATACCCGATTTTAAGGCCTTCTAGGTCAGGGGTTGGCTTACGGCCCGCGGGCCGGATCCGGCCAGGAGGGTGACGGTTGGATCCGGCCCGCGACCATCTGACGTCCGGCCCGCGGCTGGTATCATCGACTTACATCGTGTTCCGGCCCGCGGTTCCTTCAGAAATCGACTCCGATATAAAAGTGACTTAAATGTGCTTTGGCACAATAGTTCTTTCTTCGCACACTTCATGAGTTTATAAACACCATTTGCGGGTGTTTTTGTCTAATTCTACTTCTAGACAAAACTTGCGCGGGCCGGACGTCAGATGGTCGCGGGCCGGATCCAACCGTCACCCTCCTGGCCGGATCCGGCCCGCGGGCTGTAAGCCGACCCCTGACCTAGAAGGCCTTAAAATCGGGTATTAACCCAGTAAACATGACGACGTCGGCCCGACGTCGGCCCAACGTCGGTTCAACCTCGGCCCGACATCGGCTGGACGTCGGATATGCCCGCATGTTCCGACGTCCAGCCGAAGTCCAGCCGACGTCGAGCCGACGTCGGGCCGAGATCGTTTGCCGAGGTTGACGAGATCGTTTGTCGTTGGACCGACGGGGCCGACGTCGGCATGTTTATTGGGACAACGCGCCAAAAATATCAACCGGCGGCGGGATTCGAGCCCCCAGTCGCCGACGTCGGCATGTTTACACGCCAAAAGCATCAGCCGGCGATGGGATTCGACCCACGTATCATTCGAACGCAAGGTTAGTGCGCTAACCACTAGACCACGCAGCCAGATAACGATATTGGTTTGTTTTGTTGGGTTATGCCCTTTCGGTCTGACAAGACCATTTCAGAGCCGGAAGGATCATAGGATGGAGACATTGGTCTTCTTGGCGAGCACCCTGGGTCCAGTTCATATAGAGTCCCTGGTCCCATTGCTGTTACGTGACACTTATTGGAAAGGGCGACCCCACAATGGATTCATATAGCCACTCTTACACACCTGCACCAACGTTTCCCAAAGTGTCCCTTTGATAAGTGGCACTTTGGCAAAGTGACACTTGCCGACTGGCCTTTCTATATGAACTGGGCCCGGCCCTGGTGAGTTGCCGGGGCTGAGCCTGACCAAAGGATAGGCCGAGCAGCCCCCAAGCACTCACCGCACCCGGCTACGGGCGAGCTCGGCTTACGGGCAATCCCAAATGGGATAAAGTTTCCCGTCCAGTCCGGATCAGGGGGTTGCGGCGTGGAGGAAGATTTGAGTTTCCTGAGGATATTTTGAATACAGAAGCTCTTTATGAAGCATGAAACATGTATTTTATATTATTTTAACGGTCAAAACAGCGGCCGATGTCGGTCCGACGTCGCCCCGACGTCGGCCCGACGTCGACTGGACCTCAGCAATTGATCTCGGTCCGACGTCGGCCCGACGTCGGCTGGACCTCGGCTGGACGTCGGAACATGCGGGCATATCCGACATCCAGCCGACGTCGTGCCGAGGTTGGACCGACGTCGGGCCGACGCCGGCATGCCGATGCCGAGTTGCCGACGTCACCCCGACGTCGGCATGTTTACTGGGAACCTCTGCGTCTCGTAACGGCGCACACGCTCGTTTTTTCCGCGACGCGCTAGCTCCACCAGTGGCGAAACGGCGATGGGGGGGGGGGGGTCGTACCCGCCCCCCTCGGCCGGCTTATATGTAGAAAACAAATAGGTCCGGCGAGCAGTAGCGGCGGAACACATTCAATTAGGGGGGGGGGCACGGCACTGCCGACTTTTAGTCCCATTCTTTCCATGCAACGCCCATAGGGCTACTGTTAAAAGGCCAAATTAAAGAGGGGAACGGTGCCCCGGTGCCCTCCCCGTTCCGCCGCCTATGCCGGCGAGGGTACATGAGATTGTATTGTCATTCATCGACCGCGAAAAAAGAATGTCCGGGACACAAATGATATGGAATGCTTTAATTCTCGGCTCCCAAATACAATAGCTTCACCTGACAGACCTCATCTACCTGACTTCAAGTTTCGATCATCCATTCCATGCATTAAATTCGTCAATCACTTGATGGTCTGATATTTCTTCATGGTTTTATTGAACCACATTTGTGGACGAATGCTTGCGGAGACGAAGATAGCGGAGACAAAGGTTTGCGGACGAAAATATGCGCAGACAAAGATTTGCGGACGAAGATTTGCGTGGACGAAGAAATGCGTGGACGAAAAATGCGGACGAAGATTTGCGGACGAAGATTTGCGGACGAAGTTTTGCGGACGAAGATTTGCGGACGAAGATTTGCCGGGACGAAGATTTGCGTGGACGAAGAAATGCGGACGAAGATTTGCGTAGACGAAGAAATGCGTGGACGAAAAAATGCGGACGAAGATTTGCGGACGAAGATTTGCGGGGACGAAGATTTGCGGGGACGAAGATTTGCGGACGAAGATATGCGCAGACGAAGATTTGCGTGGACGAAGAAATGCGGACGAAGATTTGCGTAGACGAAGAAATGCGTGGACGAAAAAATGCTTGACGAAGAAATGCGCGTACGAAGAAATGCGGATACGAAAAAATGCGCTACGAATATTTGCGCTTACGAAGAAATGCGAGACGAAGTTATGCGACACGAATAAATGCGCCGACGAAGATTTGCGGACGAAGAAATGCGGACGAGGAATTGCGCGACGATGAATTGCCATACGAAGATTTGTCCGGTTACGCTATATCAACTTTAAAAATTGAATCAACTTTTGAAGTGAAGTTCACATGAAAAATCAAAAGTTCAAGCATAATAATTGTTTAAACATAATGATGCAACATGTGTCTCCCAGATGGAACTTATATTTCAATTAAAAACTGAAAATGGAAAACAGAAGATGGATCTGCGGAGTTACTGAGATCACAAGGTGCTCTTGATTGTTGGTAATTGAAGATGTTGAGAGAACTTGTGAATCTGCATACCAGTCCTGACTTGCTTGATTGTTTAAAACTATTTTAATTCTCATAATTGTGTAATGTGTAGTGACTGTGCACACTGCGCAGCACATGTGCGCAGAAATGTGCAGGTGGCTGGTAGGTGGGTTAAACTTCGGAGATGCGAATTTGGATGTCAGTTATAAAACTAATGGTTATGCCTTGTAGAGTAAGCTCTGCTGTTTTTTTTTGTAATTGTCTTTTTTATAATTGTAACCTACAGTGCTGTTAGTTTCATTTTTATTTAAATGCTCGACCAGAATTTGCACTTGTTCATGCATGAATGGTAAGTTTGGGGTGTTTATTCAACCCTGACTGCTCAAGTTTTTCAAAGGCACATGACACAGCACGGCTAGATCAGCTGGTACCTACCTGTTGACTATTTTTGTTTTTGGTGGTGATGTGTTTGCTGTTTGTCTTTTGCAAGGTGGTCAATGAAATAAAATAATGCATTATTTTGGAATGTTTCCTTGACAGAAGCCAGGAGCCGGATTGATGTGTGCTGGTGAATGAGATGGTTCAAAAGCATTATCTTATGTTTTTCAATGTGCATAAGCCATAACATCCCTTTCATACGCTGAAGTTTTAATAGCTTCTCAGTCTCTGTCATTTTCCTGAACTATTGGTGTACAGTAGATAAGAGATATCAGTACCTTCTCAGAGGTACCTGCCTTCTGCTGGATGAATATTTAATTGGTTGGACGAAATGGACAGGTAGCCTTATGATAATGTAATGTGAAATCTTATTTCTATAAAACTTTGAAAATGAAGTTCAAATTATTCATATGTGCATACATTTTTGATGACTAAGAAAGTTTTCCACAAGAGTAGAAAATGTGGGAAAGTCTATCAAATAACACATTCTGAAGGCTCAATGCTGACAGAGTGCTGCCTCAAAGAATAACTGACTTGCTGGGTTACGAATATCTCTTTATTTTAATTTTCAAATGTAATGTACAATACATTGCAGTGAAATAACAAAATAGTGCAGTAAAATAGTATTGGCGACGATCAAACAACACGTGCGCCATTGATGTCTGCAAAAATTGCTACCAGATTGCTACCAAATCCGTGACGTCACCACGGCGCCTTTATTTCCCTAGTGAACCAACCTGAGTAGTAAAGTAATCTTGGTTATAGCAGGCGTCTCACATGCTGCCACCGGTTTGGGAAAAGTCGCTAGATTCGTCAGTTCTAGAGATATTTCTGCCAAGTCGCTATATAGGGTAATCACATAGCGGTGATTTAAAAAACGGAGTCAGTTTTTTTCTGAGCTGGCGGGGGGGGGGGGCGTTTGGGGGGATTGCCCCCTTGCCGATAGCTCGGGAACGGCTGATCGGAGCCAGGATTGCAAGGTGGCGTTGGAAAGCGGTCGAGTAGACAAGCCTAATTAGTAATGCAAACTATCATCGGGATACTGGGGGGGCGCAGGGGGGATTGCCCCCCTTGCCGATAGCTCGGGAACGGCTGATCGGAGCCAGGCTTGCAAGGCGGCGTTGGAAAGCGGTCGAGTAGACAAGCCTAATTAGTAATGCAAACTATCATCGGGATACTGGGGGGGGGGGCGTAAGGGGGATTGCCCCCCTTGCCGATAGCTCGGGAACGGCTGATCGGAGCCAGGCTTGCAAGGCGGCGTTGGAAAGCGGTCGAGTAGACAAGCCTAATTAGTAATGCAAACTATCATCGGGATACGGGGGGGGCGTAGGGGGGATTGCCCCCCTTGCCGATAGCTCCGGAACGGCTGATCGGAGCCAGGCTTGCAAGGCGGCGTTGGAAAGCGGTCGAGTAGACAAGCCTAATTAGTAATGCAAACTATCATCGGGATACTGGGGGGGGGGGCGTAAGGGGGATTGCCCCCCTTGCCGATAGCTCGGGAACGGCTGATCGGAGCCAGGCTTGCAAGGCGGCGTTGGAAAGCGGTCGAGTAGACAAGCCTAATTAGTAATGCAAACTATCATCGGGATACGGGGGGGGCGTAGGGGGGATTGCCCCCTTGCCGATTGCTCCGGAACGGCTGATCGGAGCCAGGCTTGCAAGGCGGCGTTGGAAAGCGGTCGAGTAGACAAGCCTAATTAGTAATGCAAACTACTCGAACGCTTTCCAACGCCGCCTTGCAAGCCTGGCTGCGATCAGCCGTTCCCGAGCTATCGGCAAGGGGGGTAATCCCCCCTACCCCCCCCCCCAGTATCCCGATGATAGTTTGCATTACTATTTAGGCTTATCTACTCGACCGCTTTCCAACGCCGCCTTGCAAGCCTGGCTCAGATCAGCCGTTCCCGAGCTATCGGCAAGGGGGCAATCCCCCCCTTAGCCCCCCCCCCCCCCAGTATCCCGATGATAGTTTGCATTACTAATTAGGCTTGTCTACTCGACCGCTTTCCAACGCCGCCTTGCAAGCCTGGCTCCGATCAGCCGTTCCCGAGCTATCGGCAAGGGGGACAATCCCCCCCAAACGCCCCCCCCCCGCCAGCTCAGAAAAAACTGACTCCGTTTTTGAAATCACCGCTATGTGATTACCCTATATAGCAACTTGGTAGAAATATCTCTAGACCTGACGAATCTAGCGACTTTTCCCAAACCGGTGGCAGCATGTGAGACGCCTGCTATCATAATACTCCAAATTGAACCTGCGCACTCACAGCTTGACTCTCACCGCCTAATTGAAAAAGCCAGAAGCCCAATTTTTATGCAAATACCACAGTGTATACTAGATAGCCTTGGTGTATACCAAGTGTATATAAAAAGCGAAATACACTACTGTAGGGCCTTGTACTGAAGGTCCGTAGAGGTTATTATCAGACACTTTCTTTGTCATAAGTAGTCCTGGTCACGTGGGTTATGATGCGTAAAATCTTACATTTTATGTTATAAAGACTTCAAAATAACATTGATTAGTGAATATGACATAACATGATTTATTTTGTACAGTTTCATTCGAAAATTGCATTCAAAATTATTCGAAAACTTTTCCGTTAAATTAAGTCACGTGATTTATGATGCAACAAATCGTGCCTGAGCCACTTTTGTCTCAAATGCGCAGTAAGATTTTTTCCAATGATTTTTCCGATTTTTCCAAAGATTAGATACACGGTATATAGAGAACTATTAGATAGTTATTCTCTATGTACCGTGGAGGATAGATATTTTGAAGTTTTTCAAATACGAAGGTAATAGCGAAAGAATGCCGAATAGGTACCTACTACTTAATCTATCTTGAAGAATCTTAACTAGACAACTTCAGGCCTACGATCGATCAAATTTGTTCAGTGCGCCACCCTTGCTTGAGCCTTGTATCCTATGCTTAAAGTGTACCTGATACCTGATAAGATAGGATTATCCAAACCCAAGGAAAAATCTGCATCATCTATTATATTTGCAGTAGGTCAAGGTAGCCAGTAGGTAGGTCGTAGTAGGTATATGGCCTTCCATCATCCAGTCACAATGGGTACATCGGTACATCAATAATGATAAAGTTGATAACAAATAAGGCCTTGATCCAGTGAGGAAACCAAGTTGTTTCACAGTGTTGAAACTCAAGGATTGGTTGATTTCCGCCTTTTCAGGGGCATAGCCAAGGGTATATGTCAAGTTTAGGTCCTAACTACAATTGTGGCGCTTTTGATACGAATATGAAACAGCGAAAATTTTAGGTTTTAGGTTAGGTTAGGTTGTAGGTTTGTAGGTTTTAGGTTGTAGGTAGGTAGGTTTGTAGGTTAGGTTAGGTTAGGGTAGGTTTGTAGGTTGTAGGTTGGTAGGTTATAGGTAAGTAGGTAAGGTTAGGTCAGGTTTGATTATGTTTTTTTTCTTTTATTTGCGAGACATATGAGTATCATTTTTGGATTCAGGATGTCAAATAATGTATAAATATGAAAAATTTATCAATGAACTCTTCTTAGGACTTAAACTTGACATTTACCTAGCCAAGTCGGGGGGCACGGGGTGACGCCGACATGGCCTTCCTTGAAGTTGAAGGTGAAAAATAAAATTAAATTGAATAGAAAATAAAAATAATTAAAAACTGCTCCACCACACCCCCAAAAATAGTGGGTCAAATCCAAGGAGTTTTTCATTTTTAGAGGGGGTACCTATGACAGACGACACTGGGCCGCGACCTGTGGCCTCTCCCTGAACAATTCCTGGCTATGTGCCTGCTTAGCCAGGATTTGTTTTGATTTGTTTTCCTTTTGCACCTTTTCCAGGAGTCTGCCATGACTGCCAAGTCCCAGTGTCTTGTCGAGTGTTAGGAATAATAGAAATGATGTAGGAAGTTGATTGTATTTGCCTGGGTGGATAGCACATTATGAGTTTGTGAATTTTTTGTCTTGTTTTGAGGGTGGTCAATGCTGATTTCCATCTCAGTTTGTCAGTTGATGCCTTGATGGCCTATGTAGAGTTCCTATCACTAGTCTAGCTACTCTGTTTTGAAGTTTTTCCAGTCGCAAGGAGTCAGTTGCTGTGATATTTCTGTCAGATAATGTTGCAATAGTCAAAGTGGGGTGGAGGGCCAGATCGAGATGCGAGATGTATATGCAGTAAATGAGATAGAGAACATGTCTTGGTAAAAGTGATGCTGTAGGGTAGAGGGGATTCTATGATCTACTGGCTTTCAAAATAATGTCATTTACATGTTGATGAAAATGCAAATATTGAGAAAGGTACCAAGATGCTTTTGGGAAAGAGACAGACTGTCTCTTTCTGTCACAGAATGAACAGCTCTGCCAAATGTCAATCCATTTATTCAAACATTCAGCTAAAAAATATATAAAATTACTTGGCCAGTTTGACCACGTCATGTGCTGTCCTCTGACAGGTGACTGGTGCCGCCGCGCCCCTGTCGTATGTCTGAGAGCTCGGGCGACTCGGCCACAGAGTTCACTTGTCTGATGGATACCGCGGTGGCCGTGGGTCATGCCGGCGCCGGCAGCGGCAACCCGGCGCGCCGCAAACGCCGCTCGGGCGCCGCCGACGCCGAGCCGGCCGCGGCGCCGGCACCGGGCCCACCGCCGCCGCCTCCTCCGGCCCCGCCCGAGGGCGGCCGGCGCGGCTCGGAGCGCGAGGTGGTCGAGGAGGTGGTCGAAGAAGAAGAGGAGGAGCTCAAGTACGGCGCCTCGCACGTCATCAAGCTGTACATGCCGGTGACGCTGTGTATGCTGGTGGTGGTAGCCACCATCAGTAGCATCCAGTTCTACAAGGAGGAGTCCACCACCTACCTGTGAGTCACCGTCCACCGGGCTGCGCTTCGCGAGTTTTAGGAGAAAGAACCCCGTCCTCAGTGCTCATGCTGCTTGATTTGGACATAATGTCGCTCTAGCATGATTCTCTAATACTTTGTGAGAATCATTCCATAGTAATTATAAAACATATTTATGAGTTTCATTACTTGCATCAGTCTTTCGTCGCTCTCCGGGCTCGGACAGCATCCCATTTACCAATGCGGCACCGTGTGTTCACAGGCTGTACACGCCGTTCCACGAGACCTCTGACAACGCGGGCACCAAGGCGTGGAACGCGTTCGCCAACGCCGCCATCCTACTCTCGGTGATCGTCTGTATGACCTTCTTCATCTTCATGCTGTACAAGTACCGCTGCTACAAGGTGCGTGCGGGAGGGATCGGTAATGGGTGGGGGGTCGTGAATTTGTCGTAGTTAGGCTTGATTTCGGTTGAGACTACTGCTGATGTTGTCGATGATTCGTTGTTTGGAAGATTCACCATAATGTCTGTATTTGATCAACGGTAAGGCAAGCTTCCCATTTCGTTTGCGTTCGCTTTGGTGAGCTGTGATGCAGCTGTGAGAGGGCGTGACATTCGTGCTGCTGTTCAAAACGGTCTGTTTCTGGTATGGAGTGCTCCGGACTGAATTTATGTATTATGGTGTGACCTTTGTGTTCCTTTCTCGCAGTTTATTCACGGATGGCTGATTCTATCGTCGTTCATGCTGCTATTCATGTTCACCTACATTTACATGTCGTAAGTGAAAGCCAGCCGTTGCCTGAGCCATCAGAGCTCCAATGGTTCATAGCATTGCTGCTCGCTTGGTCCACTTCAATGTTAACTGTTTTGTATCATGTGAAAATAGTTTGCATGTAGACAACTGATCATTTGACATCCTGCTGATACCTAAGACAAGTCAAATTAAAATTACTTAAAAGTTTTAAAACTTCCATGTCGAGGATCAAATTATGCAAGTCTGTATTTGGAAATCAGTGCGAGAACATTCTTCTAAATTCCGTTCACTAATGTTCTGAAGTTCGACAAATGCGGTGGTCTGCTGCGCCTAGTGACGTGGTTTCACCTCTCACCCGTTACAGGGAGGTACTGAACGCGTACAACGTTCCGATTGACTACATGACGATCCTGTTCTCGCTGTGGAACTTTGGCGTGGTGGGTATGGTGGCCATCCACTGGAAGGCGCCGCTCATCATACAGCAGGTGAGGACACAGTCAGTGTCGGAGGGGAGCGCTGTGACGGGAGGGAACGGCAGGAGGTGTTCATAACGAGTTTAGAGATAGGGAGGAAGACGTGGCTTGAATCGGTCCAAAGGCGTTTGTGCCACATGGCAACCAATGCCTGTTACGTTGCCAAAGACGGAGCCCAACTTTTTTAAACTTACAGATAATCATTCGACGATCCACTGACCACAAGATGCACCCCAGTTACCAGTATTGACGCCTGGCCTGCGGTCTTTCGGCAACACGCATATACCACTGGCCCACTCCATCGCAACTGCCTTACACCCCTCTGACCCGCCCCGTTCCACCTCGCAGGCGTACCTGATCTTCATGTCCGCTCTGATGGCGCTGGTGTTCATCAAGTTCATGCCCGACTGGACGACGTGGGTGGTGCTGGGCACCATCTCCGTCTGGGACCTGATAGCCGTCCTCTGTCCGCACGGGCCGCTCCGAAAACTGGTGGAGACCGCACAGGAACGGAACGAACAGATCTTCCCGGCGCTCATCTACTCGTGTAGGTGCCGGTGGGGATTCTGAGGGGATTAGATGGGACTGCTGCGATGCGACTGTGAGTGGGCTGAAAAGCGTGAAATGGGAAGGGAGACATACGGTTGGATGTTTGCCTTCAGAGTATGTAATAGGAATGCCGTACTCTGAGGGGTCGGTAGCTGGCAGCAGTAATCGAACATCTCATTGTCATGTTGCCAATAACTCCATCGCTAACTTAGTCATCGTCCAACATGTACGCAACATGCCTGTCTGTCTTTCTCACATTTCATGTCGTTCAGATCAGATCAGATCAGATCAGATTTTTCTCGGGGTGTTGGCTTTGCAACGCCACCCCATCCGTATTATCTTCGTCTGATATTTTATCGATTCTTGTGATCTTCCTCTTTGGCGTTCATTTGTTATTTCTACATCTCCATAATTGATATAAGTTGTTCTTCTTTTCCTCCATTGACTGGTGGCAGTCATTTTCAAAAAGGAAGTCTTCTAGTACTTTATCATAGTCCTCGTTCAGCCGGGTCCACTAGTCCTCTGGAGCGTTCCCTCCTCAACCCCACTATAGTCAGCCCCATAACCTCGGACTGTCTCGCCCGCAGCGGCCATGGTGTACAGCACGGTGGTGATGGCCACTGACGAGGGCAGCGCCCCGCCGCCGGCCCGGCCCCCTCGGCGCCGCTCGGCCGCCGAGAGCGACGACGGAGGGTTCGCCGAGATGAACGACCCCGACCGGCAGGAGCGGGCCGCCCGGCGCCGACAGCAGGTCAGTTAGCCCACCCAGCGGGCAGTGAGGGGGTGATAGTAGGAGCGGGCCGCCCGGCGCAGACAGCAGGTCAGTGAGCCCACCTAACGGGCAGTGAGGGGGTGACAGTATGGGTTGGTCGCCCGGCGCAGACAGCAGGTCAGTGAGCCCACCTAATGGGCAGTGAGGGGGTGACAGTATGGGTTGGTCGCCCGGCGCAGACAGCAGGTCAGTGAGCCCACCTAATGGGCAGTGAGGGGGTGACAGTATGGGTTGGTCGCCCGGCGCAGACAGCAGGTCAGTTAGCCCACCTAATGGGCAGTGAGGGGGTGACAGTATGGGTTGGTCGCCCGGCGCAGACAGCAGGTCAGTGAGCCCACCTAATGGGCAGTGAGGGGGTGACAGTATGGGTTGGTCGCCCGGCGCAGACAGCAGGTCAGTGAGCCCACCTAATGGGCAGTGAGGGGGTGACAGTATGGGTTGGTCGCCCGGCGCAGACAGCAGGTCAGTTAGCCCACCTAATGGGCAGTGAGGGGGTGACAGTATGGGTTGATCGCCCGGCGCAGACAGCAGGTCAGTGAGCCCACCTAATGGGCAGTGAGGGGGTGACAGTATGGGTTGGTCGCCCGGCGCAGACAGCAGGTCAGTGAGCCCACCTAATGGGCAGTGAGGGGGTGACAGTATGGGTTGGTCGCCCGGCGCAGACAGCAGGTCAGTGAGCCCACCTAATGGGCAGTGAGGGGGTGACAGTATGGGTTGGTCGCCCGGCGCAGACAGCAGGTCAGTGAGCCCACCTAATGGGCAGTGAGGGGGTGACAGTATGGGTTGGTCGCCCGGCGCAGACAGCAGGTCATTTAGGTAGTTTCTCGCCGCCATATTATGGATGCAGACTGGTTTTTGATTCACCTTTTTTGGATCGATTCAATCATTGATTCATTTGATTTTTGTTTGATTCAATCACTGTTTGATTCCTTCAAAACATTTGGTGAATCGATTCCTTTTGATTCAGAGAATCAAAAAACAATAAAAGGAATGATTCACGTTTGATTCAGCCAAAAATTTTTTGAATGATTCTTTTTATTCAATTAAAAAATAAAATTATTTTTGTTGTCATGTAATGGCAGTAGTGTTCATATTTGTTGATAATGAATTATGTTCGCTCACTTAAATTTATTTAAGTTCATGAATCATTAATTTTTTTGATTCAATCAACCCTGATTCCCAATGCGTTTGATTCAATCATGGCTTGTGAATCAAACAATCCTGACGGTGAATCAAACCTTTTTGATTCAACAAATTTTGTTTGATTCAATCCAATCGATTCAATCACAGATGAATCAAACACCATTCTGTATGGATGACCCGCCAAGAGCGGTCGGGATGGTGAAGGAGCTGGAGCGATAGGGCACCTGGAATGGATGCTTTGATTGTGGACGGGTCGGCTGTACTTGGGAAGTTTGACCTCTGTCTGGTTGCTTGTCCGGCACAACAGGCCCCTCACTCCCTGTTCTGTCATTGTCGTCAGTGTTATTGTCGAGCTACGCCGCTAGTCTCTCTAACTCTAACTCTTTTATCTGTGACTCTATCTAACTCTACAGTCTACCGGGACCGGCACCGACAGCCGTCGCCGCCGCAGTCCCCTCTCTTAACAGCAGGGTTAGAGTTACTCTAACCCTATTCCCATTCACCCCAGGTGGTACACCAGGCGCCGGCCGGCGACCGTCAGTGCCAGCCGCCGCCGCAGCCCTGTCTCTCACTCTAACCCCATTCCCATTCACCTTCAGGTGGTTCACCAGGCGCCGGCCGGCGACCGGCAGCGCCAGCCGCCGCCTCAGCCGCAGTTTGTCGAGGACGAGGAGGAGCGGGGCATCAAGCTCGGCCTGGGCGACTTTATCTTTTACAGCGTGCTGGTGGGCAAGGCGTCCTCGTACGGCGACTGGAACACCACCATCGCCTGCTTCGTGGCTATCCTCATTGTGAGTTGAACAGAGGGAGGGAGATACAGGGGTTGTCAGGGTGTGATATTTTTGTGGAAGCCGGAAGGTGGGTTGGTGGGCGTTTGTGTAGTTCAGTGGTCGGCAGGTCATTCGGGGTCGTGCCCCCTTTTTGGGCGCCAGGCAGGGCCATTATCCCCACATACCAGACCCCATTGCTGACACAACCAAGTTTACTGAAATTCCATACCGCCCTGGAACTCTTTGGGTATTTGTGCATTTCCAATGCATCAAATTTAAAACATGACACTTCCTCCACAAAACATTTAATACCTATATCCCAGTAGCGGCGGAACACCTTCAATTAAGGGGGAGGGGGGGGGGGCACTGCCGACTTTTGGTCCCATTCTTTCCATGCAACGCCATAAGGCTAATGTTAAAAATGCAAAAATCAAAGGGGGCACGGTGCCCCGGTGCCCTCCACGTTCCGCCGCCTATGCCTATTTACCTAACCCTTGTACGTATAGGGGCGGCGGATGGTTTTTCGTTAAAAGCTCACGTAAAAGGCATTGGATCACGACCAAATTGTACCCTCGAGAGACCATCATTTTTTTTCTTACCAGCCCGGAAAATATCATGACCTGAAACCAGTTTTACCAGAAGAAAAATAACCGCCTGCCGGAATTTTTGCCTCAAGACCGCTTCACATACGTAAACGCGATGGGCTCGTAAGCGGATAGGGCTTTACCGTTTACGCTCCATATGTGAAACGATCTTTAGGCAAAAAATTCCGGCAGGCGGCTATTTTTCTGTTGGTGAAACTGGCCTCTGGACACATAATGACCTTTGGCTTATGAGCTTTTTCTGGAGATCATCCTGAGCCATAAAATCTCACTTCAAGAAGTTATAGCGGGTCCCGATTTTCTCGACACTTGTCATTGCCCTCTTGAATGAGACGGAATGACCAAGGACCTAAAAAAATGGGCAGCAGCGGCTTCCTATTGTCACGGGTAGCACGCTCGTCTTTTTTATGCACAGCTCCATCTCAGAGTCCGAGAGGCCGCGGGGGTCCGATCGACTCCTCCCCCTTACGTTAGCGGCTGTTGAAACGCCAACAGACGGGCGACGGTGCAGGTGCTTTTGTATGACTGTACGGAGGGGTGAGATGGTGAGGCGAGCAGGTACATGAAAATTGGTATCTAATCAATGTGTGCTGTGCCTTTGACCTGGGCTAATCTTTGAACCCTGGGATGCAACAGTCACGATGGCTCCATCACTGGAGCTACAAACTCTAAAAAGATAGGCTTTCTCAGAATCCCTCATTACCCCCACCGAAAGGGCTCCATAACCCCCAAAGGGGGCATGCCCCACCATTTGCCGACCCCTGGGTAGTTGATCGCTTGTTTTTTTTTTGTAGTGGGACATTTTTTGGGGGGCGGGGGTAATCGGGTTTAACTATGGACAGGATTCCGCGATTCTTGTTTATGTCTCTTCCGCGGCTCCCAAGTTGCAGTGCCTTGTCCATTACGCTAAGGCCATACGAGTAGTGCTGTTATGTGGGACCTAATGTAGCACTCTGTTTAATCTACAACTGTGATGCTTAGTGCGCATCACATCCATTAATACTTCACCCATGATAGTCACTTCACGCCTTCCGCAAGTGCACAACTCTCAGTTCAGCTCTCCATCCATCGTCCCGCTCCGACGCCCATTCTAACCCCCGCCTCTCCCCACAGGGTCTGAGTCTGACGCTGCTGCTTCTGGCCATCATCAAGGCCGCGCTGCCGGCACTGCCCATCTCCATCACCTTCGGCCTGGTGTTCTATTTTGCCACGCGTGCCGTGATCGCACCATTTGCTGACAGCCTGGCGCTGCAGCAGGTGTTTATATAGCGGCGGCGGGACACGGAGACACTGCGGAGCCCGCCGCCGCCGAGCCGCCCGACAGGTGCTTAGATGGTCCTTGTGATGCCACGGGGGGAAAATATGTGGAATCATACATAATCCCGATTTCCGTGTCAATAGATCCCAGAGACATGACGTTGAGATACATCCATTCGGTGCTCACTAACTTTGTGAAAGCGAATGTGTGATTAGAAAATTGTGCAGTGAGAAACTAGTGACCCAAACAATCAAACGATTCGAGCATTTTATGAGTGAGAAAACACGCTACGCCCTACTTGCAAGAGAGATCTTTGTATGTGAAAGTATTAGTAACATTCCACGCGGCGCGGACTCGACCATCACCGACCTCATATCCGTGGAAGAAATGACTCCACTCCGGACCAAGCGCCGCGTCTTTCCTGTCAAACGGTGCGGGCTGGTGTGAGCACGGACTAAACCTCTGAGCGGAGTGTCGCCATGTCACCTCCGCAAGACAACAGGCCCACGGAGGACAATGCACTGCGATGCTGGTATTTCGGTGACTCTGAGACAGGTATGAAGCCTGAGAGACTGGAAGTGGGAGATAAGGGAGGGAGGATGGTCAGAGTAGTGACACTGATTCAAGTGGACCGCTGGGACGGCAGTCGGAAGGAGCTACCGGCGAGTGGCAGGGTACTGAGATCCACAGCAGTGGCGGCATGACGAAGCTCGAAGACGGTGCTCAGCCAGAGCGGCAGGAGCCCCCTGACAGGTCCGTGGTGTGTTGATTGACACAGACCCGATGGACATGACAGTCCTCTGACAGGACTGATGACAGGTCTGTAACGGCAGGTCCATGACAGGTTTGTAAGGGATGTAATGAGTCGGTGTCAGGGTCACAAGACAGTGCTCTTTGCACCGGTATACGTTATCAAAGTGGTGTGCTTTTTATCTGTGCTTGGTGTGCTTCATATTTAATGCGCTTTTACCGTCGCGAACTATTCGTAATCCTTGCGCGGTATAATAGTTTCGCATTATCATTCCAGTCGCATCGGCTTGTGTACCCAAAGATGTCTTGTTTGAATGTTGAGCGTACTGATCAGTCATCACCCTGTGTTGCTTTGCTTATTCAACACGGCGATTAAGCTTCTAGAATAGTTGGGAGATAATTTGAATCGTGCTGTTCACAGTCGCCTACGGGACGGGAATTGTACCGAATATGTCGCTCTACCAATTAATACATATTCGTTGGGACTACTCGAGGGCAGCGCTTTTCGAGGAGCGCTGTGGCCCGAAGGTTTGGACTTTGAATTGTGAAAAACGCCCGCCCGCCGGAAAACGCACACCGCAAAACGCGCAAAACGCACGCCCGAAACGCCAACGCAAACGTCGCAAAAAATAAACAAACGCCCGCCCGCCGCAAACCGCAAATAAAAAACGCAAAAACGCCGCAAAACAATAAAACCGCCCGCCAACCGCAAACAAATTTAACACCGCAAACGACGCAAAAAAAAAGAAAACCGCCCGCATCGCCCGCCCGCCCGCCCGCCCGCCGCCAAAGACAAACACCGCAAAAAACACAAAACGCCCGCCCGCCGCAAAACGTAAACACCGCAAAACGTGCAAAACGCACGCCCGAAAAGCCAACGCAAACGGCAAAAAATCACCCGACCGCCGCAAACCACACAGAAAAAAACGCCGAAACGCCGAAAAAATAAAACCGCCCGCACCGCACCGACGCTAACTGCTAACCGAAAACGACTAAAAGTCGCCCGCCAGCCGCCAAACGCAAACACCGCAAATAAGCGCCCGGCCGCAGCAAGATAATAATTTATCAGCGGCTGGCATACCGCTAGGCTGGTCATTTTCACAAATCAAAAAGATATCTGCAAAAATCTCCTAGATGAAAGCGCCCGATTAAAAAACGGATGGCACGTGCGTGTTCCTCGCCCCCAACTTCCTTCAGGTCAATCGTCATTTGGGTCATCTAACGCATTGACGTATCTGCAAAAATCTCCTAGATGAAAGCGCCCGAGTAAAAAACGGATGGCACGTGCGTGTTCCTCGCCCCCAACTTCCTTCAGGTCAATCGTCATTTGGGTCATCTAACGCATTGGCGACCGGCTGGGTGGAATGAACATTGCGCCAAGAAACGTAAGTATATTGTCAAAAAGAATCCCCGAGTGGTGGATCCCAAAAGTTTGAAACTACCACTTTGGCCCACTGGACGACACCTTAAACAGTTGCCGACCGGATGACACCCATTGTTTGGTCACCCACGCCATAGTATGCATCATGGGTGCGCCGAAATGACCAAAAGTCCCAATTTCCGGTGTGCAGGGTCATTTTCAACGGCACGTGGCACGTGGTTCTGGACTTTTCCGGCCACTTTGCGACATACCCATGGGTAGTGCACCGAATGGTGGTTGATCTGCATGTAAGAAAATGGGGGGTCGTTTGGATCGTTTTCGAGCAATCTGCCGTGGAACGCATTTTTTCATTTTCCCCATTGGCTTAACACGGGAATTTTTAAAGTCACGTGGCACGTGCACCAGATGGTCCGCGGAGGGGAGACCCATACCAGAACGTAGATCACCTGGCCCACTAGAAATACTGAAAAAATCAGAATATTTGAACCAGCCGTTTTCAAGAGCATCAAGTTGTACTGATCTCAGGCAGCTTTTGCCAAATTGTCAGGGAACTCAGATTTGTTTTTCAATAGAAAAACACAATTCTAAAGAATAGTGTTTTAACTATTGACAACAAACCTTCGGTTAAAAAACACAATTCTAACGAATAGTGTTTGTCTTTTCAAACAACCTGCGGCTATCAACTATTTATGGAAAGGTTACAAGTTACCGAGTGGCAAGTATTCAGTTTCAGTGAAACGGAGAAAAGGTCATAACAGAAGTGCTGCATAGTTATATTGTTCGCCCATATCTGATAGTACACGCCACTCACCATCGCAAAGTTGCGCGACAATCACCACATGCTGAAGGAAGCACCGCACGTAGGTACGAAGCGCTCTGTGGATCACACGTTTTACGGCTCTCCAATATCAGTTCGGACAAGCGTGGTCACGCGCACGCGGTAGATCGCATTAATGAAGCAGTGTTCGATATCTGACTAAAGAGGCGTTCATCTTGTCCGGCAATTATTGCTACAGACAACGCACACCATGATACAGAATTGGGCCATACTTGAGCATATTCACACTGGTCGTTTCAGAAGCGAGGCAATATCTTATACCGAGTATAGTGCGAGAACTGCACGCATCACAATTCACAGTATTTCTTATGACTTTTCACAATTACCTGAAATCCTGACTTTGTTCTGGTGTCTTAAGAACTGTTTACCGCAAACAGCTCATATGGAACAAACGCGGTTCTGGGAACCAAAGTCCGAGCGATAACGGTTGACTAGGTCGATTGGCAAAGGAAGCTAGGTTTTGTAGCGCGCAACATTTGGCACACTTGATCAAACGGCAGACATAACTGAAGTCTGAGACTGATTCCGAATGGCACATACCAAACGCTTGGATATAAATATTAACCATAATAGTTAGCCAATCACCACAGCAATAGCACCATTGAAACAAATCATCACACAACTGGCATTAGAGTAATAGTGAAGGCAATACATAAGCCAACAATTAAAGTGCACACATAACAGGGAAGATATCATCGGAGACGCTAGTATGACAACCATCATGGCACGGAAGGCTGACTATGGGAGCTGGCTCTGAAAATCGTTCACATGACGCTCCACATACTAGCGTAGGGGAGAGTGGGGCAAAGCGGCCACCCGGGGCAAAGCGGCCATCCATCGTTTTAGCCCTCCACAGCTGGCGTCAGTTCCAATTTATGATTTCCAATTATACTTCTCTTTGCGGTCGTTCGAATGAGCCAGACCGGGGTTTCAGGCCCATCGCCATTGTTCTGTGAAACACGGAAAGGCATTTCTTGCCAGGTTACCAATTATGTTTGCAATTTTTAAATGTTATTTAATTCCATAACCGTTTGGAATTTTTATAAGCGTTTTTGTCCATGCATTGCGTGGTTATCGTACATGCCTTCTACCAATTTTAATGCTTTTTACCCCACTAATAGCTGAGCTGGAATATTTTTGTCTCGGACGGTATGCGCGGGGCAAAGCGGCCGGGGCAAAGTGGCCAGCCCCCAATTGGCCATAAGTTGTTTCCATCTGGATAAAAACATTATCTATATTCAAATGTGTCGTCATGCATTCATCTTGGCCACTTTTCGGTTACATGAGTTACCAAATTATGCAATTAAATGTTTTTCCAAGAAAATTCTTTCTTGGTTTAGCAATAGGTGGGAAGATAACAAAGTAAACATCCATCTTCCTTTAAACCTTGTCACCATCAAATACCCTAGTCGTGCATGAGGCAACTATTCTGTTTCTCATATCGGGACTTGAGAAGTCGCCAGTGGCCGCTTTGCCTCAGGGATGGGGCAAAGTGGCCAATATGCTATAGGTTTAAAGTTTTGTCAATATCTCCCATATGTGAACGCCTTTGGAAATGAAACGCAGTTGGAATAAAAGACAATTTAATAGGGATCACATTGGTATAGAAAGAATCTTTCCAAGTTTAAAAATCAAGCGTCGGCATCGTTAGAAACGTTAGGGTGGCCGCTTTGCCCCACTCTCCCCTACAATTTTTTTGTTCAATGAGTAGTCAAAAGCATTCATGCTACGACGTCCCTTTTTACTACGGTACACTCCTGTTTGTCATTTCTTTATCATAGCACGCATATGCGACTCAGAGCAGCTAACGTTACTATATGATCCCCTGAATTCCACAACCAAATATTCTGCTCCACAACCAACCTTTTGCAAACAGTCCAAGCACCAAACGTCAACGAACTCAGCTTCACAGGAAGAAAGACAACCACTGACTACACCATAATTCATGAAGATACTACAACAAATAAGATTTGATTGATCAAAACTAACTGATGTGTAGCAATCCGATATCTTCGGTCAAAAACCCACCCAAACCGCACCTCTTTGACCTCCCGACCATAATTTGTCATGAAGCCGGCAATTTCCCGTGAGCATCGAACGGTCAGTGATAACTGATGACATGAGGGCAGTGTTCACGGGCACCGCAAACTGCTGAGTGCGATGTGTGCAGCAGGCGTGGGGGTAGGGGATGGGTCGCTGTGTGGGCGGAGCTTGGAGCCTGTGTACGGGCCTACCGCACACAGTGCCCGTGAACAGCCCTATCACCACCACTGACAGCCACCATCAATATCACTTTTGCACGGTAGCCCAGTGTAGTTCGATAGTGAATCAATTCTGACTCCGTGTTAAAGCAAATTTTGATTCGGCTTCCGTCATGACTCGCAGATTCTTGAACGTTTGGCCGATAAGTATCACGGGATTTTGTGGCATTTCTGCGAAAGATAGAAAACACTATGGACCCCCCCCCCCCCCCCTCCACTTAGCCAACGTGTCGGAATTTGCTCCATCTCGCGAAGCGCCTAATCATCAGCAAAACAATGGTCCCTTTGCTCCAGATTTCAGTCATTGACCCAAGTTAAGCCCCCTCTCCAGTGGCGATATCGGCTCAGTATGTCGTCTCACTCTCGTGGCTTTACTTTGGCTTATACTTTCCGCCACCGCTCGGGTCTCTAATTACACCTGCAGTTCATCTGCCGTCCCACCACTGAGCCGTATGTTGTAAATATCTAACCAACGCCACCCTACCACACTTCGCCCCACCTCTCATCACCTCGCCGCCCTACTGCACGGGCTCGTGGATGAACGCCTGTCCGGGCGCGGCGAACACCTGCCGGCCAGCGATGTAGGTGGCGCGCACAAACACGTCGTCCGAGAGCATCACGAAGTCGGCGTCAGAGCCATACTCGAGGGTGCCCTTCTGGGCGGTGATGCCCAGCGCGGTGGCAGGGTGCAGAGAGGCCGCCTCCAGAGCCTCCACTGTGGTACACCCTGGCGGCGGACAGAGGAAACTCGTCAGTGGCGACCGTGGTACGCCCTGGCGGCGGACGGAGGAAACTCGTCACACAGCGACTGTGGTACGCCCTGCCGGCCAAATGAGGAAACGTGTGTGGCGGCAGCGACTGTGTTACACACCAGAACTGCTTCTTGTGCCTTGACTTCTCATATTTACCCAACAACAATCGTAATATACATTTCGACAAAGAGCTAAGAAATTTTAAGATCCTGTAAGGTTGAACGATGCCCAGGTCATAATCGAAATTGGGGAAAAAGCGAGCTATAATTCTGGCTAATTGAAGGATAACATACTGTTCATCCGCTGTATGTAAATTAGGCTGTGAATTACGTGAACCCACATACGACCGAACCACAAGACTCGTATGCCACGCGAGCAAAACGTGAACAGAACCAAGGATCCCCGCGCTGGTTTTTATCAAACAGCCGATCGCCGCCACAAAAACTCAGTTGTTTATGTTTTTGGGCTGGGCCAGGATAGAGCGTCCCCACACAAATGATCTAATGCCTTCGGCTTGCCAGTCATGTTTGTGTTCAAAGAAAGAAAGAAAGAATGCTTATAACGTTACCAAACTGGTTTAAAATGACTACGCCCTTGAAAATGTCCCTTTAGAGGTAAGATAATTTCGCACGTACCAGTTGAGCATTCAAACGCATTTGCTGAATCACCTCGGCTTCTCATGGTCCAGTTGGCCCAGTTCGAGCCAGGATATGGGCCATTGCTGCCGCCGGCAGCTGTTACATTGACCCTGATCAGCGGCCGCTCGAGCCGCGGCCGAGCCAGCGCACCCACCGAGCCGCACCGGGCCCGGTTTTTAGTCCGACCGGACCGGTCGGTTACGTTCGCAGTGCCGAGGCGACCGGAGGGTGGGGTAATAAAACTGATTATGGAGGCAGTCCCAGATCAAACAACGCACTTTCGGTGTGCGAGAAGCGGATCTGAAGGAACGTTGCCAAAATCACCCGAACAACCGAACGGCATAACAGGCTGTGGCTTATTTCACTGCCGGTTACAAAAATCTAAGATTCTTTATCTCGCAATATGTACAAGCAGCTAGCAGGGGTAGTAAAGGAATCTTGGCTAGCAGGGCTGACAGCAAAGTACATAGACATGTCCCTCATGTAATAAAAATGTAAGCAACAAACACTACTTTTTACCATCGTTATGACTGGCAGGTTGAGTTATAGTCGTGTCTTATCGAAAACATGTGCATTTTTTGTAGGTAGCAGAACGCCAATGGTTAGTACTATACTGTCTGGGCCGGCAAGACCAAGTAAGAGGTACTAAGGACCCACGACTGCCAGTGGCCGGTACTGTGACCGTCAGACTAGTGCCGCAGCGACCACGCTACTCACTGGCCGAGTGCATGAAGTGTCGTATGCAGCCGTCCATGGTGACGATGGAGCCGCAGAGGGTGTCCGTGCCCTCGATGAGCGCCCGTTCGCCCTCAATGACCACGTCCATGTCGCCGATATGGTGGCGGCCCGAGCCGAGGCCCATCGGCGCCACCGCGTCCGTCACCAGACAGAGACCTGAGGGTTGGAGGGAGAAAGTCTGTCACAGTCAGACACAGTCCTGGGGGATTGGGGGAGTCCGTTACAGTTAGACACAGGCCTGGGACAGGGAGAGAGTCCGATAACACCAGGCACAGGTTCGGGGAATCCTTTACCAGACAGAGGTCTGGAGGGAAGAAGTCCGTTAACAGACAAAGGCCTGGGGGGGGGGAGGGGGATGACGACATGACGGTTACCGTCGGTTACAGACAACCGCCACTGGCACTGTCATTGGTGACAGTAGGTGACAGCTGCGGCAGTAAAATGCCATTAGTAACAAACGGTATTTGTCAAATACGTCACACACTCGACAGTGTCGGTCCGGTCAGCGGTGTTCCGTTAACGTCAGAGTGATATTGTGAAAGGTGATCCCAGCAGGCAGACAGCTGCGGAAGACACCGGTTATAGACTCACCACTCACCAGAACCTGTGGCCAGACACAGACCTGTAAAGACACGCACCATCACCATACCCGGGCCTAGGTGGTACGTTAGAACTGCATCACTGGACCTAGACCTAGACAGTCACCTCGTGTCAGTCTCTCTAAACACCGCAATCTGTTACAGGACCGAGGAAGCCTGCTAGGACCGCGGCATAGCATGGGGCTAGACATAACCGGGGCTTGGAGACCGTACCACTACAGTTAAAATACTGAATGACATTTTAGCTTCTTTCTCGCTCCAATTAGGTAATCTGGAGGGATAATGAACGGGATAAGACCAGCGACGCAGATGGTCGGGACTAAATCTTGATATTCGTCCAGCTCAGTTTACATATCCTTTCGGGCCAGGCGGGTTTCTGAAGGATTCACGGACGACCGCTGCGGACCCACCGTTCGGGTGCGTCTTGTAGGCGATCCGGAGTGCCGCAGGGTGCGTGTGGATGCCGTCCGAGATGATGCCGTAGTAGAGCTCGTGCAGCGGCAGCCGCTTGGATGTCAGCATGCCGATGATGCCCGGGTCGCGGTGGTGGAACTGAGGACGGAAACATGGCCTTACCGTGAGCACGTATCATGCCAGGGGGACGTTTGTGTGCTACTTAAAACACACTTCAAATACTACTTGCGTAAAAAGGGGCTCTGGTAAGTTTCATTCAAAAAGCTTTATTACGTCTTTTAACGAAGGAAGAAGAGTGTACATAGTTTTCTGAATGCTAGCGACAGACAAAACGAATTACAACAAATAACCAGTCACCATTGCTGAGTGCTGATCATCACAGGTCTCATAGCTGCTATGCGATCCAGCCTACCACATGCACGTTTAGTCACCCAAATCACAGCTACCAGCCGTCGCCGTGCCCCGAGGCACCCACCTTGGTCATGGCGTTAAACAGGTGCGTCATGAACCGGGCGCCGCTCTTGAAGGCGCGCTCGCCGTCCATGATGGAGCCGGCCGAGTGACCTGTCACCGACAAACGAGGGATGGGTCACGGGCACTGCGTATAGTCACTGGTGAGGTACGGTGAATTATGGTTCTCATGAGCAAGTGAAACATATTGTTGTAATCTGAGGCACCCCACAGTTTACTTATCATAGACCAAAGAACAAATAAATACGGCTTAAATTAGTTTTCCTTGTTGAGCAACACGATACGATACGACAGATAACGATACGAAAGGAATAACTCGATGAAAGAACGTTTATAAAAATGAACATGCATATAGCGCCTGCCGCCTGGAGTTCAAAAGCGGTTCGTTTTCGCCCCCCCCCCCCCCCCCCCCCACTGACCAGTGGAGACGACGATGCCCCTCTCGGTGAGTCCCTCGACGGCGTCACAGGCGTTCTCCAGCTCGGGCGCCAGCGTCACCATGGCAACGTTGTCCAAACAGCCGTACACTTCCTTCACCGTCTCAAAGCCCTGTCGTACACAGGCCGAGCTTAGTGGGCAAACGATTGAAGAGAACTGCCACCAACCGGTCGAAGCAAACAAGCCAGTACCGATTCTGGTTGTCGTATCTCGATCCATTGCAATGCCCATCCCCTTCATCTGTACCTTTTCCAGTGGCCGAATGTGCTGCACCAGGTGAGCGCCCGTTAGTCAATCTACCCCTTCTAACCTTCTCCCCCTCCCCAACTTCCCCAGTGATCTGATGTGCTGCACCCTCTCCCCCTCCTCACCTTCTCCAGCGGCCGGATGTGCTGCACCGGGTGGGCGCCCTTCTTCTCTCTGCTGATGAACGGCCCCTCCAGGTGCGCGCCGAGAACACCGGCGCCATCCTCGCTGCCGGGCCGCTTGTTCAGGCGGGGCAGGACCTGTGACGACGGGGTGACGGGTCAGTTGAGGGTCAGTCCCTGGCGGGGTGAGCGAGATCGGTAGCGAGAGCCGTTATCGGGTTAGAACTTAGATAAATGGATTCGGTGTATTTCATTTCAGTTATCTGCAACTTGATAAGTAGCATGCTGGAAATATCATAATTATCATAAAAGATATCAGAAACGAGCAATGGAAATTTTGAATATGACGCATCCGTTTCAATGCACCTAATTTAGAGTCCTTGTTGTGAAAGTTTCGCCCTTTGATCACACCACACGTTATTTTTTACATCTTCATTCGATGATGCACAGAGCCGCAGAGAGGCAGTTGTGTTTATGTATACTGTATAGGGGAACCGTCGGGAGGGGACGGGAGGGAAGAGGGGAGGGTAATAATTGCCTTCAGCAGTGTCGCTTGGGAGCCGGACGGGCGCACGAAGGGCATACGATCCGGGGGCTTCACGTTCCTACGCTATCCGGTTACCGGTCATGTCGGGGGGGGGGGGGGAGGGGGGCTGCAGTGTGGCTGTTGGAGCCATTGCCATGGGCGGCCAAATGGATGTCGTGTCGGCCAAATGGATAGATGAGACGAAGTCCTTCAGTCGAAATGCATGTACGCAGTATTAACGCAGGTGACCTTATTTAGATCACCACCGGGTCCTCAACTAGATAAAATGTGCGGCACAATAATCTTATAATGTAGCAAGCACCTATTTCATATATGAGCAAATCGTGGATTGCTGTTTCGTGCTTTCAATCTGTAGGCATATCCTGTGCACTCTGAACAACCAGCCAGCCATGAGTAGCACAGTCTGACTGTCTGGTCACCATATCGTCATGTCTCCACAGCTCTACGATCTCCTCTTTATCAGGGTTACGTTTCGTCACTTCCCGGCTGTATGTCAGTCGTCGTCTTCCGGCGCATGGTTACAGTACAATGACGGCCGAATGCGGCTTTCGCAAGTCTCTAAGCTACCTTACTGCAATTGCAATTTGCTGGCGTGTGTAACTCCAGGCGTTAGAGACAGGTCATTAGGAACAGTTTGTTCGGGACAGATGAAGGACGAACACGCTGTGTACCTGGGATATGTTTCAAACTATGCCATAGCAAAAACAACGCCACCAGTGCATAAGAAAGTCGCAGGTCACTCTGTCGTTTTCTGTAGAGATGAGTGATGACCAACACTGCGCTCGGTTTTCAGGCAACCGTGCCTGGCGGCCAGAGTAGTATGGTCGATCACTGACGACGGGCCAGTAACTGAACTTAAGATACAGCACACTGTCCGACCCGCCACTTATCTAACGGTACCTATGTCTCAGGTGTGGAGGTGACCAGTGACCTAACGGCTAACACTGACCTTGCGGTAGGTCTCCGGTGTGGAGGTGATGACTGTCGGCAGAAATGACGTCACACCGTGCGCCAGCAGGCCCCGCGCCACCACCGACACCGCCTCCTCGGTCTTATCCTCGTCAAACGAGAAGTCGTAGCCGAATCCGCCTGCACGCAGTCAAAACGGAAGATCATAGCCGAATTTACCTGAGCACAGAAGCACAACGGGAAATTGTAGTGGGATCCAACTGCACGTAGTCAACCGAGAATGATACCACAGCCGAATCCACCAGAGTACAGAAGCACAACGCATTCAGGCCGCCGTCGGGAACGAGGCCGCCGTCGGGGACGAGCTGCACGGGCGTCAGGTAAATAGAGATATCGATAAAAACCACTTGGACAGTGAGCAGCGGGCCAGCGGCGGGAGTACGAGTTCGGTCAAGATTTCGGTTTACATAAGTCGTGAAACAGAGCTTGCGGACCATTGCAATGATGGCATGTTGTAGCCTGTAGGCTATATAATATCTATAGGTCCACGTTTTTTTTTTTGCATGTCCGGAGTTTTTTTTTATCGGAAAACGAGCGAAATATCGGACTTTCGGATACCGGCAGAGTACCGACTGGACACTACACAGCTGATGCAACGCAAACATGAAATCACCCACATGAGATTAGCTCTAGCATACCGCCCTATCTCGTGCCCATTCCGTACGCCGTTGAAAGGTCCGCACCGTTGATCTGGACATCGATGAAGCCGGGAGCGACGATAGATCCCCGGCAGTCGACTTGGAACGCCGGAGGTCTCTTCTGCACGTAGAACAGCTCCTCTGGGTTGATGATGCGGCCATTCTCCACCCAGAGGTCCTCTCTGACCAGCTCATGGTCCCGCAGGATCCGACAGTTCTTGAACTGGGTCACTGGCATGGCGTCAGAAACCTGAAAAGGCAGGGAGGGGTCAAGTCAAGGGCACATTTACAGTACAAGTAGTAAAAGGCGTGGCATTGAAAAACTGCTTTACGGTGGAGAAGAACTAGCTGAGAATCGTAAAAAAAAAAATCAAGCAAGAAGTAAAGGTGCCGTGCCAAGAAACAAACTGAGAAATGAAATTGAAACGTGCACCGCGGGCAAGGACAGTGACAGGAATGACAGGATCCAGATCGGCGTTAATGTCATATCCGATAATTCGATACACGAGGAGCGCATGAGAGCGGCAGGGACTTGCAGGGAAAATAAGGGGAAGCTATTTTACCTTTTCTGGTTTTCCTCCAAGCAGTCAGCAATTATCGAAAGTGACACTTCCGTGACCAAAGTGTCGCGCACCGGCCGGCAACCCGCCCGATCTCCGGCATCAGCATCTAACGCAGAAGACCAGCAGTTGTTTTGTTTAGAAATTGAAATTAGCTTTTGTCACAAGTGCACTATAAATGAAGAACAAATATTAACTTCCATATGAAGGCATTCCACTGCTTTAGAAGAGTGAAGGGAAAAGTTTCTCATCATGTCAAATCATGAGTAGTGTTTTTATATTTGCATTTTGCGACATCTTTATACATTCTATTAGAAACAATAATTTTTCTGTGTTCAAAATGATCGAAAAGGGAAGAAGATTAAAAGCACTCAAAAACTGTAAAGGAAGTTTTTTTTCAATATGGTAGCGTAGCCCTTCAATTCCCTTTCCAGATTCTCCGGCAAGTGTTGCTGTGTGTTGAAGGTGGATTTTGATGAGCAGGTAGTTTGGTGCATTTATATTAATTTGGTGAACTTAAAGCACGCATAACGTTTGATTTTTCAAAAGGCCTTTGATAAAATTACAGGTATCAGCAGTTTGTATTCGTCCTATGTTTTATTGAATTGTTATTTTAATGCTCAACTGTCACCGCCGTGCTACAATGTTAATTGCATATTTCATCCCTGCATTAATGTTAATCAATCTTTTGACCATATCAAATGCAGTGGTACTGTGGTACCAATGACAGTTATGGAGGATCATGCCAAGCTGCGAAGAGACTGGCGGCATAGTCATGGCAGCAGGGCACGCCCAGGGGGATGCCACTACTTTGCTTCGCCATAGGTCCAGTACTGATGTCGTCGGTTTCGATCCCGGTGACGTCAGTGCTGTCTACATCCGGGAACTTCTTGCACTTGGTTCTCATTAGAGGTGGCCATATTGTTTTGTCTCGTGACGACACATTTGCGTCATCGGGATCGAAACTGGCTGTAAACAAATCGCTCAGTGTCGCTACCTACTATATATGGCCTTGGGCACGCCCTTCAAATTTATCCTGTTTTGCTTGTTTTTTTTGTTGTCTTATGGAATGAGTGGGTGGTTGCATGGCTGGATGCTATTCTAGGCAGCTGTTTTGTAAATGTAATGCAACAGGTACCCACTTGCACTAAAGGCACAGGACATTGTTCAAGTGCCCTGCGGTCACAGCAGTTCCATTGTTCTGGAGTTAGAGCTATGAAGCCTGATTTCAGTTGGGTAGAAAACCCTCTTGTAACTATGGCTGGTGACAAATATGTCACAGATCTTTTGATCAACTATTATGGCAATATCCTCCTACCACTGGAGTCACAGCCCTCTCAGGCACTTGATCAGGGCGTTTATATAGCATTGATCAGGGCCCAGATCTTGCCTGTGCTGGGTTGTGGCTGATGGCTCACCAGTGATAAGATGTAATTTTGATAGAAAATTATAAAAAAAAGTTTTTACTTAGATTTAAAGTAACTTATTCCATTTTCCTATTCCATTTTCCTATTCCTATTTCTTTCGTTTAGTCCTAACTCCTCTTTCATTTGTTTCTGCTGTAATGACATTAATTACCTATTTGATTACTGATATATATCATGTTCTATAGTGATGGTAGAAAAAAAATATGTAGCTGATGATGGCTTCTGTTTGGAGAGGAAGAAAAGGCCTTTCTTTTTAAACCTTTCTCTGTTTTTCTTTATTCATTTATTCCTGTCCTCCTATAGCCCTTCCTCTTGCTCTCCATCTACCTCCAAGCCTTATCTTCCCTGGGCCTGGTCCTTTTATTCCTTCTCCCTCTTGACTTTATCTCCCCTTTATCTCTTTTTCTCTCTTCTTCTGTTCTCTTTTCATTTCTCCATTTTCTATTTTATCTCAGTTTTCCCTGCCCCACTGGTTCTGACTCCTCTTTTCAATTCCAAACTAATTTTGTTTGCTGATAATGACAAGTGATGACCAATTTTTAATGTTTCAGATACCTGCTGTTTTCAAACTATCTGCAAAAATGTCTGTATCATCAATATATCTCTTAGACTCCAAAGGGAAGGTAAGAATGAAAATTTGTTGATATATTTATCTCTTTATTGAATTGGCTCACAAGTCCATCACTCATTGTTGGTTCAGTGTTAGCACTCATAAGTCATGTCCGCTGCAGGCTGTTTCCCTCAAAGCCAAAATCACCATGCTGTCTTACAAATGCCAGACTCCAGGTTTGCTCTGTTTGGTTGTCAAATTACAAATTATCTTGTATGATGTTAAACCCAGCTGCTGCAGCTTTTACTTGAAGTTATTTGACTATAATACAGTACTTTGCTATTGGTCCCTGACTCATAATGGCACCCTCTTATGCTTTGCTTCAGGTACTGATATCCCGGAACTACAGAGGTGACATCGAGCCCAGTGTTATAGACAAGTTTATGCCCCTGCTAATGGACCGAGAAGAAGAAGGGAACATGTCACCGATTATACAGGTAGATGACTACTGAATTGTGTGGTTGCTGACATTTAATTGACTTTACACTTCCCTAATTGACTTCCTAATTGACTGTATTATACTGTTTAATTGCATTTGTGGGTAATACTTTCCATTGTCATGACTTTCCATCATAGGCGTCGCCAGAGATTGTCGGTTGGGGGGGCAAAATCAACTTTTGTGTCAAAACTTGCCTTTCCCCAGTCTTTACTCACTCGTTTTACATATCATTCGACGCGCAATGGTGCGAGGAATCCGATGGTGACAAAGGTTTCCTTCTAGCTATGACATGTAATTTTTTACAGAAAAATTCGAAATTTTGAAATTTCATAACAAAACGACTGGTAGAATCATAGTGGCTGCGATTGCCGACGCACTGCAGAGGGCCCCTGTGCAGACGCTCGACGCTCATGATCATTACCCATTAAGAGGTGAAAAACGCTCCATTTAATCGGATCACCCTGCTAGAACCTCCATTCACGCATGCATGCAGAGGTTTTACGTGAAATGCATAGGACTTATCCCAGCCGCCGATCGTAGCTAAGTTGGGCATTCGGCGGAGAGTGAATGTCGGAAGTGTGAATCGGAATAAGGAAGTAATTCATCTTTGCTTCAGTGAGATGAAGTGTTTTGTTCACTCGAGTGTGAACAAAAGTTTCTCGTTTTTCGTGTGAAGGGAAGCGCTGCAAACGCGAACAAAAACTGTTAAACGGAACCAAAAGTAACGCACGGCATAGCGGCAAGGGATCCCGTAGAGATAGGTTTGTGACTTCCAGGCCATTTCAGGCCACTCAGGGTCAGTGCTGACTCTCGGAAGCCTGCTTAGGATCCCGGAGATCGACGTGGGTCACCTCAAATATTTACGTGTACGTGGTGCTTTAGGGCTTTCCGAGCCCAAGGTGGGGCCCTCAGAAGCAGTGTGGGCGGCGGGCGCTAAGAGACTAGGCCCAGGGTGAGCCTGGAGCCCTCGGATAGCAGTGTGAACCCTCGGGGTCTGTGTCGAATCCCTAAGGACCCTACGTAGGGACATAATAAACATGTGTTGCGGACCTCAGAGGGACACGTGGGCTGTGACCCCTCAGATGCCGGCTTGGGGTTGGCAAAGTCTGTCGCCTCAAAAATTTGGCTGAACTATCAGAGGCCAGTTAACCTTCGCCCCAGTGGGGGGGGGGGGGGGGCATATGTTACCACCCTGTCGCGTTTTTTGCGTGTGAATAAAAAACCGCGGCGCGTAGCGCCGCGCCGCTTGGGGTAGCTTTTGGTACATCAATTTTGGACAATGTGTGAAATTTTTGACCCCAGGTCATGTCAGGTCAGGTCACCAGGTCAAGTTAACTGACCAAGCCTAAAAAAAGTTTGCAATCATGTCCAGCCTGCAGTGTTTGTCAGAAAGGTTTCAAACTTGGTGGATTGCATGCTGTTATGGGCGCCTACAATTTGTATATCTCGGATTTTTTATATCTGTGACCTAAGGTCAGGTCAGTGGCGAAACCTTTCTATTACAAGTCAATGGAGAAAAATGAAAATGCCTCTAGATCCGTGTGTACGCATCGGAACAGTCCAAATATTTCAGAATCACAATGATTTAGCCCACTCGTGATGACCAATGTGTCATTTTTGCTGATAGCCTCTAGACAGGTCATCCGAGGTCACTTGAGGCTACAAACAGTTTTTTGCCAATAACTCGCGATTGGAAAGAGATAGAACACTGGGGATGGTCTCATTCTGTTTGCCTTGTTGAGACGCATCGACTGATATGCAACATGACCTTTTCCGGTAAGGTCATGACCTTGACCTGAGGTCAAATTTTCAACTTGACCTTTCAAGGTCAAATTATAGTTCATTCAACGCGTCTCGGCGAGAGGAACACGATTCTGGCAATAGAAATGTCGTGGCTTTTTGTAGTCGAAAGTTATTGTCGAAAAACACTTTTCGTAAAAACAGCTATTTTTGGACTTTTTGCCCTCTGGAGGCCAAACCGTTGACCTGAGGTCAATATTGATAATGACCTTTTCAAAAGAAGAGTTAAAAAGCTATCGATTGCTCTTCCCTGCGTTATTCTAGCTACCATAGTTCCTGAGATAGCGGCATGTTTTCTGAAAAATATAATGACAATTGGCAGATTTTGACCTTTGATGACCTCTGGTGACCCCAATATTGCTCTAAGGTGAAAAATGACTGAAATACTTTCAAACGTACGCATTGAGAGCTATCGACTGCTTTTTACCGCGTCTTTCTAGCCCTCTTAGTTTTTGAGTTAGAGGTGGGTGGTAACATATGCCCCCCCTCACTAGGGCGAAGTTGGCTGAGACCGCCACTGGGGCGCGGGTTAAGGTTCTCAGAAATGTTCGAAGGCTCAAAGATCCCTGTATGGGCCCTCAGAGAACATGAACACCAGTGGGACTTTCAGAGGCCGGTTTGGGCCCTCTGAAAGCTTTCTTTAGGGCTCACTGGAGCTCCTTAGGAGCCTTTGTTTAACCCGCGCCCTGCTGGGGGTCCTGGATTTCCACGCCCTGCTGGGGGGGGGTGTTTGAACACCCCCCCCCCCTTGTAACTCGGCTCCTGGGCCACGTAGCGATACGCGGAAGGCGGCGTTCGAAAGAGCGTAAAAAAATAATGACGAAATCACTTCGGTCAATTTTTTGGTCAGGTCAAAGGTCAGGTCACCAGAGGTCATTGAAGGCAAAATTTCGCCGATTTCCAGGTCGAATGTCGAAATTTTCCAAGAAGCCAACGCATAACTCGGGAACCAATAGAGCTACAGCGCCGCGGAAAAGCGCATTGGATAGCCCTATTAACGCCCTTTCTGAGTAATTCTCTCAGATTTGACCTAACGTCAACGGTTTTGCCTGCAGGGGGCAAAAACTGCAAAAATAGCCGATTTTTTCGAAAACAGTTTTTCTGCAATAACTTTTGACCCAAGCCTTGTACGAGCTTACTTTTACCGGCATCGTGTTCCTCTCGTCAAGACGCATCGAGTGAACTATGACTTGACCTTGAAAGGTCAACTTGAAAATTTGACCTCAGGTCAAGGTCATGACCTGACCGGAAAGGGTCATGTTGCATATCAGTCGATCCGTATCGTCGAGCTGAACACATCTAAGGCGTTTTCATCGCTCTAGCATGCCTCTATCAAAAGTTATTTGCGAAAAACTGTTAGATACCATTCGTGACCTAAGATGACCTCAGGGCATAAACAAGGGTCACGGACACCATTTTCAAGTTCAGTGTGTCTAAACCACTTGTAATTCGGTGTTTGGGAGTGTTTATAATGTCTTTCATCCAAAGAGGCGCATTTCAATTTTCTCCCATTGACTTATAATGGGGAGGTCGCAAAATTGACCTGACCTTAGGTCATCGATATCAAAATTCTGAGATATACATTTTGTACATGCTATTGCTCTTAGCAATCGCTGAAAGGTTCAAAGCGATCGGTCACTCGGTGTAGCTATGACAGACATTGAAACTTTTTTATGAGGTGAGGTCACTTCAAGTGACCTGGTGACCTGACCTTGAATGACCTTGGTCTGAAATTTTCACAACATGTGTAGAATTGATGTATGATAAGGTGCCGTTTTTGAGATATTCGCGAAAAACCACAAGGGGGGTGTTCAAACACCCCCCCCCCCCCAGCAGGGCGCGGGTTAAAGCAAGCTCATGAGCCCTGCGACACTTGTACGGTAGGTACTTGAGCCTGTCGCAGACATTTGACGAGTTGAGAAAGGCCCCGAAGATTTCGTTTCACGCTTTGAACAAAAATTGTGTCAGCACTCCAAAACTTATGAAAATCAGCTGTAAAATGTAATAAAGAACGAACTAGGAACATGTAATGAATCACAGCATTAACATTTCCGAGTCTGGACTCGGAGTCATGAAGATTTTGGCGACTGCGAGTCAGACTCTGGTTTGAACTGCACGCTCAAACCGAGTCTGACCTCACAGGCATTCTCAGAAAGGTACCCCCATTTTTTCCCGACTCCAAAATCTCATCGGATCTGTATCGATGTCAGGGGGTGCCCGGTCAGAGGTTGGGGGGGGGGGGGCAAGTTGCCCCGCTTGCCCCCCCGTGGCGACGCTAATGCTTTCCATTCAGCTCACCTTTCCCATAAGTCCATTATTTTACGATAATTAGTAAAAGTGTCACCAGGCACAGCATGAATTTTGTGTCAAATATAATTTTTATCTGACATTTCTGACCTTTTCCTGCAATTTTGTCTCATACCTAATAATCAGTAAGATACCCTTTAGGGCGACAAACGAGCGAGCTCGACAGTACGAGCGAGCGAGCCCTACATGTGTGGAAGTGGTACCCTAAACTGACTTGTCTTGGCCACTCTACTAACTTGTCCCTAATAGAGACCAAATTTGAATGTAATTGACCCAGTCGCTCTAATACATATGTAGTAGCGATACCCTGAGTGTTCGCACGCGCAAACCGGACGCCAGCTGCTGACTTGTTCGTGGCACCGTTTGCTAACGGTGTTTAAAATATATGCGCGATCGGCCCAATCGTTTTGAGGTGTAGCGAATTCCGCTGAACGTCTTCACAGTCTTTGCACTTGTTCGTAATAATTTCCTAAAGCAGCGACCATTTCCCTATGACCCCATGTGTGTTTCCGTTTCAGACGAGTGGCTGCACGTTCATGTACATCAAGCACAGCAACGTGTACGTGGTCAGCACGACGCGGAAGAACGCCAATGTCAGCCTGGTGTTTGTGTTCCTGCACCGCCTGGTTCAGGTGAGATGATGGGACTGGCTTGTCAGGGGGTGGTGATCAAACAGATCCCTGGTGCAGGTGATGGTTACGTTTATTCATTCAGCGACTCATTCATTCATATTTTCACGTTATTATACTTTCGGTCATGGGCGCGGCTTTTCATTGAACGGAATGCACAACTCGTAAAATAATAAGCAGTGTTGTGTTGATACACACTTGTAGGTATGCTGAATAGTTTTGCAGTAAACGACGGTCTGTCAGGCTGGTAGTTTCCACGTAATACTTCTGTACCAGCTGGGACTGACGTGAATGATGAATTTGTTATTGAAAGCTTTAAGTGTGCGTATATTGTTCAAGCTCAAGACGATAACAACGAAAAGTCACATATTCAGTGGCTTTTCTGATCTCGTAATTTCAACTGATAAGCTGTCGGGAAAGCTTCCTTTCCTCTCGACGCTCGGATAGCCGCTGCAGCATAGGCTCTCTTAACGCCTAATTCAGATCCCTATTTCTTCGACATGCATCCTAATCAGACCCACCTGCCCACTCCTTTTGCAGCTCCCGCCCCTCGCCCTCTGACACTAATCCGCTACCCACCAGGTGTTTGAGCACTACTTCAAGGAGCTGGAGGAGGAGAGCCTGCGGGACAACTTCGTCATCGTGTACGAGCTGCTGGACGAGCTGAACGACTTCGGTTTCCCGCAGACCACTGATAGCAAAATCCTCCAGGAGTGAGTGCCATCTGACTGCCCGGTCTCGGCTGTGGGGTCGGTGGGTTCCAAGTACCCGTGTGTTCTTGGAGGCAAAACGGATGGCCGATGGTTGTGCAGACGGGAAGTAATTGAATGCACATGTGATTAATACTGATACTGGTCATGACTGTTGATGCACTTTCACTTTCTGCTCGATCTACGATAGGTAGATGACGGTATGAAACTATTAAAGCCCGGTTCTGGCTGCCGAAATCGATCGGAGCGGATGGTAAGCGTATGGTGATCGTATGGTGAGCGTGGCTGGCGGAAAAAGATAAAAATCTCTAGGCCCGATACGATCTGGTAACTGGTAGATCGTATCGTGCGGATCGTGCGGATCGTGTGGGAGTCTGCGTCCGCCATTACTGCCGGCGGTGATAGATAAGAACGAAATAAATGCTTTTTACGCTTGAAGAGAAGTTAAATGTAGTTTAAAACATCTCTCTAATTCAATAATTTAGTTTGAGTAGTCGGCTCTGACTATTCCGTGAAGTTAATCAACATTTCGGCTTGATTTGAGCAGTATGGCGGCGGAAACCATTCTCGGCCGTGGAAGGTACGCAATTTTGAAAATGCGTGGAAAAATAGAAAATCATGTCACATTGTCCTGGAAAGTAACCTACAACCTAAAAGTGAGTATTGTGAATGCTGTGCATCGATTTTCTTGAAAATCGGTTCGTTGAAATTGACAGAAATTCATTGGTAAGATATCTATGTACCACCCCCGGTGTCGCCGGTAAATCGCCGGTCACCAAGAGGCTAAGTCCTTGGTGTTGCAAGTCCGACAGAACTTGCAACACCAGCGACCTTAGTTGTCGCTGGTCTCCTCTCAACGTCATTGCACTTGACCACAGGCATTTAGCCCCAAACGATGTGCCACCCTGACTTCCTGGAATGGCGTGAAATTTATGCGTCAGTTACCTGAACCAACAGTTAATTAAGAATCCAAAATTCACCGCTGCAGCTGACCGTTATACCTACCTACTACCTAGCATACGCCGGCCTCGTCCGTAACATGTTAACTACTCGTACCACAGCGCTACCCTCCCGTGATAGTTCTAACCCGCGTGTTGCCGTCAGGTATATCACCCAGGAGAGTCATAAACTGGAGGTGGCGCCCCGGCCGCCGATGGCCGTCACTAACGCCGTCCACTGGCGCTCCGAGGGCATCAAGTACAGAAAGAACGAGGTCTTCCTGGATGTCATCGAGTCGGTCAACCTGCTGGTAGGTATGGGGAGGGGGGATGGAGAGCTGCTGGTTGGTACGTTTGGGGAAGGGGGACGTGCGGGTGAGCGGGAGGTGCTGACACTCGCAAGGAAGAGCAGTGAGCAGGGAGATGGAGAGCTGCGGATACGTGTGGGGAGCAGCACAAACTCGAACTTATCCGACTGAAACGTGATAGGAGTAAATGTTCAAAAGTCTGGTCATGCCGAATTATTGAAGAAAAAACTTTCTAACTAACATCTTGCACATTTCTGACTGAATACTTTTTTCGAAAAGCTCGTTGATTTCCCCGTTGATATTACGTTTTGTCGTCACGTCACTGTCTTATGTTTGATTTATATGCTCAGCTAACCACCTGCTTCTGTCTCGCCCGCAGGCCAACTCGAACGGTAACGTACTGCGCAGTGAGATCGTGGGCAGTATCAAGATGCGTGTCTACCTGTCCGGCATGCCCGAGCTGCGGCTGGGTCTCAACGACAAGGTACTGTTCGAGAGCACCGGACGCGGCAAGAGCAAGTCGGTCGAGCTGGAGGACACCAAGTTCCACCAGTGTGTCAGACTTTCCAGGTGAGTAGGAGCGAACAGGACGTTTCACCAGGGTGAGTGAGTGAGTGAGTGAGTGAGTGAGTGAGTGAGTGAGTGAGTGAGTGAGTGAGTGAGTGAGTGAGTGAGTGAGTGAGTGAGTGAGTGAGTGAGGGAGTGAGTGAGTGAGTGAGTGCGTGGGTGGGTGGGTGAGTGAGTGAGTGAGTGAGTGAGTGAGTGAGTGAGTGAGTGAGTGAGTGACGGAGTAGGACGTGTTCCACCAGTGTGATTATCCCTTTTGCTTGAGCTGTGGTCAATAGCCCGTTCTGCTGAACGGATAAGGGAAATAATTTAGATGCGTGAAGGTGATGTGCGTGACCATGCTTGTTAATATTAAGTTAGTGGGCTAATGCGGTTTCAGGAGTCGCATTTATCAGTTGCTACAGTACGGTGTACACTTGTACAGGTGTGACAGTCATCGTCATGGATAACCTCGCCTTAGCTCGTTCCCGTTGGTACGGGAGTGGGTGCATTATCCAGACAAATATCTGGCTGTTGTTGTGTACCCGGCGGGTCCATGCTGACCTTGGTTCGGTATGTGAGCGGTTGGCACGGTCGGCGTCCGCCGTATGGCTGCACCTGCCGCTGGCCCGTCACCCTGTGTCTGTGACGGCTGACGAGGTACGGATTGTCGGCAGGTTCGAAAACGACCGCACCATCTCGTTCATCCCGCCCGACGGCGACTTCGAGCTCATGTCCTACCGGCTCAACACTCACGTAAGTAAATCTATCCGTTACAGAGGAACAAATACTTGTCCTTCGAGCTCATGTCCGACCCGCTCAACACACACGTAAGTGACGCTCTGGGACAGACTTGGCTGCCCTCCTCCTTCTTAGCTGCTCGTCCTTTGAGCTCAAATGTCCTACGGGCTCAACACACACGTAAGTGATGCTTTGGAACAAACTAGTTGCCCTTTTACTTGTCCTTCGAGCTCATGTCGTACCGACTCAACCCAAAGCATTTCCTTATTCAGAGAGGGCTGCAATATTTGTTCAGTGGTACATACAACATTTGGTATTGGCTCCCCAGCGAGATTTAGCACCAGACTTCCGGCCGTAAAAAAAACTTTGTCCTTTCCTTGGTCACCGCGTGCTTCCTTCGCCAAAACAGGTTCCCTAGAAGGCGTTGAGTATCCATTTATTAGTCATCAACTATGAATGTTGTATATCACAGCCTCCCGATGGTCACTGTCCTGTTCTGACTCACACCATATTCCTCTGGGACTCTATCCGCCCCCCCCCCCCCCCACCCGGCCGGTCACACGCGCCAGACACGCACACACGCACACTGAGTCACGGACGGCGCCGGTCGGGAGGCGATAACGCGGCGCCGCCGTGTCGGGACCGGCGCCGGCTGCCGCCGTGTCGGGACCGGACGGATGGCGGGGTCGGGCGGACGTTAGAGGGAGGGCGGAAGAAGGTCGGGCACCGGTGACCCGGACGGAGCTTTTTCTGGGGCTGGGCGGATGATGGACGGGTCTTGGTGAAACTCACTTGGGACTCAATGTGTTGGTAGATTGAAGTCGGTGATCTCAATCACCAGAGTGGCTAAGGGTGTTTTTGGCCGAAAGTTCTCCGTTCGAATGATACACCGCATTGTTTTTGTTAAAGATAATTGCTATTTTATGATCGAAGGAGTTCAAATCAAAATGTTTGTGTTATTTGGTTCTACTTTTTGTTAATATACGATCCCTTCTCTCACGGCCACATATCTATGTTGTTGTTGAGAAGCGGCCCTGAGAAGGTTCGCTGTACTTACTGGGAATCACGCCCCGGCCGCGTCCATGGATCACGAGCAGACTATTAGCCACTCGACACCTGACTGAGGGAGGGGGCTGGCCGGCCATTAACCCTGGCTGCGGTCAGTTGGACAGCCCCACACTAGTCGAGACTCTCTGGAAACTCTCTGGCCGACTGGCAACCGAGCTGGCAACCAATAGCGAAAATGTTGTGGTTTTCAGTTGACGGAATTGCCGTAATTTGTCATTAAAGATTGTTTTGTATTTCTACCGACGTAACCAAAAGTCGTGAACCGTGAAAGCGTCAAGCGTCCCATTTGGTTACAATAATTGTGCCAGAATTTTAGCACGGCGAAGCTACGTTAAACGATATTTGGCCAGCTTCCAGAATGGTGCGACGTAACTCATGACGGGCGCTCTTTGTTTGCCAAACCCACAATTACGGCCTGTGACACTCAAACAACACCTTTGTTACCTGGACCACCCCGATTCTTTATGGTCTCTTTATTTTGAGTTTATCTGTTTCGATTCGAATTCATTACGTTCTCTAGCCATGAACCTTCACATTCTTTCTCGACCACGCTGTACCGTGCAGGTCAGTTTATTCATCTTGTGGTCCAGGTCGGGGCCCAGCCAGTAGGCACCATTCGTCTCTGTCCGGCTAGCCGCCGAGCCGTGCGCCCCTCTGCCCTCGCCAGCCGTCCAAACGACTCGTATATCAGTCCGTGCCAGCCGCCCGCCTCCGGGCGTTTTATTTCCATCATAAAACTTCTCAGCTCTTAGGAGATCAAACTCGAAACTCGGCTGACTGGCAAATTTAGTGTGTGATTGCATTGGATAATATTACCTCATACCCTGAATAAGTGATGAGTGAATATAGCAATGCTACTCTCCCTTTACTCTTTTAAATGAATATTGACTTGAGTAAAATATTTACGTTTTGGAATTTAGTTATAAGAGGGTTGTTTAACTTTAATTGTCAGCATTGATTTGACGCCGTGTCACGCCTTGGCGTCGCCAGTTGTCCCGTTAATTATAAAGCGTTTGTCATCCGCGGCGGCGTCTTTGACCCCTCTGCCCCCTCCCCCTCCTGTCACTCGTGTCGCCGTCTCTGACCCCCCCTCCCTCTCTCTGCCGTCCAGGTGAAGCCGCTCATCTGGATCGAGTCGGTCATCGAACGCCACGCGCACAGCCGCGTCGAGTACATGGTCAAGGCCAAGTCGCAGTTCAAGCGCCGCTCGACGGCCAACAACGTCGAGATCATCATCCCCGTGCCGACTGACGCCGACTCGCCAAAGTTCAAGACGACCATTGGCAGCGTCAAATACGTGCCCGAGAAAACCTGCATCGTCTGGAGCATCAAATCGTTCCCGGTAAGTGCGGAGCAGAGTGTCGGAGTGGGAATGTTAGAGTGTAGAGGACTGGTGGACGACTTGTGTTTACTTTAAAGTTTATAATCGGTTCATATCGACGGACAATTACAACAATGACGGGTGGATGTCTTAGATCCGTATACTCAGTAGCAGTTGTTCCTGATGGAAAATCACCGCTAATATTCAATGTTCGTTGTGTTTACTTTGTTGATCCTAACTATGTCCTCAGCATGGAAAAACTGATGTAATGGCCTATATCTATGCAAAATTATTTGCTAAATTACCAGTTGCTCAACTAGCAGCTGCATAATCACAGTACGGTTGATACAGCAGATGTGCGGCCACCGGGTCTGCCATGGACCGTCTGTTTACACGTCCATACCAGGCGTAGGTGCTCCGAGTATACAGACAGGCACAGATGCGGTGCCAGACGTGTCCGCGGTCCACAAGGCACGCGCTGCCTGACCAGTGACCAGGCACATGTGTCATGAACGGTCCGCGGTTGGCGGAGCGCCTACGAAGTCGCGTTATAGGAACACCTGGTCAGAAGCATTGCATGAAAATGTCCCGCTCAATGTTACATCAATCAGACAGATAGTTAAGGAAGCTGACCGGTACTATGTTAAATTCTTTCAATTCTGTCTACATTCACTTTGCCGCATGTTGAATAATTCACTTTGCCGGATGTTCTGCTTATATGACCGTTGACCTGGCCCGCTGACCTGATGACCTTACCCGCTGACCTGACCTGACCTAATCTCACCTGACCCACAGGGCGGTAAGGAGTACCTGATGCGGGCCCACTTTGGTCTGCCGAGCGTGGTGGCAGAGGAGGTGGACGGCCGGCCGCCCATCAACGTGCGGTTCGAGATCCCCTACTTCACCACGTCGGGCATTCAGGTCAGTGTGTTGTCTGGGGAGACTAACTAATATGGGTCACACAGGTCAGTTTATAAAATACCGGTGCGGACTTTGGGTTTTACCGGACAGACGGACAGGGTCCGCAAATCACCGCCGCATGCCACATAACTAACATTGAGCCAACAGTACTGTGTACGAAATGAAGCACATCGGTAAAACAATTCAGTTCACTATCCAAAGAAGTCAGCGCAGGTGACGTAGCTGATTAGGTCAGCGTCCAGTATTCAGGAAACACCTCCACGGGTGCTTTGGGTTTGGTCCAACAGCTGAACAAGCACCAGGATTCCGTGATTCGGTCTCTGGCTCAAGAACTGAACCCGAACAACGCCCCAGCCCACCCCAGTCCTTAGCGTCCACTGTGTTTGTTGGTGCCTTCCGACCAGCATCGATCAACTGGCGTCCGTTTGTTGACACCGTGTCATGGTGGGCCACCTGTGTGTACGGTAGGAGAGGGAGGAAGAGAGAGAGAGAGAGAGAGAGAGAGAGAGAGGAGAGAGAGAGAGAGAGAGAGAGAGAGAGAGAGGAGAGAGAGAGAGAGAGAAGAGAGGAGAAGAGAGGAGGGAGGAGAGACTCTCAAACTCTGTAAGGAACCTACCGCGCTGGACGGCCGTGGCCCTCGGGCAGAATCTGTCTCGCTATGAACCATGAGCTCGGCATGACGACGACCCGCTCCCTGCGTGATGACCCTTCTGAGAACAGCCCTGCGTTCCCTGCCAACCATCCGTGGGCGGCCAGAAACGCCGCACCGGGCCGCCCGATTACCTGGGAATGTTGGCTTTGGCACACTACAGTTAGTAAAGCAGTTTTATATTAATTCTATTTATTTGCTGTTCAGTTCGGTTGCCGAATGTAGATTACTAATGCTGTGTTTGTTGGTTTTGGTTTTGGGATGTGTCATCTGTTTCCTGTTTACAAAACATCATTTACAATGTGACGTCTGGACGATGGCTAAAGTCAGAAGTAAAAACGAGGCTATTACGCACGAAAACAATCAGATCAAATGCTCATCCTGTCGCCACAAGAAGTCGATTGGCCACATTTCGCTCATGCTTCTTTCGGATTATATTGTCCGATGCCCATAAAAGCATTTATCCATTCGGTCGAGATGTCATCGCTCCATTACCGATCAATGAATCGAAAGAAAGGAAGTACGCAGTTTGTATAGATCTTTTGGAGATAGAGACCCCACCCATATCGATCCGTGTAGGAAAGTACCGTCTCGTCTTATAGGGATATTTACCACATAATTAAATAATGTATAATCAAGCTTGGCGTTCTTCCGAGTCCAGTGATTCATAAGCCGTTGTTTTTGGTGAGTGCTAGTGTCAGCTGGGCTCATATCACCCCAATAATTCAGCTATGTAACCCGCCGTGTCCCCACTCTCCAGGTGCGGTACCTGAAGATTATCGAGAAGAGCGGCTACCACGCTGCCCTGGGTACGCTACATCACACAGAACGGCGACTACCAGCTGAGGACGCAGTGATGAGCGTCCGAGAACCCCCTGTGACACACCCTCCCGTCCCTGACCGGCCCCAGCACGACAGCCGGCCGCCGAGACCCGGCACACCCGCATCTGTGGTACCGTACTGTAACGGTACAAATGTACTCCGCACTGTATTGAACCGCCACGGCAACACGGCTGGAGAGTCCGCGGAGAATGCGTGAGCAGGTGTGGGTGCTGGACAAGCTGTGAATGTGAGTCGTGAGTTTCGACCCGTGAATGATGAGTCGTGAATCGTGAGCCGTGAGCTCGGCGGCAGAATCTGACGAGCCCGCGGGGCTTTGGTATCGATTGTTTTCGAACGGTTGAGATTGTGAGACTGGTGAGAGATGGGAGAAGCATTCCGCGGTTGGTCCGTTATATGTCCGTGTGTGTTAATTTTAACCAAATATATTCAGTGTCTTGGTCGTATGAAATGTTTTGGCATGAGCAACAGTTTGACGTATGGGATAGCAGCTGAATGTGCGCGGTCACATTATCTGAGCATCATCGTACATTGCTACGGAATACGGTACCATGTGATTATAATTTCTTTTCACTACCCCGCCAGACTCGCTCACTGAATGCTGAGCGGTGAGTAGACAGCAGCCGTCAAACTTGGACCCAAACGCAAAGAGAGGATAGCTTTGACATTCAACAACAGCTGGCTTTTCCACGGGTTTGCTGTAACCTGTCCGAGCAATCCTCCAACCACCGGTCGCACCCTTTAACCCAGAGTATTGCGACGCTTTGCTGAGGGTAAGCGATGAACTTGGCACTCGCTAGTACGGCGTCTCGCTGCGCCCCTGGCACCGATCATTGAGCTGGCAAGCTCGAGTGACGCGGCCGGCCAGAGCCGAGCGACGGTCGGCACTGCGCGGCCTCGGCAGATTTCTGGGAACTCACCGGTCCGGGGAGCATCCTTTGTATGAACGCTTGTGTTCGGAGTCAGTGACCACTGACCAGTCAATGTTCAGTTTGAGTGCCCTGTATTTTGAACTGTCGTAGCGTACAAGCAACGAAAGCACCTAATTTCACTGGCCGTGATTGTGACCTAAAAATCATGTGCGTGAATTGCGTTAAAGGTAGTGTGCCAGCTTTCTTGGACCGTATGGAGTTAATGGCCCAGATAAGGAGAACCGGATTTTTAGAACTTATCCATACCTTCAAAACTCATGGAAACGTCTTAAACTCTTCAAATTTTGAGTACCCCAGTGCGAAATTCGCCCCGACGGGTTGTCGGTCGTACCCCAACCACATTTCACACCACTATGAACAATAAATGCACACACTGAAATCGCTATTACCGATATGCTCATCCAATCAAGTTTCGATAAACCCGTTCATCATCATCTCCTGCGGTTTCGAACACGCCTGTTAGGTGGCTTCTGATGCTCGTCGAGGTCGGAATTTCCAAGCGTCGGGCCGCGCGCTCTGACTTCGGCCAAGAAAAATGCGTCAGCTGATCATTGTCATTTCTGCCACTTGCGTGTAGTGAAATGGGGTCATAACTTATAAGACGGCTTTTTCATATCAATTATTTTACATAAAATCATATTTCAAACCATAAATAATGTTCGACAGCCAAATAAAAGAAACAATACCAATACGGGCTTACAGTTTAAGGCTCGACATTGTGTTGCCTACGATTAGACAGCTGATAACTCATTCCCGTACGTCGTATGGTCGTAACCACGGACGTATAAATAAACTGGACTGACAATCCCAATGGACCTCCTATGGAAGATAGTGAAGCCGACAAGGCGCCATTTTACGTTGCCAAAAAACCGTGCTCTGGAAGGTCATCGAGCCAATACGATTAGAATTGCGTCCAAACGGATGATCGGATCGAGATGCTGGTGGTACCGTTCGACGGGTAATTCCTTGAGGCAGGTGATGATGGATGTCACATGTCACCCGGTGTCACATGGCGCGTGCCACGTGCCGACAAACTTACAAAGGGCAAAACCCTTTAAGCGACGCTTCAAATCAAACGAAGGGCGGCACAGGTGCCAAACTCACAGGTCACATGTCCCAGTGTTCGACCACTAACATATGGTATGCTCGGCATCAGGGGTGCGGAATGCACGCCCTAGTGGCGAAAAAACATATTTTGAGGAGGCATCCTCCGATTCCGGAAAACCTTGACCTAGGCACACCAAATTTGGCACACTGACACTACTGGACACGCGCTCTAAGGGGCTGTACAAATAGGCGTGCTGGGGTACACGGTGCACGTGCAAACCTTTTGATGTTGCACTCCAGGTGTCACATATGCGGGTAGGGCGGGTAGCGCTGGCTAGCTCAAAGTGCCAAATTTACATAGGCCACCCAGAATGTATTCCAGCATAGTTATTGAGCATATCCATCTCCTGGTGACCCCCAAAGGTGCGCTCTGCACGTGCAAAAAATTATCCGCGCCGGGCGGTGGGGATGCTTGGACACCCTATGTGGATTATGTAAATATCTCGAAAACGGCGTTGTGTAGCGCCGCCGTTTTCGGCACACCTTTTCACACATCTTTTTCACACATGCTGCGTAATTTTCAGACTTAGGTCACTCAAGGTTAGGTCATCAGGTTACGTCCAAGTGACCTTACCTTAGGAAAAGTTATAGTGCCCGTCATAGCTGCTAGTGGTGTCAATCGGAACTTGAATCTTCGGAATTCCGATTTTGTCCAATGTCCAATTCGGAATTTGGTTGGACAATGACAGCAGGCTTTGGACAACTTTGGACAATCGCTCGCTACACCTCATTTTTTTATAACCTAATCGTGTTTAACATTGATTGGTCATTAGAAAGCTCAGTTTTCCATATGATTAACACTTTTGAGCTGGTACGATACATTAAAGCGAATTAAATAACGGTGTTGAGTGTAAACTATTGCCTAGATGTCGGACATCTTTGGACAAATGGCTGGCTTGGAATTTTTGGACGGACAGTCGACGTAAGTATTGGACATTGGACGGACATTAAACATACGTTTTCCGAAATTGACACCACTAATAGCTACACAGACTGAACAATCGGTTTAAAACGTGCAGCGATTGATAAGAGCAACAGTATATACGTAGAGTACCTACCTACCTACCTCTACCTCGAAATTTCAATATCACTGACCTAGGGTTCTGTTTATTTTGCGACCTCAGACCACCAGCACGGCAAATCATTTATTTTGTCAAATTCGGGCTCCTAAACTTTTTGCTACCCAGCAACGCAAATTTACGCCTCAATCGCCGGCCAGCGCAGCATAGGCATCTTTGTTATCTACGTTGTTTGCGCCTGCAGTAATACTGTACCGCAATAACCATTATCTTTATCTTTCACCCATAGATGGCAGTAGCAAAGCGCCTGCATCTATGCTGTGCCGCAGTGCTCTTACAATACGAGCTGAGCAATGAGCATTGAGCAAGCAAGTGATATTGAAATCATAGGCGGCGGAACGAGGGGGGCACCGGAGCACCGTGTCCCCCTTTGATTTTGGCATTTTAACATAGCCCTTTCTATGCACGCCCTATGGGCGCTGCATAGAAAAATGTCAAAAACTCTATTTTGAATGAGTCGATTTGGCGTCGATGATTTAAAATGTGTCTCATTTGAATTTTGAATGTGATTTGACAAAGATCCGTGATCGAAAATTTATCATTTCTGTATTTGACTTTTTGTAAAATATATCCTACATACAATTTCAAGGAGATTGTTTAGTATGTGTAGCTATGACGGGCACTATAACTTTTCCTAAGTAAGGTCACTTGGACGTAACCTGATGACCTAACCTTGACTGACCTAAGTCTGAAAATTACGCAGCATGTGTGAAAAAGATGTATGAAAAGGTGTGCCGAAAACGGCGGCGCCACACAACGCCGTTTTCGAGATATTTACATAAATCCACATAGGGTGTCCAAGCATCCCCACCGCCCGGCGCGGATAATTTTTTGCACGTGCAGAGCGCACCTTTGGGGGCCACCAGGAGATGGATATGCTCAATAACTATGCTGGAATACATTCTGGGTGGCCTGTGTAAATTTGGCACTTTGAGCTTGCCAGCGCTACCCGACCCGCATATGTGACACCTGGAGTGCAACATCAAAAGGTTTGCACGTGCACAGTTTGCACGTTTATTTATACGTCCGTGGTCGTAACACTATAATGACCTTTGCTTATTGTCACAAGTGCGCCGCATTCGCGATTGTTGCCCGACGCCTGTTTGCAGGTGAGCCCACTACAGTTGTTATACATATCTAAAAACCGAAAAACTTTTAGGCGAAAAAGGCACTATTCCAGGCCCATTTTTGATTTTTTTTTTGCGATATTAGGTAAAAACAGAAGCTTCTTATCCTAGGAAAAATAAAATGGGAAATCTTTCAAAGGTGGCACACTACCTTTAAAGTTCTAGACGTCATACATGTTTTTGGTTCGCTGACCTGAATAAGCAAAGAAGTGTGAACGTCTCCTCCACACACTCAGCCCCGGCTGTGCTAATTGGTAACCCCTGCGACTTCCCGATATCTCATGACCGTCCGGTTTTGACGCGACTGCCGCCGGCGTCCACCTCGTCGGCTGCCTCTTTCCCTCTCCTCCGGCCGCCGCCTCTGCCGCCCCCCCCCCTTGTCGATCATACCGCGATCACAGCCGGCTCGCCTCCGGGGGTGATCTGGTGTCACCCGAGCCAGGGGGGGGGGGGTGACCACCAGATGTCGCTCGGCTCAGCTGAGTCACTGCGGCCCTCGCGCGGCCGCCGGGTCCAGCCGTGTGCCCGCCGGGGTCGTGTCGGCTCCAGTCGGGCAGTTTCCAGTGGTGCGGCGGTGTGCTGCAGCCCAGCGGACGATATGGCAGACTCCGGGGTGGCGTTCACTTTCGACGAGCGGCGCGCGACCTCGCTGCGCCAGCTGCTGACCTGTGACCGGAGGACTGACCCCGGCGGTGACCCGAGATCAGGTCACCTGACCACGGAGATGCCCGGGGAGCGTCGCCGCCTGCCCGACCACCTGCTCTAGTGAGTGTTCCATTCTGTCACCGTGCTCTGACCGGGTGTGAGTGATGGGTTCGTTAGTGCCGTGAGAACCCGTGTCCGGCTAAGCTACCGGCCGGCCGCTGCTGATCTTGGCACCGGCCTGGGTCGTAGGGCTGCCTGCTGAGTGCTGATACCGCCACCTGCTGAGGTTGTGGAGAGCTGCAGCACGTCTGTCGGATTAGTTGATACGGGATCTAACGTGTATGGTAACAAATCGGGTGCACACTGCATAGTGTGCATCGTGCCGGCGAAACGTACCGGCATAATTTGTGTCACATTTATCGGGATATAGTCAAGTCAGGCTACACTAGCATACTGCATTGAGTGCATATAGCAGTAAGTTCAGGTTCCTGTCGAATAATTTCCAATCCTTTCCAGATTTAAAATGATCTTATTCTTAGGAAATCACAGTTGTACGAGTGTTCGATATTTGAATCGAGGGCGAAACGTCTAGACAAGGCACAAGATACATGTATAATACATAGGGTACTGCATAGATGAATAACAACTGCGCACCAAATCGGGCAGATTATGATCGTGGTTGGTGGGAGGATGGGGAGATGTGCTGGGATTAGTGAAGCTGATTATGTTAAGGGAAAAGATGGAATGGTCATATCTGGTGGGGTGGTCGGAGGTCAGGGCTGGTGGGATGGTCGAAGGTCGGAGCTGCTGGAATAGTTTGATGGTAATTTTGCATCTAAGCCCCTCCTTCGTCCCACGTAGTGCGCTGCTGTACAATGCCGCTCCGTCGGCCCGGGGTTACGGTCGACCGTCTGTTTATTTACAGTGCCCCCTCCCGACGGGTCCGCCCCTTCTGCCACTCAAACGCGGGTCTGCCGGCGGCTGCCGGCGCCCCTTACCACGCCAGCGCCGGGGGGCGAGTGGCGTGTGATGATGTAACCTATACTGCACAGTGCACACGAACGTAACCCATTAGCTATCTTACGGGGACGCCAAAATCGTAGGACAAAGTCAGCTGGCAACAAATGTGAACTAAATGGACAGAATGATATGTTATTATCTTCATGGTGATGATATTGATATAGGTACTATGCAATATGCATTCTGCATGCCTCCTAATTCTGGCTCCATTTCCATTCCACATCCCCTCATCGTTTGTCTGGAGTCTCAACTCGCCTATGGCGTTTGCCGCACTGATTATAGTGGACATTTATGTTCTTGTGCGTTTGTGGTTATTACGCATGTGTTTATATTCGAGCCGTAGACCGCGTTCGGCGTTGTATGTACAGAGAGCAGCTTTGACTCATCTCCGGACACTAACGCCGTCGGTGACTGGACCACGATGGAATGCGGTGCATCTTCGCACAAAGATTGACCCGGAGCCGATGTTTGTACTCGCCACCCGCCCGCCGTGACTCTGTCAAATCAAACATCACATCCCGGGGACAAGAGTCTCACTGCGTAACGCTGCCAGTCAAGCTGTAGTGAACCGGTGTCTGATGCGTGGTTGTCCGTTTTTTTCGAAGCTGATCTATACGCAATTGAATTCACAGCTATATCATTTCATTTGATATCACTATCGAAAAGCATTGGCCGAGTGACGCTTCCCTATCGCTTCCCACTGGATGCCATCGCGTTTTAGACGTTTTACTCACCATCGAAAGGTTCCCAAAACAATGGATCGTTGCAGACGATGCCTGGGCCGGAAGTACTGTCCATAATCCGGAGTCCGCTGCTAGATCACATCTAACACGTCACCTCGGACCCTGGGGCGCCGCTTTTATACCTGTCACCCTTACCTGTAGCGTCGTCGCGTCGGCGACCAGACGCCGGTGGCGGCCGTCGCGTCGTCTCTTGGCCAAACATAACTCGCGGCAGGGGCGGATCCAAGGGGGTGGGGGGTCACATGGGTCATGGCCCCCCCCTTGAGGCCCGGGGGCCCAAAGACCTTCCAGGGGCACCACCGGCCTATCAGGGGTATCACAGTCCTGACAGGGGCACCACAGGACCGCCAGGGGCACCACAGGCCTAGCAGGGACACCACGGGCCTGGTGCCCCTGGGCCCTGACAAGCCTGAAGTGTCCCCGGCAGGCACGTGGTGCCCCTGACAGGCCTGAGGCGCCCCTGCAAGGCCGGTGGTGCCCCTGGCAGGCCTGTGGTGCCCTTGCTAGGCCTCTGGTGCCCCTGACAGGCTTGTAATGCCCCTGGAAGGACTGTGGTGCCCCTGGGCCCTGACAAGCCTGAGGTGCCCCTGACAGGCCAGAGGTGCCCTTGCTAGGCCTGTGGTGCCCCTGGCAGGCCTCTGGTGCCCCTGACAGGCTTGCGGTGCCCTTGGAAGGACTGTGGTGTCCCTGGGCCCTGACAAGCCTGAGGTGCCCCTGACAGGCCCGTGGTGCCCTTGTTAGGCCTGTGGTGCCCCTGGCAGGCCTCTGGTGCCCTTGCTAGGCCGCTGGTGCCCCTGGCAGGCCTCTGGTGCCCTTGCTAGGCCGCTGGTGCCCCTGGCAGGCCTCTGGTGCCCCTGCGCCCGGAGAGGGCTGGTGCCCCTGAAAAGTCTGAAGTGCCCCTCGGCAGGCCCGTCGTGCCCCTGACAGGCCCAAGGTGCCCCTGCGAGGCCGGTGGTGCCCCTGGCAGGCCTCTGGTGCCCCTGGCAGGCCTTTGGTGCCCCTGGCAGGTCTGTGGTGCCCCTGGCAGGTCTGTGGCGCCCCTGGCAGACCTGTGTTGACTGGTGCCCCTGCTAGGTCGCTGGTGCCCCTCACAGACCTGTGGTGCCCCTGGGCCTTGACAAGCCTGAGATGCCTGGCTATGACAGGCTCGTGGTGCCCCTGATAGACCAGTGGTGCCCTTGCTAGGCCTGTAGTGCCCCTGGCAGGCCTCTGGTGCCCCTGCTACCCCTGCGCCCTGAGAGGACTATGGTGCCCCTGAAAAGCCTGAAGTGCCTCTCGACAGGCCCGTGGTGCCCCTGGGCCCTGACAGGCCCAAGTTACCCCTGCGAGGTCGGTGGTGCTCCTGGCAGGCCTCTGGTGCCCCTGGCAGGCCTGTGTTGACTGGTGTCCCTGCTAGGCCGCTGGTGCCCCTCACAGGCCTGCGGTGCCCCTGGAAGGACTGTGGTGCCCCTGCCCCTAGGGGTGCTCATGGGCCCAACAGGCCCGTTGTGCCCCTGACAGGCCTGTCGTGTATACTTGCTAGACCTGTGGTGCCCCTGCTTCCTGGCAGGCCTGTGGTGCCCGCCCCTGGCGGGCCTGTGGCGCCCCTACAAGGCCGTAGGTGCCCCTGACAGGTTTGTGGTGTCCCTGGAAGGACTTTGGTGCCCCTGACCACATGCGGAACTTTATATACTGTGGGGGGTGTAGCTACAACCCCAATTTTTAAAGTACAACCCCAATGGCAAAACTACAACCCCAACATTGGAAAATTAAGAATTAGCCTGAAACACATGAAAATGAACAAAATATGTATCCCTTCAGAAGCAGATAATTGAGATATGTCAAGAAAGTGAAGATATCAATAAATTAGGACATCTTTTTGAATTCCAGATGCTAAAAACATTGAAAGTGCTCTGTTAAGAACATATTATTCCGCTGAGACAGTGAGCAGAGCATGATATGAAAGTCAATCACTTCACACTTCTTAAGCATACTAAGTGAATCATATTGAAAGTGTTCCAAAAAATCTTAACATGTAACATGAAAGTGTGAAGCAAAAAAAATCATAACATTCATCATACTTTTGCAGTGGCGAATCCAGCTCAGAGTTTGGAGGGGGGGGGGGCAAACCATAATAATTTATCGATTCTTTCCATGCCTCGTCCATAGGCGTAATATTAAAATTATGCCGTTTGGGAGGGGCAAATGCCCATTTTGCCCCCCCCCCCCCCTGAATCCTGATCCGCCACTGTACTTTTGGGTTTTCTCACTAAATATTTCATACCTGTGGGCTGTGCTTATCAAAGAGATAAGCATAGATGAAAAGTTTGACACAAAACAGCAAGCTTCAGAAATAAATTAACATAACCTAAGCCTCCATCCTATGTAGCATTCAATCACCATAATCATAATATCAAATACATTTCTTAAGTGAAATATCACTCTGTTCGCAATTTTGTCAGTTGGCACAATACCACCAATCAGCACGAATATTTGGCTAAAATGACGACACTTGAAATCAACGTTGACGACCATAAAAAGTAAAAACCAATCCTGTGCGATAATTAGTGCTGATAATCTTACTGACAGGTTCGCGAACAGAATGCAAACGATGCAAACTAAGTCACATGTAAGCCAGCATGACGCATTTGATACAAATGCAAGGTTTTGGCGACGTCTGTCAAATCAGCAGCAACGAATATCAGCCTCACAGCAGCATATTTCGGGGTCTTTCAATTTGGCTGAAAATCGGTATCCAGAGCCTCCTCGATGCGCTGATTCCGAAAATATGCCTCTTTGGGGTGGTATTTTGCACCGTTAACGAGTTAATGACCAATTAACATTTTAATGGGAAACGGCGGGGTCTTTCGATTTAGCTGAAAATCGGTATACAGGGCCTCCTTGATGCGCTGATTCCGAAAATGTACCTCTTTGGGGCAGTATTTTGCACCGTTAACGAGTTAACGGCTAATTAACATTTTAACCGGAAACGGCGGGGTCTTTCGATTTAGCTGAAAATTGGTATACAGGGCCCGTTTGATGCGCTGATTCCGAAAATGTACTTCTTTGAGGTAGTATTTTGCACCGTTAACGAGTTAACGACCAATTAACATTTTAACGGGAAACGGCGGCGTCTTTCGATTTGGCTCAAAATCGGTATACAGGGCCTCCTCGATGCGCTGATTCCGAAAATGTACCTCTTTGTGGTGGTATTTTGCACCGTTAACGAGTTAACGACCAAGTAACATTTTAATGGGAAACGGCGTGGTCTTTCGATTTAGCTGAAAATCGGTATACAGGGCCTCCTCGATGCGCTGATTCCGAAAATGTGCCTCTTTGGGGTGATATTTTGCACCGTTAACGAGTAAACGGCCAATC